AAATGTTTTTTTTTTTTCATTCATGTTAAAAAAAACTGTGTGCTCCCAATAGGAGTTGAACCTTTGACCTTCTAATTAATAGTCTAGATGCTCCTACCCCCAGAGAGGTGTTATTTGGCCTATACAGGTATATGCAGCTGAACAGGGTATGGTTTTTAAAACAGGGTATAAGTGTCTTGAACAGGGTGTCTGTTTGGACCGGAAGCTTTTCAAAGAGCATAAAGGCTGGCGATCGGAACGGTCTATATTGGTATTACCAACAAAAAAAACTTATTTCATGATGTTAGTTTGAAAAATTGCTTAATTCTGTATGAAGAATGAAACGAATCAGCTAGAAGATAGACGAGGTCTTTCCTCATTTACAAAAGGGTTCTTGCGACAGGTGCAAAGAATGTAAACAAGAGATTTCATGGCTTTGGATGTGTCCCACTTGGCAAACTATTACAGTGGCATTCTGATCATTTCTCCAGTTTTCAATTATTAATGTTAAGTTGACGTCTTCAGATCCACGTTTGCGTTTTTATATTTATGCTCTAGAGGCAGCACCTATCATCACGCTTTCATCACGCGCTGTCACTGTTGTTATAGTATGCTTTATGTCAGGGACTGGGCCCGAGTTTGGTGTCTCTTTGGGCCCGCCATCTTGCTACTTGTGTGTATTAAAAGGTTGTGTTCATCTATCCGTTCTCTCGTGTCACATATCATAGTTTATCCAGGATATTTTAACATGGTGGCAGCAGTGGGATGATTCTACACGCCGAGTGACGTTTTGACTCATAAAACATTGAGGTGAACCCGATGAACCAGGATTACTAAGTCAACCATTCGTAGCGTGCAGCCGAGTATCATCGCAATTCTACCGGCCGACACAGTTTTCTCACAAACATGGGCGAGCTTTCGGGAATTAAGCCGCCTCAGATGGAATGGAATGACTCTGACTTACCCATGGCATTTAAAAGCTTCAAACAATATTGCCAGCTAGTCTTTGATGGGCCCTTGAACGCGAAAGAGGACAAAGTCAAGGCAACCTATATTCTGCTCTGGATCGGCGAAGAGGGCCGGAAAATCTTTAACTCTTTTGACTTGACCGCTGATGAGAAAGCGAAACCTGACGCAATTTTTGACAAGTTTGCAACATATCTGGAACCTAAGTCAAATTTTCGGATTGCAAGATACCAACTACAAGGCTTCAAACAAGCTGATGATGAAAGTGTAGATTCGTTCATGGCCAGGTGCAAAATACAAGCCCAGAAATGCCGATTCAGTGACGCCGAACTAGAGGAGCGGTTAATTGAGCAATTAATTATTGGTACTCGCGAAAGAAAGATACAAGAAGTCCTCTTAGGAAAAGATGATAAGTTAAAGCTTGACAAAGCCATGGACATTGCCCGGACAAGGGAAGCTACGGTAAATGATATGAAATCCCTTGACCAACAAGGTGCGTCAGCACCCGCTCGTTCTCATGACACTAACGTAGATGCTATCAGACAGAATTCCAACCTCAGATGTGGAAAATGTGGTCTCAGCCATGAAAAAAAAAGTGCCCAGCTCAAGGTACAAGGTGTAGAAAGTGTAACCAGTGGAACCACTGGGAACAAGTGTGCAGAAATAAACAAGCACAGGATCGGAAAGCTAAACCTTCACTCCGGAAGCAGCCTGGGGGCTGGATACCGCACGCCAAGTCAAGTCAGAACAAGATACACACAGTTGAGGAGACAAATTCAGACTCTGATGAGTTGTGTTTCGAGACAATTAAAATTGACAGTTCCAATGTTACTCCAGTAAAAGATGAAGCTTTTGCAAAGCTCCAAGTAAAGTTGCCTAATGTTGATCATCCTAACCCTGTGCTCAGAGTGAAAGTAGATACTGGCGCCCAGGAAATATTCTGCCTTTTGCGAATTTATCGGAACATGTTTCCACACCATGTGGGTGAAAATGGCCTTCCCACGGAGACAACACCGAGTCAGACCAAACTGACTGCATACAATGGCACCCAAATACCCCAGCATGGAGTATGTTCTATCAAGTGCTCTTATGGTGACAAAGCAACTGATGCAATGTTTTATGTTGCTGATGTCGCTGGCCCCGCCATTTGTGGCCTACCCACCTGTTGCCAACTTAACCTGGTGGAGTTACACTGTGCAGTAGGCACATGTTCTAGCAAAGTGCCTCTCCCAGCAGTTAAGGATAAAGGTGACCTCCAAGCTTTGTACCCTGACCGTTTTGATGGCATTGGCAAATTTGAAGGGGAATACCACATTGTCACTGACCCGGATGTACCGCCTGTAGTTCATGCACCACGGAAGTGCTCAATACACATTAAGGATGATATTAAAAAGGAGCTTGGTGAAATGATCAATCTTGGAGTTATTATACCTGTGTCTGAGCCCACTGACTGGGATTCAAGTGTGGCTTACTCTCAAAAATCAAATGGACGATGGCGTTTATGCCTTGACCCTAAAGATCTTAACCAAGCTGTCAAGAGAACCATCATCATACGCCTACCCTAGAGGAAATCACCCACACGTTCAAAGGAAGCACAGTATTTTCAAAACTGGATGCCCGTCATGGTTATTGGTCCGTAGTGCTTGATGAAGAATCTTCTTATCTTACTACCTTTAACAGGCCGTTTGGCAGATTTAGATTTACTCGTCTTCCTTTTGGACTCTGTATTAGTCAGGAAGGATATTTTCCAACAGCAGATGGATTTTATCCTTGACAAATGCCCAGGAACAGTTGTTGTTGCTGACTACATTGCAGTTCATAGTCTTACTGAGGAAGAACATGATGCCAATTTGCGCAACCTGGTGCTAGTCGCAGGGGAGCACGGACTTGTCTTCAACCTAGACAAATGTGTTATTAAACAAAGAATGATAACATTCTTTGGAATGTTATTCGATGCTGAAGGAGTACACCGTGACCCAGAAAAGGTGGAAGCTTTCCGAGCCATCCAGGAGCCACAGGATACCCAGAAACTCCAGTCCGCCCTTGGTATAGCAACATATATGGCTTCTTTCATTCCAAGTCCGTCTGCTTTGTCTGAGCCTCTAAGGAACTTATTTAAGAAGGGCACTGACTTCCACTGGTCTCCTTCCCACAGTACAGCTTTTCAGAAAATCAAGCAGTCAATCTGCCGTCAAGTCTCCCTTACGTATTTTGATCCTAAGAAGGTAACAATCCTCCAGGCTGATGCCTCCCTTAAAGGACTTGGGAGTGCATTAGTGCAAGAAGGCAAAGTTGGTGCTTTCGCATCTAGAGAACTCACGGACACTGAGAAGCGAAATGCAAATATTGAGCGTGAGATGCTTGCTGTTGTTGTTGCTTGTGAGAAACTTCACTCCTACTTGTTTGGCAAGAGGTTCATGTTAGAGTCAGATCTCAAACCCCTTGAGATGATTCACTTGAAGAATCTTACAGCTGCTTCTCTAAGACTCCAGGAAATGTTACTCAGAATACAAGGATATGACTTCACTATCAAGTACAAACCTGGCACAGAAATGCTTCTCGCTGACCCGTTGTCAAGACTAAACCCTCTACCAAATGAAGAGTCATTCAGAAAGTATGCCTAGTGCGATTCTCTGATAAAAAGTTGAATGCTTTGAGGCGAGGCATCTCCTCTGATCCTGAACTTTCAGCTCTACGAGAAATCATCTACTCTGGCTGGCCTGAAAAACAGAAACAAGTTCCAGTGCCATTGAGGAAGTTCTGGGCCTACCGTGACGAGTTATCTATTGAAAACGGTCTAGTACTCAAGGGAGAAAGAGTGATTATTCCGAATCACAAAGAGATGATATCTTAGAGAAGATACATCAGGCTCACCAAGGTGTTCGGGAAGTGTCAGCTACGAGCAAAATCCTGTGTATTTTGGCCCAATATTAACAAGGACATTGAAGCTAAAGTCCAGAAGTGTGAAATTTGTCAAGAAAGCCAAACCACACAAACCAAAGAAACACTGGAACCACATGAAGTACCTACTAGACCATGGCAAGTAGTTGGTACTGATCTATTCACATGGCATGGGGACGAATATCTGCTTATGTGTGATTATTACTCCAAGTTCCCCATCATCAAGAAAATACCAAGTGGACAATCCACTGGACAAACAGTTGTAAGGCTTACAAAGTGCGTGATGTCAGAACAAGGTGTACCGAAAGTCATAATTTCGGACAATGGTCCACAATATGACTGTCAAAGCTACAAGCAGTTCTCTAACGAATGGGGCTTCCAACACATAACGTCCAGCCCCAGATACCCACAGTCCAATGGGTTTATTGAGCGACAAGTCCAGACTGTTAAAAACACTTTAGACAAGGCTGTAAAATCTGGAGAGGACCCTTACATGTCAATGCTCTGTCTTAGATCTACTCCGATTGATTCACAGCTTCCGTCCCCTGCTGAATTACTGTATCAGCGTAAACTTCAAGCAAATCTTCCGTCAGAGTGGACAATCGAATACCTGACAGGGACAAAGTCGCCCAGCGCCTGACAGAACGTCAGCAGTCCATGAAACACTACTATGACCGAATGCGCATGATCTAAGTCCCCTGACAACAGGGCAACCTGTACGCATACAGGACCAAGCTTCAAAGAAGTGGTTACCAGGAACTGTGAGTTGCACAAGACCTGAGCCGCGGTCATATGAAGTGAAAACCCAATCTGGTTCAATCCTTCGCCGTAACAGGCGCCACCTTCGCCCGGCAAACACGGGTCAACCTGTGATTAGCTCTGAGGATGAGCCTGCAATCACCGAGTCTGATGACCCTGTTGTTGAACCCTCTCATGATATTCCGAAGTCTACTAAGGCACCGCACACCGTTGTGTCCAGTCCTACAAGAGATGTTGGTCTCACCCCTGGATCCCCGGTGCTAGTGCGAACCCTGGGACCTATCGGACCAGGGTGGGCGACAATTATAAGACCTGCTCGTTTTACTGAATAGAACCTTCTGTTTTAGGAGTTGAGCGCCTATACCAGTTCGTTTGTTCAAGTTCACACTTACCACGCGTACTCCATTGTTATACCAATTTAGGATTTAGTGCAGTGACTTTTGATGCACACCATATGTTGCCAGGATTTGTTGAGACTTTACCAAGGACTTCCCACCTTGCGGAATAGTGGATTTTTACTCTTGACTTTTAAGAACTGATTACCTTTAAGAACTCTTGTTCAATTCCTTTTTGTACAGTAGGAGGGATGTTATAGTATGCTTTATGTCAGGGACTGGGCCCGAGTTTGGTGTCTCTTTGGGCCCGCCATCTTGCTACTTGTGTGTATTAAAAGGTTGTGTTCATCTATCCGTTCTCTCGTGTCACATATCATAGTTTATCCAGGATATTTTAACAACTGTCACTCGATCCAGTTTGCACGTGATAAGTGTCACGCTAGGGAAAGAACCAGAATTTTCAACATGGCGGAGCATTGAGAGGTGAACAAGAGAGTTGACAGGAACATTGACAACAATGAGTTTTGTTTGTATAAAGCATGGTGAAAGTTCTGTTTTATGCAATGGAACTCGTTATGACCTTCCCGAAGAAGCACTTAACTACAAGGATTCGATGTTCTGGGTATATCTTGGTGTTTACATCGCATTGGTTCTTTTTGCAGGTTTGTATGAAGGGACGAGCGATTTTTTATGTTTTAAAACCAAAAATGCATCATTTTCCCGAAGAAGTACATCTTAGGAATTATAATACCACATTTAATATGGAGGTTAAGTATAATAACAAAGAAAATTCCCTAAATAATAAATATTGGCTAAGAAAGTTGAGAAGTTATAACTATATGTTAAATATTTCAGCGTACCTGTAGGAGAATGCCAAATCCTTTCAACGCAAGTTTATAACTGTTTGGCCCGATAACAAAACAACAAGCTCTATTCAACGTTAAAGGATTTTCATGTTTAAAGCTGATGACATGTATCATGAAAATAGTTGAAAGTTTTTCCTAGGAGCAAGTCATGCACAGGGGAGGGACCGGGCGTTCCTTACCCCCCATCCAATATTTGTTTTTGATGCTGTGCTAAATATTGTTGACAGCTGTGCAGGCCTAAAAGGGCCTTACCAGATAGCAGATCAAGCTGTTGCAATGTTATAGCTAAACCAGTCTAGAGCCAACTAGTACCCACTTATTTTTGATGGACGGACAGGCAGGATTTCAAATAATTTCCCCGCTGACACCGGTCAAGTTGTCCAGTCAAACCTATTTTTGCTCGGACCCAACCCGCTTTTGGCGGGACAAGTGTCTTTCATCTAGGATTATCCGACTGCACTTTACAATGAAATATATGCGGACTGTTATAATAATGCTTTACAACACTACACACCCTACTCCTGAGTTTGTGGTGACAACTTTATAGAGGATGAAGCAATAACTCGCAACTTCCGGAAAATGAAAAACCACTGTTAACACCCCCAGCGCAGGGCTTATGAAATTTCTCACAGTCGCAGAGCCATGAAATTCAGGCAAATCCACGAAAGTTATTCACAAAAATAGACACGGTAGAAATCTTACCAAATACACGTCAGTTCAACATATTTGAGACTTATCGCAGCTTATGGGGCTGTTTTTTGCCGTAAACTTGAAAATTTATTTTGAAACTTCGTCACCGCAATGAGAAAACGTCCCAAAACTACCAGGTGTTCTTAGATTGTTATTGCGAAAAACTGGGCACTGGCCAGTGCACGATATAAAAAGCTTTGCCATTAGCACATTTCTGAGCTTATTGTTGTTAAATAAAAGAGCAAATGATGATCTCTGATTAAAAAAAAACCTGTGCAAGAGAATACCAAGTCCAAACGACATCGCAAAGCAAACGAGGGTTTTGAGCTCAAAATCACCGCTTTTAAAAGGGCAACATTTATAGGTAGTTGGTGTTTCTGTTGTTGTTGTTATTACACAGGCTCATCATTTCCCCCCTCCCCAAAACTGGGCAAAATTGCTGTCTTGTTTTATTAACAATGTTTGTGAAATCAGCGCAAAACCTATCGCTTTCTAGTGAAATTTGTCGCAAAATTGGCTTTTTTTAACGATCGTTTTTCGGCAAAATTTGACTTGAATTTTTTCCACGAAATTCCCGCGAAATCGGCCATTTTTTTCCGCGAATTTGTCTCTGAAAATTCCATGAAATTCGCCTTTTTTTCCGCAACCTGTCAGAGGCCTTGTGTTATGAATGGTTTACATAATAAAAGTTCTTGATCTGGCTGCCTTTTTTTTTCTCTCTCTTCCCACGTTTTTCCTTCATGAACGTCAATAATGTCAAGTTTTGACCAGTCATATTTAAAAAAAGTGTTCAAAGGTCTGAATTACATTAGAAGCGTAAAAGAGTGGACAAAATGTCCAGCCATTCAAGGATTTGACCGGACAAAGCCTTTTTTTGACTGGACATTGTCCGTTGACTAGCCGTAATTTGAAGCCCTGGACAGGAATTGGTAGTTGGTGTTTGATGCTATAACTTTCTGCACACCAGTACATTTGTGAAAAGTTAGCCTCTGCTCGCAGGGTAATCAAGGGGTCACAAAGCACAAGAAATAATACATTTAATAAGTGAATTTCTTCACACTCGTAGGTTTAATGTCAGGATTGACCATGGGCCTGTTATCGCTGGACATACTGAGTTTGAAAGTTCTTCAAAGAGGAGGGAAGCCTTTAGAGAAGAGACATGCAACTAAAATATTGCCACTGGTAGAAAAACACCACTTACTCCTGGTGACTCTATTGCTGGCAAATGCTGCAGCTGTGGAATCCATGCCAATCTTCATGGACAGGATCTCTAGTCCTGTGATTGCCATCTGTGTTTCCGTGACTGCTGTGCTGTTTTTTGGGGAGTAAGTGCAAGGACGTTTTGGATAATCTGAACCTTAACTCATTTGCTCCTAGGAATTTTGCTGTTTTGAAGCTACAGTGAAACCTGTATTAAGCGGACACCGTATTAAGCGGACACCCTCTATTAAGCGGACAGGAGCCAAAGTCCCAAAATTCATTTCCCTTATTTGCTTTAAATGAAACCTTTATTAAGCGGACGCGGACACCTATAAAGTACCTGAAATAGTCATTTCTATTGTTACCAACCTGTATTACACGGACACTTGTAATCAAATTCCACTACCCAACATGCCAGACACCGGAAATGCGAAAGATTACCTCAAATTGCCACCCACAACTTTTTCGATTTTTACATTAAAAAACGTGACTTGACGAACTTATTTGATTAGTTTCACAGTAAAGTAATGTTTTCTATTTCGTTTTGTTTGTGTAGAGCTTGTTTCACTCACCTGATTTCTGCAAATTTGAGTTGCAATCTATGTTTATGGTACTATGACCAATTAGTCCACTTTGATAAAGAAATTAATGCAAACGTATACCGCAAAGTCTCTAGGAGAATTCTTAACATTTCCACTGTTCATTTGAATGGCATTTGACATCTCATATGACGTTATCTATCGAAACCTGTATTAGGCGGACACCCTGTATTAAGCGGACTCTACAGCATTCCCCGAGGGTGTCCGCTTAATACAGGTTTCACTGTAGTTGAGCCATTTTCTGGTCACTGTTTGGATATAAAGTGCTAAAACTTAGCACAAAGCTAACAGCGTATATGCCAACTCTCCCAGATACGACACCAATCTCCCGGTCTCCCGTACGGATCACCATATCTCCTGGATAAAATCATCATTTGAGCTTTTCTGTGCCTTAGGTTGAGATTTAGCCCATTTTAAGCTCAAAACTTGAATTTTTGTTATTCATAGTATGATTTCTGGGGCCTTTTTGCACCTATTTAGTCACAGACAAAGATTATTTCTGGCATGAAAGCGATGATCGGGAATTTTGAAAGTATGTTCTTCATGTAAGACCTCATAATTGTCCTTAGTCATTCCCATATTTGTCAGGGGTGGGGAGTGGGGGCAGCATTCATTGAATTTCCTGGGGAGGGGGGGCGGGTAGTGAAAAAGAGAAAGTCTCCAGATTTTAGATCTCCAGAGGTTGGCATCTCCGTAACAGTGTAAACGTCTTTGTGTATATTACTATATCATATGAATTTTCTTGTGTAATGTGGAATTAATTTGCACTCATGTTTTTTTCAATAAAGCTCAAATTGCATTCACTCTACAGGCTTATGCAATTTTGATACTTTTCAAAAAAACACTTGCAAATAAATTTCAAATTGAATGAGGTAAGCCATATGGATTGATTACCTTTACAATGTACCTGTATCATTGTGGTCAATGGAGGCAAGAGCTAGATCTATATAAAATGATGTCTTCAAAATTGACTTAGTAAGTGACATTGTTTGGTTTATCACAGAGTTGTTCCTCAAGCTCTTTGCACCCGTTATGGTCTGGCAATAGGAGCAACACTGGCTCCGTAAGTAGCTTTAACAACTTTGTTTGTATTAAATGATTTAATTATTGGTGTAAGCTCTGTAGTCTTAATGGTACTATAATACAGTCATTTATCTTACTTGACACACCCTGAATGGTGCAGGCTGTAAATGTGCAAAAGGTGGGACACGGTATCATTAAACCCTGTTATAATTAAATAAACATATAATTATAGTGATTTAACAAACAATGTTCCTCTTTGCCCTGGTCATATTAAAATGTGTGGTAATGTGCCATGGTTTATTCCACATATTCCAGTCTCATAACAACAACCATATTTCGTAGTCCCTTTTTCACTTTGTTACATTGTGGTTTCACTGTAGAAGGTCAAGCTGGATCAACTCAGCTACTATACATTGTACCTGCCAACTTTATTAGATTCATAAGCGGGAGATTTTTACTGAGAATGCCGGGATTTTGCTAGAGAACCCAATGACATCCAAAGGGGCTCTTACTCATCAACCAACAATAAATATTGATTTAATGGTACCTCTCAGAAGGCTGAAAAAGGGCTCACCACCAGCTGAAATTGCTGTGAAAATAAATACATGGCCAGTAGTAATTTGAAGGTGCAGTTAAGTAGGAAAAGCGAGGTTGACTTAATAAAAAAAGCCTGCTTAGCTTTTCCTTGCCTGTGACCTTGGGAAATAATATTGTTAAAATGGTCAAAATTGTTATCGTTTGCTAACATTGAAGTAAAGTGACTTTAATGTTTTAATTAGTAATTATAATTTTCAGGCTTGTAAAGGTATTGATGGTTTTAATGTTTGTTGTTGCCTGGCCTATTTCAAAACTGCTTGACTGTCTTCTGGGACATGAGCATTCCACATTCTTCAGAAGAGCAGGTAAATCACAGTGCTCGGTAGTGATGTCATTTGTTTTCTCCCTGATGTTCCTCTGTAAATTAATAGACCTTTTTAACGATACGGCGGCCATATTTAATTAATTCGATTTGAGGAGTATTATAGGATGGCCAGGGGGCATGAGCACATCTTGTTTGTATTTCGAACGCTTTTTGGGACATTTTTTCTTTCAGTTTTCTTAGAATAAGATTGTAATGGGAAAAAAGATCCTTATGCTGTTTCAATGTAATAATGATTGCCTTTTCCCCAGAAATATACAGTGAAAGACCATATTTCTAATACTAAACTAGAAAAAGGCAATCATTATTACATCCAAACACGGCACAAGGATCTTTTTTCCTATTACAATCTCAGTCTAAGAAAACTTTAAGAAAAAATGTCCCGAAAAGCACTCGAAAATACAAACGAAATGTGCTCATTTCCCCTGGGCATCCTATAATACTCCTTTATAAATCGAATTAATTCAATATGGCCGCCATATCGGTAAAAAGGTCTGTTGGGGCAATGAAAGGAGCCTGCAATCCTAATCTCCAAGTTGCTATTACATACGGTTGGCACATACATGGAGCCAGCTTCAGTTGGACTGCCCTTAAGAATGGATGGAATGCACAGAATGCAAATCTGATCAAGCTGTTTGGACCTTCTTCATTCATAATATCATCACGCTTGTTTTTACCATTTATCACGTGAAACTTGCGCAAAAGGTCAAAAGTGTCTTGAACTTCTGTCATTGTCACCCGCACTCCTTCTATATAACCTTCAGTTATTACTTAATTATTGTTCCACACATATTGTTGACATTTTAGTAGTTTATTATTCGTCAATTATTACTTCATGAGAACTTGCATGTCGCAGCTTTCACACTGCTAGGTGCTTTTACATTTCACAGCTTAGCTAGTGTCTCTTCTGGTCTGGAAATTGTTTTCCACCCCCCAAACCCAGTCCCCTAGACTCCCTTGCAGACTTTCCTAGGGCTTTATCAATTTGTCCATGGTGATAAAGGGAGAGGAATGTGTGACAAAGCCCTTGGAATGCCTCTGTAGGAGGCCTAAATGGTAGGGGGCACTAACATATAATCTATACAGACATGTGCTGCTCAACAGAGTATGATTTACTTCTCTGACTCCAGTGCAGGGTGAAAAATCACCCGTTATCTCTGGAATAGTAGTATACTGTATTTTACTTCAGTTTGACTCTGAAACATTTATGATCTTTTCCACATAATCCCTGATTATTTGCCACCAAGCTTACGTATAAAACTATCCTACACTATGCTCCCTTTACTGTTTTTATATCACTCAGTTCACCACACTCTTATTATATGGAACAGCTTGACAACTCATCTCTTTAGCCAGAGTCTCAAAGACTCTGCAGTATACCCCATTAAGAGGAAGTAGCCCCATAGGCAGGGGGGTGGGGTGGGGGTGAGCAGGTTACTGGTCTCCATCATTTATCACATCACTGTGAAAGGTTTTAAAATGCGTTCTGTGTTTGTCTCCTGCCAGAGTTAAAAGAACTTGTGGATTTACACAAGGAAGATACAGATGCTAATGAGGACCCCCTTAGTCAAGATGAAGTCATGATTATACAGGTAGCAAGCCTATGGAAATAATTCTAGAACTCATTAAATGTGCATTTCATAAAGTTATGTGCATGGATACCACCGGATGAGAAGTCACCTTAGGTAAACTTTGATGCAAATATGCCATAAGTACACTAAAATTTGAGTGCAACAGGCAGCGAATCATGACAAAGGTAATCCAAGGGGATTGTGAGACTGTAATGGTATATGTATGGTATATGACTTTCAAAGGCTAGTTTAGCTAATGTTACCACCTTTATGGCAAGGCAAAGAACTGGACTTTGCACCCTGCTTCTAGACCAAGTTACAGTCAAGCCAAAAAGGAAAGTAACAAACTAATCAATTTTTTAATGGAAAAATGATTTATTTTTGATTCAATGAACTGTTAAAATGAATAATCCAACGTGAAATTGTTCCTCGATTCAATAATCAAATGTTGATTTGGTTTATGAACAAAATCACCTGTTCTTTGATTCTTGTCTGTTGTGTTCAATCCTATTTGCAACCTTTTTTAATGTTATGTGAATAATTTTTTCATTGAATTTAAATCAAAATAACACCACAATAGACAGACACATAAAGAAACTGAAAAGGCCGAGGATTCCCATCAACCAATCACCGGGGTTCTCTACTGACCTCAGTTTGACCGTCGGAGTTTTCTAAGAGAGAGGCCTACGTTGTAGGTCTGTTGCACCTATTATTGGCAGCAAACTGGCGTGGATTTTGCAGTTTGTTTGGGTTTGAACTTCTGAACTCGTTAGCACTTGACTCTCAAAAAAAAAGGAAAAAAACAAAATTCTGAGGTCAACTTGTGGAAACTGTAATTTTTCAAAAAACAGCTCAATCAACATTTTATGGAATCGAGTTGAAATGACTATTGGATTGTTCATTTTATGAATGGATTATTGAATCAACAAACGAAATCATTTTTCCGTGAATGAATTCATTAGTTCGTTAGCGACGGGAACGCTTGACCTGGTTTGACTGTAAAGACAAGTTGACTTGCCACTCTAACTTTTAATTCTGAGAACAAAATCCTAGGGTGTTTCCATTCAAATTAAATTTCTTTGGCAGAAGTTTTGCATTAAGAACTATATTTAACATTTCTTTGGATTAATTTATACCAAAATAAATTTTATTTTTTTTCAGTTAATTATTTTACTTTGCAGTGAGGGGTTAAAGCAATGCTCAGGGTTTGAACAGTCTTGAAAAGTCCTTTAATTTTAAGGGAAGTCCTTGAAAAGTCCTTGAAATTCCACTTTCCATTGAAAAGTGCTTCAATTTCTATGCAAGTCCTTGAAAAGTCGTTGAATGTTCTTCAACTTTGAATGTAGTGGCCTGGAAGGTGTTTTTCTAATGCTCTTTGGTTGTCCAAGACAGAATATATCTCATAGCTCAGAGAGAAGTTAAAGGTGATTTACATAAAGCATTTTTTCTGTTTTATGCAAGAATTAATATGCAGGGAAAGTCCTTCTGTCAAACGTCCTTGAAAATTTTTCCTTCAACTTTGAATGCATGACCTAGTGAAAATCAAGAATCAGAGTTAGAAGAATCAGAACGTTTCCATTTTCCTCCAACTCCGCTTACGATTTTTTTCGTCGAAAATTCTTCCAATGCATATTCCCACGCTTGATGATTGGTTTAGTTCCTTCGCTTCTCCTTGCGACTCTGACGAGCCATTTTTCACTTGATCGTCAACGATAGAGCCATAAGTGGAATCCGAAGAATCAGAACGCCGTTTTCACAAGGTCGTAAAGTTCTATGCTTCTGATTATGACTTCAACTCTGTCGCTAGTGAAAACTTGCCTTCAAAAATGTTTGCAAATTTTTGGATGAACCCGGATACTTAAACGGTACCTGTTGACATGGCTGTTTGATGCCTGTAGGGAGCTCTAGAAATGAGAAACAAAACCGTTGAAGATAAGTACACACCCCTGGATAAAGTGTACATGCTGGATATCAACAGGCAACTGGATCAAGATACAATGAAAGAGGTACACTTGAATATTTTTATTGCTGCATTTGTTTTCTTTAAATTTGGGCTTTTATCAACCAGGAAAAACTTTAAAATAAAACTTGCCCTTCTCTTAATGATCTCCAGCTAGTGCCACTGATATGAGGCCAGCCCTTGAATTTTCCCATTCATGAATAACACAGGACTATGCATCCTTTTTTGTTAAGCTTTCTTTGTTTTGCTTAAAAACGATAAGGCTTCTTAAAAGAAACAGAACAAAATTTAGTTTTAGTGCTATTTCCCCTCTAATCCTTTCATCAGTCATCACAATTAATTGTTGAATGTCACGGCGCACTGTATTGTTGTTAGTCTCTGTAGCCTGTGAATACAGGTGTCTCTTATGACTCCTCATCATTGAGATGTGTTGTGAATTGTATCCAGTGGTGGGTAGTGATGAGTAGCCCAACAATATTTGGCAGCTGTATTCGCAGGCTACACTTTGTACTTAAAATTAACCCTTTCACTGCCAGAGTGTTTGATGGAGTTTTGAAAGGTGACTGTAACTTTTGTGTTTGTGGACGAAATCCTACGATGTGACCATTCAAATGAAAAGTCCCTGCCTGTACTTTCACATGGTACTTTTTGTTTTTCAAAATGTTAGAAAATGAAATTTGGAAATCTGGTCGAAATTTGCCTTTAACTACATGCGGCAGTGAAAGGGTTAATAGTCTCAGTGGCAGTCATTCTTTGTGTCATCACACAATGCTTCTAGGAGAGGAGTGTTGCGTGGTGACATGGAAAAGAGGGGCTTTGTAAGAGCCTTTACACTGCCCTGAAGGGTATGTGCCCTTTATTGGGCTCCAAAGTGCCCTTATTCACAAGGCGGTGCTTATTTGCAGATCAGTAGGAAAGGCCATTCACGAGTGCCAGTGTACAGTGGAGAAAGAGAAAATATCGTGGGAGTTCTCTTTGTCAAGTCATTGGTAATGTTGGACCCAGACGATGATACTCCAATAAGGGACATTTACAGGGTTGGTTCTTTCCTCACATCATCAACAAGTGAACCACTGTTTGAGCTACTGGACAAATTTCAGACTGGAAAAAGTAAGTGTTGTTTTGATGTGCAGTCAACTCTCCATAGAGAGACAACTCCATATAAGATGGACACCTCCCTAAAACTTGTCCCTGCGGTTTATGGTCAAGTCGCCCGAAATCAGAGTCATGTCGCCCAAAATGTTTAGTCAATTCGCCCGAAATGCTGAATTTTTTGGCTCGAAATTTATCATGCTTTGACAAAATCGTAGCATCCGTATTACCATTTGCCGCGCTTGTTTCGTCTCATCGAAGATTATAGAACGAGATATATTACTCATTCATCGGGCTTTTTTCGTTGGTAATGCAGGGTTAAAGATAGAGATATTTACACCGCTTGTTTCATCCTACGGTGGCCCACAACTGTCACGGCAAAACCAAAAACCTCACGGCAAAACTAAAAAACCTCGCGGCAAAATCAAAATACCTCACGACAAAACCAAATACTTCACAGCAAAAACCAAATACCCCACGGCAAAAGCAAATACCCACGGCAAGACCAAAGCTATTTTGCTTTTGCTGTGAAGTATTTGGTTTTGCCGTGAGGTTTTTGTTTTTACCTTGAGGTTTTCGGTTTTGCCGTGAGGTATTTTGTTTTTGCCGTGAGGTTTTTGGTTTTGCCGTGACAATTGTGGGCCACCATATCACCGCTTACAAAGAACGAGGTATGTTTCACATTCATTGCGCGTTTTTTGTCTCATGATGACTAAAAGAACGAGATATATTAACACATGCTTCTTATTTAACAAAAATTAACTTTGTTTTTCTGTGCCCTTCACCTGATAAAATTCGGGCGACATGACTCTGCATTTCGGGCGACTTAATACTGGTTTAGGGCGAGATGACTTTCGTGTGACTTGACTGGTTACCGTCCCTGCCTTTCTTTACTACTTTCAGTTGACTCTCTATAAGACAGACACTTTCCCAAAACGGACACCTAGAGTTGGGCCTTTGCAACCTCTAAGTCATTTTGTTTCACTGTTTATATAAAGACGGTGCCTACCTCTCGAAGTCTAGACTGCGAAACAGTCCGTATTTTTGCATATTCAAGTACGGCGAACAGCCAAACAAAAGCTCTGTAGCGAGGCTGAAAACGGAGAGCGAGAGTGGTTTCCTCTAGCCTTTCGAGACTCGCGCGCGAGACTCTTACGCCACTCTTACGCTACACTAAACCTATTTTGAGAAAAGCCGACTGTTTTGCAGTCTGCTCCAAGTCAGACACTTAAAATACCGGCCCCAACCTTGTCTGTCTTTGGCTGTGTTTACACCAGGTGCCTACTTTACACTTGGTGCCCCGGCTCGCTGCCTCAGTAGAGTAACCCCTGGGCACTCGTTTGAATTCCGCGCGTAGTCGCTGGTCATAAATTCACACGCATGGATAAAAAAGGATTAAGAACGAACGGAATTTTCCCCGTATAGGTCACCTGTGTGTTGTGAACAAGACTCAGATAGATGAAGGAAATCATATTTTAACAGTAAGTTACAAGTATGCAGTTGCATAATTAAGACACAAACAGCATCGCTAAACATAAAAACCCAGCATGATTTGAAAAGGGCACGACGGTGATGCCAATTGCTGCAATTTTGTACGTCTGTATTTTTTTTATTTTTGTTTTGTTTTCAAGGCATAAAACAACTCTTTTTTCCTGGAGACTTCGTTTCTACATTGTTTTGTAATTATTTCAAAGTGACTGCCAAATATTTCAAAAATCTGTGCCCACTTCTTTCTTAACAAATGGAAAATTGTGTCGACCCTTAAGATTAGATTAACACCCTTCACAATCAGGTATACTGCAGGTATATTGTGTATTTGTAAACATTTAAGACGGAATCCACCAGGAAATTGAGTAATTTTAATTCTCAGTGGACAAAAACCTTGTAGCAGAATAATTTAAAGAATGTTCCTTTTTTTTTATTTTTTAAGGCCTAAATATGTGATTAGTCATCTTTAATGACACTAAACAAAATTTCTCGTGGGAGTCCGAGAAAATGAATTTCAAATTTCATAAGAATTGTGAAAACACAGGTAAATCTCTGAAAATTTCATGTGAAAGATGTAATTTTGTGAGTTTGACATTCATTTTCTCGGGCTCCCATGAGAAATTTTGTTTGGTGTTAAATTAAATTAAATTTTCTTTAGGTATTGAAAACTGTAAAAAGGAATGCAATATGTTTTAAATTTTTCTGGTACAAGATGTCTGTCCACTGAAAATTGAAATTACTCAATTTCATGGTGGATTCCATCTTAATCCTTTAAGCCCCAATGCCCACATATAAATTCTCCATACTGATCTTCATACATTTCTTTAAAGAATTAGTTGAGAGAGTTTAATAGCAGATCAAAGCATTTTCTCTGTAGTGATCATTTTATTAACTCTCATAACCATTCCTCTTGGAAACATGGATATTGTTAGGAGAAAATTGATGTTGGTCACCATTGAGATTTAAAGGGTTAATCTTTCTCGAGGTAAACTGAGGGGGCCATGTAATTACGTAACTACTTTTGGTGCTCAAAGCCATTCCCACAAATAAACACTTGTGACATATTTTCTTCCTGAAACTCAGCGATTCTGATGTTTTTCAGTAACAAACAAATGTATTCTGATGCTCAACATGCTAGAGTTATTTTAAATGTTTGTAAGGTCCTCAAGCGAGGTGTGTTGAAGAATTGTAGTCGCCAATTTGGAGACTGATTTTCAGGGGGCTGTTCACCGTCGTGAAAAATTTTCGCGAGTTTTTGTACCCTTCTGGTTTCTGAATATTTGTTTTTCTTGTTATCGTTGTTTACTAGCGAGTTGTCGGTATCATAACTCTAGAGGATGTGATAGAACTGTTGATTCAAGAAGAAATTTGGGATGAGGCAGATATCCTTAGACATCGATACGACTTGAAGAAGCAAATATCTTTTGCTAGAGCAAAATTTAAACGAATGAAATCAGTCGACCCAGGTGATGGAGGCGGACGTGGACCACTGAGTCCGGCCATGCATTCAGAGGTAAAGTTCTAATTATTTGGGACCGCTAGGACACCCCCCTCTCCCACTCCACCCTCAAGAAAAAGCCCTGGGAGCCCAAACCGATAGTCGAATTGCACGCATTTTAAGCATCATACGCTTCTCCTAGCATGCGGAGAACTTTTAGTGATAACATAGAACCGCGTTACGTAGAAATTGTATACAATGAATGTTCTGGGAATAAGTGTATGTATTAGCCTGCGTGCAAGCTCCCCTATTTGGGCAAGCGAAGCGAGCCTCGCGAGAACGCGCGAGCGAGGGGCCGAAAGGCCTCTTCCCCTCGCGGCTTCGCCGCTCGCGCGTTCTCGCGAGACTCGTTTCACTCGCCCAAATAGGAGAGCCTGCTCGGAGGCTATGTATGTATCTGAACTTGTTACCGAAACTGAGAGCCTCTGTGGTCGGGCCCTCTCAAGCGATCACCTCTCCGAAAGCAACTGCTAATTCTTGGCATTCTGAGCGGTCGCTTGCAGATGGTCCGGCTTAACAAATAATAATAATTTATTATTTATAAGGTGCAAAATAGCATTTAAATATATAATCTAATGCGCACAACATGCGATCAGGCGTTCTTAAACTGATCGCAGGTTAGGTCCGGCTGTATTTCACCCTGTCTAAACGGTAGATATTCTAGGGGGGAGGGGGGGACTATGGGGTCGTATGTTGGGAAAAGTGTGTTATTGTAACCGTGTTAATCTTTCTCAACAGGAGGTACCTGCAAGACTGCACGAGTCGATAAATGACACTGAGCCACTGCTGTCTCAGTCTTCATAGAGGTTTTAAATGTATCCGCCCTTGTGCTCTGAGACAAAGTGGACCTCTTTGATTGCTTATGACTTTCTCTCTGTGGGTTGCAGTGAATCTGGTACCCGAACAACTGGAGTAATTAATTCACTGAACACTCTCTTAAACGGGCGTTGCCTGACCATTATCACTTTCGATCATTATCCTCAGTTACAGTAAAACCCCCATAACTCGAATTCTTGTTCTTTTAACTCTACTCGGATGTTATCCCATTAGTTCTTCTTGTTGTATAAGACTAAAAACACTAAAACTGACACTGGTCACTATTAAAGGCAATTTGATTTTAATTGGTGAAACGAACAGATCACGTGTTATCATAAAAATGCCTTATCATGTTACCGTTTTTGATGAAAGAAGTAAATTTGCACTTCACCAATCACTAAATTGCTGAGAAATTAGTAACTATCAATTTTCAACATGGCAAATTGAATTTGTCAGTTGACCTCAATGACTCGAACCCTCGCTAACTCGAACTGTTTTTCGTTTCCCTTTCGAGTTGGAGTTACCAGGGTTCTACTGTAGTTCTTTCAGTAGTCACGTTATAATCACTAATCTGTCAATAATTCGGTTGATCGTCCGTTTGAATTTAGCAGCGGGTCCAGAACTTCCTTATTCTTAGGACCGATTTTTCCATGAAAGAGCCGAATGTGAATGAAATTTGCTTTTAAATGATTTGTTTGCAGTTTAGGCGAGTCAAATTTACCGTCCACGTTTCTCAGATTGTATTTTGCTGTGTGCTGATGAGTAACTTAAAGTTCCTAACGAGTTTCTTACTTAAGTTCTTGTTAGGGCCTCTTCACATGAGCCGGTTACCGGGATGAATTTCCCCTGGGGTTCATATGAGAAATTTCAACCCGGTTTCCGGAATGAAAAAAGGCCAAAGATCCTGGGACGAGTTCTGGCGCCAAAATCGACAAACAAAGCGAACATGGCGAAACACAAAAATTTTAACTTTCGCGCTTATCATAGCTTCGGCAACTCTTAAAGCTGTATCACTGCAGTTAAATGGGATGCTTATGATATGGAAAATACAGCAGGTAATGCAAGACGATGCCATGCGGGCCGCCAGAATTCATCCCGCCGTTCATCCCGGTAACCGGGCTGAAGTGTTCATAGGGCAAAATTTCCCGCCCGCTTAACGAGATCCCTGTTGGAAAAACCGAGACCTCGGGAACCGAGCCAGCCCGCCCTCTGATATAATCACACCGAAAATTATATAGAGGTAAGGCGAGATCTCAGAAACTGGGCCTGCCCGGTCAACCGTGCTCATCTTAAGAGGCCCTTAGGGGTTGATTACAAGGCGGATTTCAGCCCGGGATGAAGTTCGCCACGTTATTACCCCCTTAGACTGTTAATAGCAGACCTTTCACTCTTTCTGTGCTCTAGTACGGCGTAGATACGTGTAGGTAACAGGGGCTTTATCCCTGAAAGTTCAGATAACGTTTGGGGCCTTAAATTGCGGTGCAGGTTGTTGCCCGCATACAAACGCGACGAATTTGTTTCTAAATTTTGGGTAGGTGTATCAAGATTTTCGAGAAAAAATATCTGGGTTACAATTAAATCAGTTTAATCAATCAATTGGAGCGGCGTATGCCTAAGGAGCGCCGGTATTTAGAGGTTAACTAGTTAAAAATCGTAAGCTAAATGACAGCCTTTGTCTTTTTGATGAGCAAAAAACTCAGGAATTTGTACAGATAGTCAGCTGTAAAGTATTACTTTCATTGAAGACTATGGGAATACAGGAGTGTTTGAAAATAGAAATTAAATACGTCTTAAAATGTATACATATTTGACAATTAATATGTACATTTCCGAGTATTTACTCTTTGAAGGAACATTACGTAGGAAAATATGGACAACTATTGATTTCAGAAGCTTTTTTCAATCTGGATAGTTCTTTTGCCGTCACGGTCCCCACACTGAAGAATGTCTTAACTGTTACCATACAAAAATCTAAATTATAATTATTATGAATATTATTCAATGATTTTACAGAACAAAAGAAAACTCTGTAAATGATCAAGACTCCTCTCGATACGATTTATACATTCAGGATACTTACATAGATACGATACATACACGTTCGCGAGTTTTAAAGCGTTAGAAAACGAGCGAGCATGTTGGCATGTAGTCAGACAATGATTAATTTTTTCTTTCAGTTGCCCAGTAACAAACCAGGAACTGGTCAACTAGCGAAGGCATCTCCGTCAGATTAAGCTGTTAGGAGTTTAAAATAGAGAACGGGGACAGCAGTGAAAACGTTTCTTTATAGAAAGTGATCTTTTGCTCCTTTAAACTTTATCGGCATTATTCCAACTCAATTCATTTTCAGATGTGGCCGAATTCTCCTGGAATTGACTTATTAACACCACATTCAAGTTTAGAAAGAGAAAGAAAAATCGGTCGACTGGTTTTTACGTCTTCCATAAAACGGCGCATCAGGAAAATTCACGTCGTAGTCCTGACGGCAAAGAAGTGGACCAAATAGCATGGTGCACACGTGAAAAAACCGTCACGTTTATTCCAAAAAATCTATTGCTGTTTTAACGTTCTTGTTGCAAACCCCGCAGCCTATCTTAAACTCCCTATTAAGCGTGGTCTATGTAGACGTAGTTGGCGCCAGTGTTGTTATACTTGTTGGCGTGACAGAGGCCACTCCTTCGAATGACTCATCGTACAGAAAACCTATCAAGTCAAAACAAAATGAACAGGAAATTTACAAATTGAACCCCGTCATGATCTCTTGACCGCGTTTATTGGATAATTATTAATGTCTGTAAAACTAGCGGTTTGTTTTAGATGGTTATAAACGCCAAAAGACTCTTGTCGATACTAATACCAAGTCGTCAGGTACCCATAGGATGTCGATTTCAGTATTTGTGAGGTTTTGAGGAAAAATGCCGATATTGTCTCTTTTGTCAAATTACAACAATGCTTGGGGAGTAATTGCGGTAATCTCCAAGCTAAGTGAAAAGTAAGATGATTTGTTTCAGTTTGTGGAAAACTGCTCTTTTTACGTTTTAAGGACTCCTTCAAGCGGCGCGTCTTTGTTACCTTACAAGCCACCATATCAAGATACTTACCAGCAATACTGGCAGTCATAAAGCAGGCTATGGTGGCGGCAAACAGGGTTCTTATAGCAATCCTCGCCATGTCACTCTGTCGGCTTGGCGCCATCGGTCCCAAACCCCCAAGTAATACACCCAGGCCAAGAAAATTCGTAAAGCCACAGAGTGCGTATGTAGCGATGACCTCCGATCGGCGCTACAAAAGGTGAGACCAAGAAAATGTTATACAGTTTTAGAATTCACTTTTTCATGTTTTGTTATTATATCAGAGCGCCAACGTTCAGAAAATAATGTTTATTTACAAACTTTCTCGATGTTATCATCAAAATCATGGAAGGGATGACAGTTTTATGTAAGGTATATGAAAACGTTACCTTTTTGCCAAAAAAGGCCCAAAAAGGGTGTGTGGTAGAATGCCGACTTCCCGAAACCTGGGGCTCACAAACCTTTCGATAATTTGAGTAGTATAGGGCGCACCGAATTATCCGGTTTTTACCCAGGAATGTCATTGACTTACCGGGGGGTATATTAACGCCAATCATGTCGTAGCCTTTTGTCTTGTATGTTTTGTTTTTATCTCAGGAGCAAAATGCGGTTTAACCCGTTGAACAGGTTTTCTAGTTATTTCTATGTAAATGAAAGTCTTGCTTTTTGATTGGCTGACTAAAAACCAAGAAAAGTATTCGTTGGTTTATTCATGTTGTCGAAGAAATAAGCGCCAGCTCGCCTGTGACTTATAATCACTAAGCCGTAACGTAAAGAGAAAAGTTCTATTTCCAGCTGCTTAGGCACACAATTCGTGATAGTAGCTCCTTTTTTCCTCCCTTTTTTGTTTCTCCTTATCTCTATTGCTTTCCCCTCACCGCCGTTACCATTCTCTCCACTACTACACCATAAATCAACCATTGAATACCTTTTTAGTTTTTAGCATAATCAATCAAAAAGCAAGACCTTCCTCGACCTAGAAATACCTAGAAACAAGTTCAAAGTATTAAATCACCTAAAAGTAGAACATGACCTCATCTTAATGAGATTCCTCTGCATTTCTATCATGAGTTAAAGACAAATAGCTGCAAAAGCTATGGCGTCATAGGCAAGTTCATGAGATTCCCCCACGAATAAAACGGTTTCTTCGATGCGTCCTGTACAATGTCCTGTACTACTTATTTGGATCAAAACTGACTTTCCTTCCCCAGTCAAACAAAGTCATTTTATCTAGATTCGGCCCGATTTTTCGTACCTTCCGAGGCAGTTTCCATTCTCCTGGGGAAGGCGGGGGGGGGGGGGGGGTGAGAAAAATCAAGGATTATACTCTGTAAGGGGCGGAACTTAGAGGACGGTTTATTGCAATATTCACCGCATTTTGGGTAATTCTCCTACCGATATAGAAGGTTCTCCGTTCATTTCCTGTCTGTTCTTTATGTATGGTGCCATCTCAACGTAGGCTACTAACTCGTTGAGAAATGTTTTGATACCCAGGAACATTCCAACAGCATTGCAATCAGCCCAATCTACACCCATGAGGAAGGCAAATGGCATAAACAGGTAGGAGCAAATTACCTTAAAGAAAGAGTGAAAATAAAATGAATTGAATTGAATTGATAAATTTTAGTTATTGACCACGGGAGAGGTCAACAGGAACGAATATCAAGTCTCACGACATCCTATTATGAAGAATGGATTTTTTTCCTTTCCGGTTTGACTGCGACTGGAGAGCACCACCCTGGAGCGTCGTCTATTGGCAAAGTGTCACTGCGGTTAAGTGTTTCAGTCTCTAAAGTTTTCTTTTTTTCGCTAACATTCGATGTGTTCAACGCCCGCACACTCAACCTGCTCAAGGGGAACGCCCTGGGAAGAGGTTGCTGCACACTCCAACATGGTAGTCGATTCGATCCCTTCGATAGAGGCCCCGGGCTTGGTGCGCACATACAAGGCTCTTTAATCAGTTAAACTCCCTACTATCCTCTTCATCACTGCTGGAAATCCTACGGTGCTCTGATTGGCTGGGCGATTTTTTGACGCGAAGGGCGAATCTAGCCTTACAATCTAACACGCTGTGGCCCAGAGGTTATTGAAATTCACGCTCCGTGGAAAGTGGGGAGAGGTAACAAGCTCTTGATTATGTGTGTTGTCATTGGACAATTAGTCAATCGTCGTGGCTCAATTCGCCACTTTAGAAACGAGACGGGAACTGGATCCGAAATGCGTCCCGCAATTGCTTCTGGGATCGTTACTGGAGATGCGCCAGTCAGCTATTAGGGATTTTAAGATCGAACGACGCGACCCAACGAGAACGTCAAAAAAACAATAGGTTTAATAAGCAAAACAACAAACTCGCACGTGCATCAAACTATTTTGTACTTTTCTTTTCCGTTTTTGCACGACTACGACATGAAAATGCCTAGTGTCGCGTTTTATGGAGGACGTAAACAAGCAACGACGAAGTATTATTTCTCTTTCTGAGCTTGTATATAGTCACTTGAAATTCAGCTTCAGGAGGGTTGCCTACATTTGACAAAGTGAGTGGGTAGAAATAATCGCTATATAGACTGAAAGAACGCAAATTCACATTTAACGCGGCGTTCTCGTTACCCCCGCGTCGTTGGATCTTAAAGTCCCTAATATTGTCTTGATTTTTTCCCTGTCCTTAGTACCAATCCCAGACGTCTTTGCGAAAGTTCACTCCTCACAGTTTTCCTTAAGTGGCTAATGAAACAGCTTTTTAAAATTCTTAAACTTGCCTGAAAACTCAATTTAGAGTAGCCCACCATGCTGCCTATGTATGACAAAATCGAGTTAAAGAACGCAATAAAAGCAAAGAATGTCAAGAGCATCGCTGCCACATTTGCCACCAGAGAAATGGAAGAGCTTGCTCCCTTAGCGGCTGCCTCGATTACATTTCTTTCCTCTCTGCAAAGAAGCCAGATGAAGCCAGTTAAGAAAAGTCTACTCTACGCCACCCCAACATATTTTTGAGAGAAACGAAATACCCGTAGCAAGTTTGACGTTTTTCTTTTATGAACTTCAATTGTTCTTGTAGGTTATTGAACTCCAGTTGTTGCTGTATCGTTATGGTGAGAGCGTGAAATTACGTAATGGAAGAAAACAACCTCGAAAGTGGGATTTTTTACCCTTTACCTCTTTTTTAAAAGCCCCAATCTGATCCACATAATAATCAGTACAGAGAATTTGTTAAAAGATGAAATATTTTGTATTTGTTGATTGCTGGTCGCTCTTGTATAGTAAGATAAAGAAAATCCTTAATAGCTGAATGCAATACAGAAAAAAGAAACATCTTTGGGTCTTGCTTAGTGGCCAGGCCCATGAGAAGACACTTTTATCCTCTCTTGCTAGGCCTCATTAATTACCGTGATCTATCCATGTGGGGTCAATGTAGAATTCTCCGAGTCTAACGTGATATACTGTGACTGGAAAGATTACCAATTTGTCACTTACGGCCTCTCGAAATGTATTGTGTCTTGTGACGTAGTTTCCGGTACTTCTGTTTCCGGATACATGATTTTGGATACTGCTAAAGCAGCAGGAGCCGACATCACAGAGGCTGATATCAAATGCGAAGCCTGGATCCCAACTCCAATATATGCCGCCAAAACACCTCCGGCCACAGTGGCCAGGCCTCCTGTCATGACAGCGTGAAGCTCAGACTGAGTGAGGGTTGCGAGAAATGGTCTGATCAACAACGGTGCCTCAGTCTAGAAAATAATTACAGTGTGGCCAGGTTGAAATTGAGAGCGAAAGATCTCTGCAAGATGAAGGTAGCATTTATTTCTGGAGGTGAAATTAGTAATCTTACCTGTCCAACGAAAATGTTTCCGGCAGCTGAGAGAGACTCGGCAGCAGAAGTTCCCATAGTGATCTGCATAAGCCAGGCAATCTTAGATATGATCAGCGGCATTACACCCAAGTAGTACAGCACCGAGATGAAAGAACTGAAGAAAATTATCACCGTGAGGACCTGGACAGACATTTCAAACAAGATCAGTTAACTTCCTTGACTATGGTTTATCAGAACTAAATTTTCGGCAGTCCTTACATTTGCCGGGAACCCCTCATTGAGCTTAAACGATCAAATGAAAGACAAACAAACAACAAAAAACAAACAAATTTTATTGAAAATTGGAAAATAACTAATTACATTACTTTCCCACCCGCAAATAGCTTATGAACTAATCGAGGCGGGGGGAGCTGAAGACATATTACAAAACAAGAATTCTATATAGATGGACTAAATAACAGTGAAGAGACTACAATACAGTAAATAGAGTTTAAACTAACATAAAACAAGGCATGTACATAACGATTACGAAGAGAGGTTAACCTAAAGTATTAAATAACTTAATAAGACGGGAGACTTCGACATAATCATCTTCTGACCGCAAAAAATTTAGTAATAATTCCTTTATTTTTTTACGAAAGGACGAACGTTTAAGTATTTTAATCGAATACGGAATAGAGTTCCAAATTTGGGCACCGATTCTCGTGAAAAAGGCATACATTTTATCGGTTCTAGAGAACTTAACATAAAACGAGTCGCTAGAGACAGATCTTGTTCTGTAGTTATGAATCTGACTTGTTTTAACGAACTGATTGAGAATACTAACTGGTGCTGTCTGTCTGTTGATATCATACAATAAATAGCTACAATCTCTGAAAAATATGCTAGGCAGGGGAAGGCAATTTGATTTGAGAAAGAAGGGTACGGCGTGTTCCTTAGACTTACTGAAGTAAATGAGACGTAAGGCCCGTTTTTGTAGAGTTACGATCTTTCGTTGAAATGTCAAGGCACAATTTCCCCAACCACAAATACCATAAGTCAAGTAAGGGACAATTAATGAGTTGTAAACTGAAAGTAAAACACGACGCGGGACATAATGTCGAATTTTAGCTATAATTCCTATCGACTTGCTGATTTTGTGACAGACAGATTCGATGTGGTATTTCCATGAAAGATTTGAATCAATCATTAAGCCAAGATATTTTACATAACCTCATAGACCTCACCTATTTTGAAAAAGGAACAACAAAACGCAGGCTACACACAAAATGAAGCCGAGTGCGCGCGGGAGACTTTGACTAGAAAGAGTGACTAAAAACGTGACCAGAAATCTCAACCCGGCGCATGCGTAGACGTTTTGCTGCGGTCTTGGCCTCATCTACTTCGAAAAAGGAACTCACGAGATGAGCTTACCGTATTCACTCGAATTAGCGTGTGCCTCGAATGAGTGCCGCATTTGAGAGGAAAGAAAGTTAATTAGCACCGCCCCCGAAAAAGCGTCGCGGCCCCGATATAGAGAAAGTCAAAATAAGTTAATTGTGTTAGTGTAGTACAGAAGATCGAATAAGCGCCGCAGTTGAGGGGCTTATTCGAGCAAATACGGTATTCACATTAGCTTTCGAAAGCACTTTGAATGTCTAATAAAGTTAGAAACTTGATTTTGGAAAATTAAACTTTGTGATGGAGCCGATGGTGATAGGTAATAGACACTTTGCTTCTTTTTAATCAGTTTCAGGAATGATTTTGTTAATTTATCAACGGATTTTATCGAGTAAATTATACTGGATCACTCAGCTAGCAGCGAATCGTACTCTTTTTTATTTTCAATGAATAAATAGGATACTGATTAATTCTCCGGCCCTACCTTAAATGCAATGTAGTGGACTATATAAGCTTCTCCAAAGACGAAGGCTGAGCCAACATCCGTGTATTCTAGAAATCTTGTCACAGAATCACCAATAAATTTGAAAGCTGTAAATCCCTGAGAAGTCCTCAGAATGATTAGAGCAAAGACAAACTGCAAACTCATACCCCACAAAACGGGCCTCCATTTTATCTGAAAAACGAGAATCCAAAAGCATTTGCTCTTGTCATAAGTTTACAGATCTCTGAGCTTCTTCGAAGACTCATGGACATAGAGATGGAGGCGACGAAAGCAGGAAACATTGTTATTGTGGCCGATTTCTAAGCCCGACCCTTTGAACTTTTCCTTTCCCTTTTGGCCTCGCTGGTGGGAAGAAGGGAAAATTCTGGTTCAATTCTAAGCGTCCAGAAGAGGTGGAAGTGGAGGTGATTTTGAGAGCAAAAGGGGCTTCTAGCCGTTTTGAATTGAAGATTGGTAGCCAAAAGACATCTTAGGGTCCAAAAAAAATTTGGGATCGGCCCAATACTTGGACAATAAAAAAATGATTGCAACGGGTACTTCCGTACTCAGCAGAGGGGCCTAACAGTGACAAATATAATATTTTCGATTCTTCAAGATGATTATCGCTGAAATAAAAGCTGTAAGAATATCTTGCAGTTAGCCTGTACACAGACGTTGTTTCGAATTTTAATTTTTATCATGCGCTCGACGGACTTTGAAGAGAAAATAGAGGGTCTGTGAACAGGCTATCTTTAAGTATTCCAAGCCCCCAAAACGTTAAAGAAGTAAACATTGGATTCGTTTTAACATACGATCTTTACACAACAACTCACTTTTCTCCGGTTAACTGAGAATAGATAGCTAATCCCCACGTAAACCACCATTCCTGCCAATGATATGAACCTTCTAGGCTCCTTAGCGGTATCCAGACCAAACCATAAACCAATTAACGTCAATGCAACCAATAGAACAATCCTATAAAAACAAATCATATATATTGGATAACGGGCTCTCGCGGGGGTACTCCCATATGAGCGATATATGGGAACGTGACGCTCAACGAGGAGGGCTTTTTACTTATCGGAATCTGGAACAGGATATAAAATCACCCGTTATCTCTGGAAGATATATTTTACTGGAACGGGCACCATTTTTCGCTTTCATCCCCGATTATTTTCGACCAAGCTTGAGTGTGAAACCACTCCCCTCGTCTTCACTGAGCTGGTCATAGTCTTATTGTCTGGAAAAGGGTTGCAAACAGATTCATCTCTTTTTAAAGATCATATGAACTACGGAAATACAACTCTAAATCTTCATTCTGTATTTTAAAAATTCCTAAGATGAAGATTGAGGTCAAGATGAACTCAACAAACTGGCCTGCTCCTAATGCATGGGTCTTCATAGCTCAGTTGGTAGAGCTCTGCAACGCTAACGTTAACGCAGTAGTTCAATTCCCGTTGAAGCCCAGAAATATTTTTGGGCATAAATTGCATATTGCTCAAATTGCGATTACTACTGCGACGGTCATATCTTTATTCATCTTCATTTGCCAAATAAATGTAACTGCACTACGTTTACTTAGTATTCCTCGATTTTAACACACGCGAAAACTGTAGCTGCTGGCCAAGATCAGGACTCACCAGATAACCGAAATATAATCAAGACACCCATCAGCTTGGAAAGGGTTTGGGAGATGGAGATACGTTTGGTTTAGAAAACTGCGTACCTCTGTAAAAATCCTAGCTACAGTCTAACCTGTATTAAGCGGTCACCATTGGGTAATGGCTTACTGACTCATTCACCAGTGGCAGATCCAGACCTTCAGATAAGGAAGGGGGGCGTTCATCCTGACCTTGAGATAAGGGGGAACACCCGGTCTAAAAAAAAAAACATTTTTCGGCCCTTCGGGCCTCAGATTGTTCTGAAAATAAGGGGGGCGGGCCCCCTACCCCTCCCCTGGATCCGCCACTGCTCACTCACTCAATCTCTCCATCCCTGGTGGGACGTAAGGTCGAAATCAAACGTCGCCACTCAACCCTGTCTTTAGCTTTGGCCTGCGCCTCGCCCTTTGGCCTGCGCTTCGCCCCAAGTAAGTCCCACCTCCTCCAGCTCTTTCATCGCTGTTCTCCTCCGGGTGGTTTTTGGCTACCTCTTTTCCTCTTCTCAGTTAGAGTACATCTCAAGGCAAATTTGGGTAGCCTGTCCATAGGTATCCTAAGAACATGACCAGTCCATTGCAGCCTGCTGTTCGTTGGAGAGACATACTGTTTGTCCTCTTATAAGTTCCTCATTAGCGAACTTGTTGGGCCAGTAGATTTTTCAAATCTTGCGGAGGCAGCTCTTATGAAAGATATCCACCTTTCTCATATATCCTTTCGTTACTCACCAAAACTCAGAGCTATATAACTGCCTTTGCTGTTGTAAAGCCTGATCGTATTTTGAGGCTTTATTGCTTAGACTTCCAGGTGTTTCGTAGTGGACTAAAAGCACCTCTGGCTTTGTTAAGGCGGGCCTTGATGTCTTTATGGGTACAATGCACTTCCTTTCATCTCCACTGATATTGATTTAGGGTGCTATAGGGGCATTTACACAGTTTACATACATCTCCTAAGTCTTTCTAAGGTTGATGTGCAGACCAGTTTGTTTTGCAAAATTGCTAAGTCAGTGGCAATTTTCTTGGAGATGGCTAAGAGTGGCTGGCATGACTGCCATATCGTCGGCAAAGATAAGGTCTTCACTGGATTCCACGAGGACTGTCTGAAGTTGTTTCACGCATCAGCCAGTCGATGACTACTAGAAACAGGATTTTAGAGAGAATACAACCCTGAAGAGCTCCAGACTTAACCAGGAATGACTCTGTCAGAGCATTCTCCAAGATGACAGTTTATTCGAAATGTTCATAAAATTTCCATATGATGATAACTATCTTACATGTAAGTGGTAATCCGTATGCCCTCAGAATCTTCCAAAGACTTTCAGGGTGAGCATTGTCGAATTCCCTCTCCAGAACAATAAAGTTGGTGAGCAAGGGAACATTCCATTCACTGCACTATTCGATGATGTTAAGAGCACAAAATTGATATATGCAGCCTAGGCCTTTACGAGATCCAGCCTGTTCCTGCCTACATAAATGCACACAAACTTAAGTTTGGATCTATGGCACTATCAATCCTTTTGAGGAGCACTCTTCCTCTGCTTCTTTGGTAGGGGCATAACACTGCAAGATAGTCAAATTGCAGTATCCTGAGGCAAACCTTACCCTGATTAGGCCATCGCATTGGGTTCCCGGGCCATCAGAGCTTTGGCTGTTTTCTGTTTGCAATAAGGACTACACCACTGAAGTGTGCGTTGGCTTTCCCTGAGAAAAGGGTAGTTGAGCCATCGCGTGTAACCTTACGTCCAGACCCAGTCCACCTACACTCCCTTACAAAGAGGAGGTCCAAGTTGTAGTTCTACTGTTTCTTTATGACCTGCGCTGTTTTAGAGGTTTCAAAGATGGTGCACACATTCCATGCTCCAATGCGGAAGGTAGTTCGAGTCCCATAAAGCTCTCATTCGAATTTCGAATTTCCTGAGATGGGTTTTCATCCAGAGTTTTCATGGTGTCACTGGTTTGGCTAGAGTTTCCTATTTGCCCCAGGGTTTCTGTGCATAGTGTTGTTGCAGTTTCACTAACACGTTGTTGTTTCCCGGCGTGGGGTTGTTAGTCCTACACCCAACCCCCAACCCGGAGGACCAGGTGCTGCTTTTAGTTTGTCCTCTCCACTGTAAACTGCCAGAATTGGTTGGACCTGCCAGGGGCTAAAGCCTCCGCCGGAAAAGCTCACAGCGTGATTAAGGCACGCAAGCTTCCCCACCACGACAAGGTAACAGCACACAGGGGAACCTCTTAATGCAGGCTGATCGTCTAATACGGGTTTGGCAAACCTGAGAGTTATTCAGGGAAATGAAAATGTCCAGCGAGCGAAAAGTCCATCCCGCGACAAATTGACCTTAAAGTGTCTCTACCTCTTCTTGCGCCAAAAGAAAGGAAGTAAAAGACCCGCACTAAACGCCATACACAGTGTTTCCGTTGTAATAGTATGGTACATCATAATGGAGATAAAGACAATAAAAAAGCAACTCTTTGGAACCACGAAAAAGGTGACAACGACCCCTTAATAGAGGTGACTGATAAAGGTTGGCTTTACAGTAGTGCTTTGGCAGCTTTAGCGCAGCCGCTTAATAAAGGGAGAACCGCTCAAGGGCGGTTCGTTTAATACGGATTTGACAGCTTAATAGCGGTTCGCTTAATACAGGTTTGACTGTGCGTCCCTTTTAATTCACTGACTACGTAGCCAGACTTACCATCTAAGGTACCTCCACTTTCTTCTCAACAGTGAAATAACTGGCGAACAGCACACGTTGAAAATGGCTTCTCCACAATGGTCACGAATGAACATGTACGTCACACAAAACCAAAAAATAACAGCGATCACGAACAGTCCTTTTACTTTATGGAAGCCGGACACAGAAATGGCTACAGAAAACAAGAGAGGAGTTTAGTGACTACACCATGTAAATGAAGTAGCGTGGTATACTTGGCCCTAAAGCTGACGTCCCGGAGAGACTAAGGGCAGGGTAGACACTCCCCCTTAAAGAAGTTCCTCCTTATTCAGTATGAGGGTTATAATATAAAATGGTTTGATGAGATGAATTTTTGAATTTTTTTTTAGAAAACTGCTACGCGACATCCACTGGAAGGGAACTCTTAGCATAGAGAACAGATGAGCAAGTCAAGTTAATCTTAATGTCTGTCTATTACTAGCTACAGTTCGTAGAGGTTTAACAATTTTACGAAGGTCGGTAAGGGTTACCTGTTCTTTGAAAGCAATATATAAGGTTCGAAGTTCGGGAATGGTCTTCTTAGAATAAAAATTTTCAGAGAAATCCCCACAGGGGATACCTCTCGAAAACGGACAACGGACAACGGAAAACTGGTTAGGCTGAGTTCCAATTGTTTGTCTATATGGGTCAGGTTTAGGAGTCGGTGAACACTTTTCTGAGACGGACCCGTAAGAGTTGGTGCCATTGGTATCCAACACACAGCAAGTTAACGTGAGTGATGAAAGGTGAAGTAGCTCGAGATTACGCATGCACAAAATTTCATGAACAAAAGCCTTCGTAAAAATTATACTTTTTACAGGATTGTTTATTAAAATGAATTGATTATGTGATTTGAGTCAAGAAAAACATTGGTTCAGAATTCCGTCATCGGTAACAAGTGGGACCTGTTTCATGTATATATCCGTTTAGTCATTAACTTCTTGTTATTATAACAATAACACTTACCTGCGATCGTGTAGAAAAGCAAGATGAAAGAAATGACCACAACAGTGATTTGAAATCTGTACTCCTGCCAAAGCCGCTGAAGAGTTCGTAGACGTGGATTTCGGCGTCTCTCCAGCGAGGGTGCTCGGGTTCGGCCATTTTCTATCACCGTTTCTAAACCTATGTCGACCATCTCAATAGAATTCGGATCCTTACCCTAAAATGAAAGTCAGTTGAACATGATTTATGAAATCGCTGATTGTAAAAAATGAGGTAGAAAATGCAGGAGTTTGTGCGGTTAGTGTCTATTGCAAAAGGGAAACAAGAATATTAAATTTCGTGTCATCACCTTAGTGAAATGTCAAGGGTCAAGGACAGTGGAAATCCCCCAGATTAGGGTCCCTGGGCGGTAATCATTAATGGCTAAATTTTTCTTTAATAATAATACAAAGTGACTTAACGGCTAATTTTTTGTTATGTCTGTAGACAAAAATTATTGCAAATTTAGCCATTGCCTAAACACCGTGAACAAAGGGGGAGAGGTCGGGTCATATTTATCTCCTGTCTAAAATCCTTGTGACAAAAAGAGGAGGGTATCAATGGGGTTAACCGTCAGCCGTTAAACAGCCTACAATGTAACCGTCAACCGTCAAAAATTCAGATTGATATTAACCGTCAAAAAGTTTCAAGATATTTCAAATCTCGCTATTTCAGCTGATCTTCATGGACTTCTGGTTGCTAAAGAATATCCAGACTGGAAAAACCAGTTCCCATGCTCTCAAAAACACTCTCTCTAGACATTACAAGACCTTAGAACTTGCTTTTAGCTGAAAATGTCGAAAATATTTCGAAATTCTATTACGTCTGATTAGTGAAAGGCTAAGACAACCTCCAAAACACAACAGTTAATATTAATTGTGGGCGACAAGAGGAGCCCGCAATCCTAATGTCTAGGTTGTTATTACGCATGTGTCGCATCTATGTAGTCATTCGTTTGGACTACCACTCAGAATGAATGGAATGCACAAAACGAAATTTGATCACACGCGTTTCGACTTCTACCCTCGTAATCTGATCACGCTTGTTTTGACCATCTGTCACGTGAACCTTACGCAGAGCATCGCGTTGGAGCAAAAGCCCGAAAAGCGTTTAGACCTTCGATGATCGTTTTCGCCCGCACTCCCTAACCTTTGGTCGTTACTAGTTTATTCAAAAGTTAATATTTACTTCAATTTTCACTTAATAACCGTCAAAAGCCTTGAAATGTAACCGTCAACCGTCCCCGGGGGCGGGGGAGACTCCGCACATGAAAGGGGTGGGGATGCTAGTCGGAAATTTTGAATTAAACCCCTAAAGGAGACCGATCTGGGAGGGGCCCAAGCTTCTTTTGACCCCTTAAAGAGACCATGTTAAAACACAACAATATATATATTTTTATATCTTTTTCGCGTGCAACCCTAAACGAGACCTTCACGGCTAAATATGATGGCGTTTTATCTAGAACACCCTCAGTGAGACCAAAATCCGAAATTTATACCCCTAAGCGAGACGACGAGCATCCCCACCCCTTTCATATGGGGAGTCCACCCCCCGGGCAACCTTCTAAGCTACTACCCTGATTGAGACCCTCAAAAAGACCTCTGCGGAGGAGAGGGTCGTCAATACCTTTAAGGAAAGATAGTTAGCAAGTTGGTGCCCAGAGAATTTGTTTTGGTACCTAAGGTTTACCTTTTATCCAAGGGCCAGGAGTCCATAATGGGTTCTTGCTACACTGCACCAATGACAGTACGAATCAAACTTGCATGAGAAATACTATAATAACGGTGAATGCAAGCTCATTCTCAGAAATTTCCCTTTCTACGGCCAGATTCTAAGCCCTGGGGATAAGGTTGTTGTGAGTGTAGTGAGGGGCGGGAAGACAGATAAGCGAGAAACTTTTCTTTCTGCCTTTTACTGTCTAGAAAGTAGGGATAAGGATACCGACAGATACTGGCTCCTCTGTACCCTACCTTAAAAGCAGGATTAGTTCTACAGTTCTATCGTTATCCGCAGTCCACGGTCTAATGCCGTCTAATGTTGTACTCTGCCGTCCGCGCAGTTTTAACTCCAAGCATTTTGAATGACGCACACAATAACAACCCCTGGCCTTGCGCAACCGGACGAAATAAGATTCGATAGCTCAAATATACAGGAAACGGTCGATTAAGCCGCCAATTTGTCTGGTGTAGTAATGACCAAAAAATTCCTCGTTTTCGCAAATCAAAAATGATAATCAAACTGTTGATATCTTGGTACTTATGCACGTATGCGAGGAGTGTGTATTAATGCAATTAAGTGATAATGTCATTATTCGAAAATGCTAATAAATGAATTATTGGTAAATGTCGTATTTAAAACACTTATTAAAAAGGCATTAAACCAGACACAAATGGCTTTAAAATATTACCAAACTAAAATATTTTATCAATCTGTCTGCAAACCTATCGTACAAACCTTCGTTACAGTTCCCATGTACGTGTATTAGTCTACTTCATATAAATGGGGGAGACCCTATCCAACATGTCAACAGTTGCGATTGTTGATTTTAAAGACGCTTAAACCGCTTGGGTGGTCTGTAACTCCGAAAGTTTTGACAATACCCTTTAAAGAAGTTTGGGATCGCTGATTTATTTAAGAACTCAGGAGAGCCATATACTGTACAAACCTTGTTATAACTGTGATCCATTGTAGTTAGAGTTCTTCGTTAACAGAGCCCAGCACCTTCCACGTGCCGTGAGAAACGACTTGTTTTTTATACCACTTGCGTATTGGTTGGTGTTAAATCATCTTTAAATTGAAAAGTTTCGTGAAAATCACATGTTCTGTTTTAAAGTTTGTGCGAGTTTGTGATACGTAACAGAATCAACTGGCGATCCGATTGAGATCAGTAAAGAGTGATGCTTGTTGATCGATTTTTAATAGCCAGTTGAAATAGTTATGCAAATGTCATTGCAACCAAGATTACTCACTTTGTTACGCTTGGGTGGATTTTAATAACTTTGGATTTAATAATTTTTAATCGAAAGGGAAATTGCTACATAAGGATGATTAAAGACTTCCATTGATGGCGAATTTATAGGTCGTTTCTGGAATCATCCTCAATAACTTTTGCATCTGAAGTGTATCTTCTAAACGGAAAACCTAGGAGATATGTGCAAGAGAGAAAGTTTGTTTAAGTGCTATCTTCTTGACCTTGAACAAACATTAATCAAACAAGCCAGACTTCTGGTCAGCTGTCTGGTTCTAGTACTGCGTAACTAAGATAAGAAGTTTCGAGCAGAGTAAATTGTTTCAAAGTAGCGTAAAATCACGAAAAATATTGTTTCTCCATTAAAGCAAACTGTCCAAGATTGCTATTTCAAACAGGCGCAAATAACGGAAAACAACTTGCTTAATTTGAAGGACTTTATCCTGATGACACATGAAAACAGTTTTAAATCACTAAATACAATCATCATTAGCAACTTAAATTTGATGCACAATTCAGTCGGCATTGAAAGACGACCTCATCTAGGAGAAAAGACCTGGGGAACTGGGGCTTAGTTGCTTGTGCGCACGGACGTGCGTACTGAAAAGGTCGAAGGTAAAAAAACAAATAAATAAAATAACGTTTTCTTGAAAATATTTTTTTCCAAAACACCTTTTTTTCGCACTCGAATGTCGGTTTCCAGTGAATCAAAGTGATTCTTTAAATGATATATTTGGAGAAAAGATGGGACAATGCCGGCGCACAGATAACAAGCTGGAAGTATAAAAGGTAAACGCGTAGTTTTCAACTCTGCCTAACATGCAAGACCGGAAAAAGATTTAGGATTTGGGACTTTAAGTGTAGAAGGGGTGGGGGAGGGCAGGAATTTGGAAAATTTTTCGTAACTCCAGAACAATACTAGCAACTGTTCTTGTGGGACGAGGTTGCGTGGGAGACACAAAAGCAAACAAATAACATGTGCGGGCACAAGGACGCACTGGTCGTTACTGCTGCATTTTGCTAAATGGTAGTTTCAGAGGTTTTCTTTCCGATTTCCTTTCAAACAAAGTAACTTTGGCTCGATATGACTTTGGAAGAAGGGAGGAATGAGACAGGAATGATGGAATCAGGCGAAAAAAATGTATAAAGCCAAGATTAAATGCTGATTAGGTGACGTCTCCTTCAAACTTTGACGTAAATCAGCTCATTTAATGTTGCATCATTTTACGTTTTTGGGAAACTGCCCGCCTACCCCTCCCCTAAGCCAGCATTTTTTCCCTAAGTGAGAAGTGAGTTGATGTTGGCTTAGGGGAGGGGTAGGTGGGCAGTTTCCCAGAAAATGTTTGCCTTTCAAGCGTAACGATAGCGAGCCGGCTTTATGGAAAAAGGGAAGAAAAATGATTCCTTTCGTTTCTCCCATTCCTATATGCGATTTTCTCAATGATATCCCATGATTCAATTTGCGCACATAATACGAAAACGTGCTTGATTCAAGATTGAGGTAAGCGTTAATAGCTCTCAGTAATCGTTGTCTTTACTCATATTTAGTCTACTTAATCGTTATTCTTTGGTTGAAAAATACACTGAAGAGTATTGGTCACTCGCTGGAAATAACAGCTGTTTATCTGGTCATATGTTTGCCGACTTGATACCAAACTTGTCAAACAAGGCCAATACTCTTTTGTAGTCTTTGCTTTGTTCGGTCCCGACAAACCGCATTTATAAGTAAGGCGCTTTTATATAACTAATTAAAGCACATTCACACTGATGAAAACATAAGAAGTGGCATGACCGTAAATGGATGATTATTCTATTATTAACTCTCTTTCTGAGTGAATGTAGCTCATAAAAATGTCTCCACACACCGACACGTAAGAAGCGAACAGCTTGATTATATTGCTCACTCATATCATCCACATAATGCTTTTCAGGCTAATCTCTGAGTGCAGATGAAAGTCATTTGCGTACAGGTAAGGCAAACTTGGTAAGCACGTTTGTTTTAAAGACACATTTCTTGGTTTGTAATCATATGACAAAGCGGCTATCAGTTCCTAGCGGAGACAACCATCTTGGCCGGGCAGGGCGGATAGCTGCGGGCGGATAAAGGTTGGACGATGAAACGAGCGCGTCCGAGCAAAAAGGTGTGATGCAGTGGACTGGGACTCTGCTTAGAAATGTCGCTTGTTTTCGACTTCGGTCAAGGCTTGGGATGTGGTTTGTACATTGGACACTGCTGCTGTCACTGAATTATGGCAGCTTGATTTGTTTTCTTGCACTTCTTCCTCATTCCTTTGTGCTGGTACGCTGTCTCTGATTGGCAAATGTTGCTATTTTTGCGGGAGGTTTAGTTGGAGTAGACAAACATCTCTTTCAAAGGGTTTCTTTTATTACTTCCATGACTCTACCACTGAATTATATTTTTGTTCTGCTACTCGCCAATGTCGATGTTATTCCGAAACAAAAACAACTAAGTACTGTCTAAAACACGAAGGAAAATTTCATCCAGGTCATCCATGGCAAAACTAGAAGACAGCAGATCGTGTTTTATAACTAGATAACGTGTATTTTATAAATGCGTGCAGCTCGTGCAAGGTGAAATTATGCTAATTTCAATCACCATCATCCTTCTTTTTAATTTTGAGAAAAACATCTCATACGTCTTTCCGTTTCTTCGAAACTTCAAAATTAGTTTAACCTCAGTTTTTACTGTTTACCTTGTTTTGTTTTAGAGAGAAAAACGGAGAAAAAACCTTACAACTAACCTCGATAAATTTTGTTTACATGTGGTTGCCGGATTTGCAACGCAGTGCGCGAATCGCCATGGCGCTTTGCACCCGAGAAGCAAAGTTTGAAGAAGTAAAACGCCACTATATCAATATATATCAATCTAATTTTTTGTTATGTTATATAAAATTTATCCCCCTTTAACATACCGTATTTATTCGAATAAGCGCCCAACCTCGAATTAGCGCCCACCTCGAATAAGCGCCCATCCTAAAGGCAGAAAAAGTTAATAAGCGCCCAGCCTCGAATAAGCGCCCACCCCACCCCACCTCCCTCCCACTCCCACTCAAATTGAATAAGTATTAATAAGAGACTTCCCCGAAGACGGAGTTTTCTTCAAAGTATTTTACAGGAACATTGCCTTGTTACATCTTCGAGTTTTGTCATTACCATTTATTGTTTTGTTGCAAAATAAACATACTACACTTGCTGAAAATACTGAAAATTTAATAAGCGCCCAGCCTCGAATAAGCGCCCACCTCGAATAAGCGCCCACTCTCAAGGTCCAAAAATTTAATAAGCGCCCAGGGCGGTTAATCGAATAAATACGGTATGTGAAAATTGAGGTTAAGAAGTGTTCAGCTTTTGCAAACGAAACGAAGAAAGACGATTAGGTGATATTTAGTGGAAGGAGGAGGTATTCAACACTTTCAAATTAAACTCAAATTTTGGCATTATACGACCAACAAGTTTGACTTATAGACGTACAGACACAAACATATGAAACTGTTTATTGATATTGTTATGAAACGAATTTATCTATTTAACATTGTAGCCTGAAATTACAGAAAGAAAGTAGGATTTCCGGTTTGCAAAAAGGAAAATTTCGCCTGCTTTCAAGCACACCGGAAGCGCGGAAAGAGCGCTCGTGCCAGTCCTACTCCACATCACACAGTAAATGAATAGTGGAGCGCTCGTTTCACCGCCCAACCTTTATCCGCCCCGTGGCCGGGGGCCTGCGGGCCTGTGGGTACTCCCTTATATGGTCTAGACGGGAATAGGGTATGGTTTTTGACCTCTCTCAGGGGCACCCAACGAGAATATAGTTCAAAACCACTTAAACATAGCATTCTTAAACGTATTTTAGTATTTAAACGGTAGATATAGGCATATTTTTATCCCCTAAAAAATTTTCATCTGTTCGGATTTCCTAGCTGAAAGTCAAGTGATCCGAAAATTATAGGCATCAAAACTTACCTTTTCGAAAATTTCAGCCAGAAAAAAGGCTCCCGAAAATTCTAGGTGACCTTTTTCGGGTAAAAATCTGTTAAAAATGGTTAATTATACCATTTTTTAGATGTTCAAAAATCCTAGGAGAGCCAAGGAAGCAAGAAATTTTACAACAAAATTAATGTCCGAAAATTCTAGATCTCAAATCGTCTTCCGAACAGATATTTTCCGAAATTTGACGTTGGGTGCCCCTGCTCTGTCCTTTGAGGGGTATATTATTTTTTGTGAGTCGCTCCTTAACAGGGTATATAATTTCATGTGAGTCTGTCCTAATTATCAACTAGAATAAGCTTAATGAAGCATTATATAATTAGCTAATAACCAGTTCATGTAAAGCCTGGTTCACAGGCCATTCCACTCATGTGCCAAACCTAACTGATGAATTAAGGACGGCAAAAGAGCGGCATCTGAATCAATTTGGTACAGCAGTTTTAGTTAGGTGCAGCAAAAGTGTTTGATGCGGCAAAAGTTCAATAGAGGCTGTCGAACTTTTGTCAAACTTAACTTAGGCTGGACACACGGTGCACCGTGTGAATCAGATGTCGCACCAGTGTCCCTCCAAAGTTGAACTCATTCAGTTAGGTTCGGCACATGAAAAGTACGGCATTTGAACCTGGCCTTAGTAAGAGTAATAGTTTCTTATTAGGGGTTCTCCTTTTTTGTCTTGAATTACAGTCATAATATTGTAATAGATAAGCTGTGATGAAAGTGCAGGGGTCCTGAAACTAGCTTCCCATGTGAGCTGGCCAATACATTGACACAGTCTTTGCACTTGTTGTAGAAGATGTGTTTAGTGTGTTGGGAATTCTGCATTTACTGAGCTAGATAATAAAACAAAAATATTACAATCCTGTCCTTTAATTTTATACATTAAGAGTAGGTTAGATAGTAGTCTTTAGAGAGTGATTGGTTCTGTATTGCGGTCATTAAATTACTTTACCTGTTACGCTATTTGCAGCTTGGAGGAAAAGTAGTGTCCGATAGCCCTGCTGGGGTTGGTGGATTTTGCTGTTGGGCTCAAACTATTTTGCTATTGGGCTCAATAAATCCTGTTCATTAAAAAAAAATTTGTGCTAGTTGAGATGTGCATACTAACTACAGCTTGCCTGAATGGCAGGCTATAAGACTGACTTTCTTTACACCCTGCATATGTTCAGTTTTCTTTGGGAAGGTTGGGGATGCTTATTCAATAACATAGCCTCAAGGGGTGCTAATTTGAGCATTTTATGCTACTTGAAATAGCATTTTGTTTTTTCTTCTTGCAGGGTCAGATATCAGCTTACCGAGGAGGCAGGGTACTTGGTTGAGTTTTTTATTCTGAAAGGGAATTCAATTTAGAGAGTCTTCGCGAAAGAAAGTAGTGTCCTATAGCTTCATGCTATAGGACACTTTTGCGATAACCCATGGCTAGTGAATTTTGCTACTGGGCTACTGAATTCTGTTGGTGAAATATTATTTTAAACTGTAATTAAAATTACAAAAGATTAACCAATCCTGCTCAATAATTTTTTTTTTGAGCCAGTTAAAATGGCTGTTGGGCACATTACATATTATATTGCATACATTTTTTATCTGTATTTTAAGATAGAAGTACAATAATATTGTAACATGCCCGCGGGTAGCTACGCTACTCAGGACGGGTCATGTTATCAGGAAATAAATACAACTAAAGTGACAAGAGACCTAAAGAAAATAAATTGGCGATAACGACCAGAGGCTACTGACAACACAGTTATGACTAGACACTACTGATACCCTAAACAATATTAATAATTACAATCAGCAGTTACTAAGAAGAAAATAAATTCAACTTAACTTTTTGAATGATTTCTTGGAGATCAATATAATAGTCTTCTGAAGCTAGGATCTCAAAAATGTGTTAGTTTTATTTTCCTCTTAAAGGCATTTTTTGAAAGATTTCTTAAAGTTACAAGCATTTCATTCCTTATAATTGTTCCAATACTAGAAAATGAATTCACTTGAATTGAGAGTGGGGAACTTTGTCTATAAAAAATATTAAAGGCAGAGGATTGTACATTCTGGCCACAGCTTGCCCAAATGGCAAGCTTTAAAAGTGACTTTATTTGCACACTGAGCTGAGTGTGAAAGCAAAAGGAAAAAAAAGGCTTCTGCTTTGTACTCAGCTTAGTGTGCAAAGAAAGTCACTTTTTAAAAGTAAATCATCCGTACTGGTACCTAACCAGTAATCTTTCAATATTATCTTTTAACCTCATGCTAGCTTCAATAGGTTCTTGTTGTTGTTTATGTGTGTTGTTACTCTGAACCTTCAGCGTCCATTATTCCATTGAAGTAGAAAAGAGATGCGGTGGCACCTCTGAATTTTATTGTAAAAGTATAATCATATTGAATAAAATGTTTATCAAGTGATCCAGGATGCTTACTATTTACTTGGAAAAACTGCCATTCTGTTTGTGAAGCTTCTGGAAATTTGTCTTTCATTGGAGGTGGTGAAAATATTTTTCTACTCCTTTTAGTTGATTTGATCAGATCTTTCTCCCGCAACTTCAAATTTTATAGTTTTATGTTTAAGCACAAGATTTCCACTCAGGTGGTTTATGTAAATAGTATGAGTAAGCACCCCTTGTCTGTCAGTAATGAAAAATACAGCACTGGCTTTGCTCATACTCGTAGCCTGGGATCAAATTCCACATGTTTTCCCTCACTGTGGAGCCTGATCCCAGGCTACTTTGTTCTTAGCCTGCATAGTAATTGGGTTACATTTAAACTTGTGGTCTTTGCAGATTACAGATGAGTTGCCTAAGTTTGATGTAGGACTTCTTGAGGCATGGAACTGAAAATGCTTTTCACTACTTTTACAGATTAGCATCTTATCCTGTTTTTAGCATCAAGAAATGAACCATTTGATCCACTTGAAAATTTTATCTTTTGCTGTAAATTAGAACTTGGGTTTGGTTTTCTTAGAAGAGGTGTTTTTCTGGGATTGTCATCCTGATGAAATAAAAAAAAGCATTAACAAGGCAGTGGTGTATCATTAATTTTACGCCTCAGTTAGATGAGCCATTAGCTGTGTCTGTTCTATTTACCTTTCAATGCCTTTTTAGGTATTTTTTTTACAGTTTTTCGGTGGCCACACCGATACTTTTCAATCGCCTTTAAAGTGATTTTATCCTTGTCTGATCGCTATGAAATTTTCACCAATGATTGACTATGAATTGAAGTTTGTCAAAATGCAGTTTTTAGTAAAATAGATATCACTGACAACAGTAAACAAAAAACCTTGAGAATTATGGGCGATCTTGGCCTGCGAGAGCATCCGGGTTTTCAGAGGGAGAGAAGCGACGACCGCAAATACGTCTGCGGTTGGCAGGCTAGCACGATCTAGACCTGCTACTGAAAAGCCGGCACCAGGAACTACTAGGAAGTTTTAACTTTAAAAAGTGTGGTGTTTAGCAAATAACCTACATCTACATGTGCATAAATTTTAAGTTCTACAGGGGCGATACCCATCACTGCAAGACATTAAAAATAAATATCACATATTGTTGAAATTCAAAAAAGAAAATAACGCGATAATTAAATAAGTAACCTGCAATCAAGCGTTTTTTTTTTCGTTTCTCAAACAAAAGGGAAAAAGGACACCTGATCGCTGGTTGTTAAATAAATAAATGAATTAACAAAAGAATAATTTAATTAAAACCAAACACTGAAGCTTACAGGAAGCCAAATAAATGAGTAATAAAAAGATAAATGGTAGGTAAGAAAAAATTGGAAATTGGTCTGGTATAGGCTAAGGGTTCCAGCGGTACATCCCCACCCCAAAATTCCTCAAGTCTCCCCCCACCTCCGGGACAAACCCACGCCACGCGCCAATCAAAGAGACGTTATGGACCAAAAAAAAAGAAAGAAGGAAAATATGGCGCTTATAGAACACGAACTCCTGCAAATTATAAATGTTTTTAATTACACAGATTACACCTAGCTTACCTCAAGAGATTTGGACGTGTAAATATCTCAGATGAGTGCTTCTATTGAAACGTAATTCAGAATCTCTCAGAAAGGAGTTCACACTAGTGTGAATTGGCCTTGGGAGAGCTTGCTCCCAGGCTAGAGAGCGACTGAGCGACCTCGTCCTCAGGGCTTTTCCCTAAAAAAAATGGGAGGTGGGGACGGGGTTGGCTCAGTAGAGAGAGCAAGACCTTGCCAAAAATCAGCGAGTTGCTACTGATTAGCGGTGATATCAGCATGTCAAGGTACGGAAAAACGAGCAACAATAACGTGCAACTTGCTTTGGAACATTGCTGCAAAACTAGTCGAATAGCGATGTTGCGCGTTTTACCACCCACATCAAACCTGTCTTGCAATAAATGAGGTTGATAACAGGTTTGGACGTGGGTGATAAAACGCGCAACACCGCTATTGGCCGCTATTCAACTCTGTTGCAAAGCAAGTTGTACGTTTTTTGTTGCCCGGTTTTCCGCACCTTTAGGCTCTGATATGCAATAATGTAGTTGCTGCTACAATGGAAATACATCCAATATACAATAATAGAATATTGAGAAGATTTACCCATCCTGTTCTAAAAGGGAATTTTAAAAACCTCCCCAAAGATCTGTAAGCGCTCGTACGCGTTATCGTACGCGCGAGTTAAAGGCTCGGAGAGACCTGAAATCTAGTGTTATGGAATGCAAGTTCCATTCCTCCCCTGACTCCTCAGCCGGAAAAAATCGCCTGCCATATTTTGTTGAGTGCACAAAAGAGAAAACGTAAAATGTAGTTGACTCGCAAAAACCCGCTTGGCGCTCCGTCAACGATGACTTCTATCCAGGAATTGGAACACTCGGCCGCAGTAGTGATGGTAAGATCTAAAAATTTTCGTCTCTATGACGCAATGCCCATTTGAAGACGTTCACATGTGTTTTTCTTTAGGCGCCGCCATCTTTGGTGACGCAAGAACAGCGCCAGTCCGCCGAACAAGTGTTCCTGAATTTTAGAAGATCTAAGTCACCTTATGCAGCTTGCAGACAGATCTTAGGTAATATGGAGCAATGAATGAATACTTAAACCACTGATTGAGTCACGGTGTGCTGTTGTGTGTCAGTGAGTCCTTTATAGGAATGCTAATCGTTAATTATCCCGACTGGTGCAATCGTTAAAAACCGAGGTTGGAAAACCAATCGATAAATCGATAATTGTCGATAATCACTTTTTGATTGATATCGATTGTATCAGTCAATCGATAGGAATTGATAGCAACAACTTTTGTCGTTGTCAGCACTATCAATTTTATCGATTTTAACAATATTTTCGATTTCATGATCTTTCATTAAGGTCTGGAAGGGGAGTCCTGATCCCACATTCCTGCATCTTTTTCATGACAATCCCTCATCCATCGCTTTCCCGAATCCCATTTTTTGTTTCCAAAATACGTGTATTAAAAAGTCCAGTTGTTGCAAAACCCTATAAAATATTAATGTAAGAGGTAAATTGGCCCTTCGATTGATATTTTGAATTTTACCTCAGTATGACGAAGCAGAAGAAACGAAGAGAAGAGAGGAGGGTTTCTTCTGCTCTCTTTAATTAAAATGATGGATCTTCTGTTTGCTTGTCTGTTGATTACTTGACAGCGTAGGTCAAATTTTATTATAGTTTGCTTTGATAGGAGACACCACTGAACATTCAATGACCAGCCATTGTTTAGGGAATAAGCAATGGTTTTTCTTTAAGAAAAATTGAGGGGAGCCTATTTTTTTGAGCCTGTGAAATCCTGGGTACCTAGCATAGGATTTCTACGAAAAAAATTAGAATTCCTAGTAGCCCAAGAGCAAAAGTAAGACATCAATGGCCACCAGGCTCTGCTAGAGCACAACTCTGATGGGCCAGTTCTCCTCCCTGAAAATAAAACAATACAGTATAATTTTGGTCGCAGGTGTAAATATGTTTTGGGCCCGACTCAGACTCAATTTAGCCCAAGCTGCTAGGCAAGGGTTAAAGACTTCAAAAAATGACAGCAAGACAGTCTGAGTCAAATCATGCGAGCATTAACATGTTGAAAGGGTTTTATTTTTGCCCAAAACTGGCTAGTTAAAATATTAAAATATTGTGCCATTTGAGTTTTAAGAATTATAATAGACGTGAAAGCCTGTTTGTAAGTCTTAAAATTAAGTGTACATGTGTGTACAAATGTTAAAGTAACAGTTTGGTATAATTGGTTGAACCGATTGCATTTTACTTGAGGCCCCAAAACTTACATGCACTTTGTCACCAACTATGGAGGTACTGCCGGCATTATTTACATCAGAAGCTTCTCTAACTTTTATAGATCTTCTTCCTCTAGCTAAAAAAATTTAAAAATTTACAAATGTTTGTTGTTATGTTTTGATTATGTTTTCAGTCATGATTTGAGCTTTGAAAATGGTGGCGTGATTTCTTTGACAAGCGATGCAAGAAAACGTTGTCACGAACATCATTCTCGATTTTGACTGGCTTTTTATATTGTATGACTATTTGATCCCCTCGTTTCATTTGTGTATTTCAGTGGACTGTCTTATATTTTAGCCAGCCAAATTCTCCATTTTAGCCTGCAAAATGTGCCACAATGCCCAACAAAGTGATCATGGAAGCATTAAACGTTTAACTGTTTTCTTTATATATAGAACAAAGTAGGAATGACTATGTGCTGTTTCAAGCTGCTTCCACAATTAAAGAAGCCATCCTCCGTGAGTGGAACATACTTGACAAGTCAGACATTGAATCCCTCAGATCATTTCTGCTAACATTTGTTACACATAAGCAAGAGTAAGTAGAATACTCTCTTGTTAGTCAGCTTTCGTAAAATGCTTTAAGGCAGAAGTTTCCCAGTTGACTCTTGTGTCCTATACTGACATGAATCTCATGTGTACTGTTAACTTCTATCTTGCACCAACATTAGCTCTAGAACCAGTTTGGTATGGCAGGCTTAAATTTGGGTGTCTTATTTACGTAAACTGAAAGAGGTCAATATACACCACCATGACTAATTTTTGTTATAAGAGTGATTTCTGTAAATTTCTGTTTTTTTAAGGATAAATATCTGACATCTCTGACTTGGAAAAAGTTGTTTGGTGAATCTTCGTGAAATCTTCCTCATAAACTTCCATCAACAATTCCAGCAACATGGGCTAAAATATATTCATCTGTTTATTTTCGGTGGTAGTTGGGAGACCAGTTTAAACATTTACCGCTAGTGTTGCCCTTTGTGAGATAAACAAAACTAAAAAGGCATCTAGCAAACCTCAAATAGAATGAAAACATATCTTCAGAACTTTATGAGGACTTGAAAATATATGTAATTTGGACCAGAGGAAAAAGTCTGACAATCTTGGCTTGACTATATATGTATAATGGAAGTATTACGCTACAAAAACTAGAGATTTCTTTGTCATACATAACAACAAGTAAATTCTGTGTGACATACATGTATGCAATAAAATAGTGGAAAATTAATTTTACATCTATAGTATGAGTACTTGTGAAATTTGTTTTGGTCTCCCTCCTTAGCATTCAAAAATATGTGAAAGAGCAAGTTCTGCATGTTGTGGCAATAATTTGCAAAAGAGGCATTTTAGAGAATTCCCTTGCAACGCAAGAATCATTACTTAGAGATGTTACCCAGCTTATCTCAAGCAACAACAGAGAGATGGTGAGTACCATAAGTTACTAAAGCATAACAAAAGGGCTTTAAAAGCTCTAGTGACTGGCTTAAATTGCCTTCTAGTTGACACTTAGGTGGTGAATACTGAAGCTCTGTTGGGGAAAAATTCTGAAAAGCAAATTGGCCTTGAAACAGCAACAAGACTAGCTGAAATGGCTACAAATGGCATGAAGATGTGTAGAATACTGATGTGAATGTCGCCTTTTCCTTAAAGTGCAAAATGTGGATATATGAAATTGATATCTAAGGGACATGTTGTAGGTTAATTAAAGTTTGTTTCTTACATGTAGGTCAATCTGTTTTCAACCTAGATCAATTTGTTCATTATGTTCTATTTTATTTTGGTTGCCAACACTTTTGTTTGTTTGGCGCAATCCTCATGGCCCCATTTCTTTCCCTGGGTTCTCAAAATGCACTGATATGCTCTTTTTATTAACCACAAAAGAAACATTTTTCCATGGAGGGCCCTGGATTCCCCCAATGAAAGCGGGTAGTTGTGCCGTGAAAGACGTCCTTTTCAATCTAATCAGTTGCCACCTACATGTAATTAATTTTTCTCCTTTTATTTCACATTTTCTAGAGAACCCCGATAACAACCATTTTTTGTCATTTTGGAGACGTGAAAAATGTAGTAATGTCTAACTTTGAAGTTCCAGCAAAATACATTCCGTGAAACCTGTATTATTCAAACACCCATGGTGCTCTCACTATTGTCTCTTAATAACATTTGCTTTGTAGCAGAAAATTTGAAAAGAAAGCATTGAAACTTATAAAATTAAAATAAAAGGACAGTTAAGGCTAAAAAAAAAGCACAATGAAGGCACGATCTATGCATCATCAATGGTATTCAGTATTGATGCATGTTTGTCAGCTTTGTATGCACGATTGCGTGATTACAAAATATAATCTTTTTTGTTATGGCTGTGATCACCGACACGGTGCACTTAGCCAATTTTTTTTATTTCAAGCCTACCCTCGAGTCGAGCAAGCTCTGTAGCTGGAATTCGCTAGAGCTGTACAAAATAATGAAGGTCACGTGGCAGCATGCTGTGAAAGCTTAGGTTAAGAGAAGGGTGGGAGAAGGGTTTAATTATTAAATATAATAATGTGTGTAGGGTAAATGCAAACAAAGCGAAAGTTTAGGTTGGAGGAAGGAGGATCACATGTGCCTGACCCTCATGACCTCTCATTATTCTCTTTGAGAAGAAGTAGAACTTACTCACAGGCTAACTGAACCCTCAAGTTAGTCCTTTATACACGGGCAGATTAGGAGGTGGGGCTGGGGGGGGATGCTCCCTGCCCCCTGCCTCCTGTTTCTGTAATATTTTCTCTATGTAACTGCTACTGAAACAACTTGTTATAATTATTATTCTTTTGCAGAAAATTTTAGGTTGCCTTATCTTGAAGGCATTACTGAGCGAGTTTTCATTCCTGAACCAAAGCAGTGACATTGGTTTGAGCTGGGACTTTCATCTTCGCTGCAAGAAAGCATTTGAGGTAAAGGACACCTAAAAAAAATATTGACTCAGACAGGTTTATAAAATTGCATGGTGTAATAAATTTGTTTATTTCTTTTTTCCATAATCACATAGATTTTCTGTTAACTGTGCAATAGTCTTGAAAAAATGAATGATTGTATTGTTTTATACTTACAGATTAAGATCAGGATTTTTTCCCATTGATTTTAGGTGCAGGCTCTGAAGCAGATTTTTGTGCTGGTGGTACATGGTCTGCAGCAGTTTTTGCATACAGAATTGAATTTGTTATCCAGGGAGGACATTTCTGTTTTGGAGCGTTTGTTGTGTTTGGCTGAGCAGATTCTGAACTGGGATTTCTCTCGTCATCATATCCTTTCATACACACCTTTTTTCTTCGTAAATCACTTCAAATCTGTAACTGTTTAAATCACCAACTGTAACATGGCTTCAGAAGTTGGTGCCTCATTGCTGTCAATTAAGCATTTGAGGTGCTAAACTTTATTTAATAAAAATGTAAGTTCGATCCCCAGTATATTTGCACAGAAAAAATGTGCCTTTTTAGGCTGATGACAAAAGCTTGTTTGTCATCAAAACTTTAATAAATTAAAGAAATGTGGTCTGCAGCATTCAAAGAAAGTTGTGCCCGATATCCCAGGGCTGGTGGATCTTGCTATCGGGCTAGCAAATTCTGGTCTATAACTTGCCCGAAAGGCAAGTGTAGTTTTTTAAGATTCTGTAATCGATATCCTGCTCATCAAAAAATTTTCTTTGGTGTAGTTAAAATAACTCTTGGACTATTGAATGCTAGCTATAGCTTGTCCAAATGGCAAGCTGTAAAACTGACTTCCTTTGCACCCTGGGTCTGGAGTGCTGGCACTTCAACATTTCTAAGGTTTACCAATGCAATCTAATGTATTTTATCTCTACCTGTATATAAATCATAACAACATCACAGTTCTTCATGCAACTGTTGCCTTCCGGAGTGACTACAGTATGTGGCATCATCTGTAAGAAGTAGATTTTTTCTTGACAAACACACATTTTCATGGTCAAAAAAGATTCCTGTCATCAGAGACATCGGTCACTCAATTCAAACCTGGATCAGCTTGGAGAGTGCTGCTTTTTGATCCCGCATTAGTAGGCATGTTTTTTAAGGTAAGAAGCTGATCACATAACCGAAAAGAAAGGACTTAGAGTTCTTGCAAATTAAAAAAGAAATTTAAAATTGCCTTAAAAAATTTTGCTTTCGCACATGTTCATCATAGAGAAAAGTGAAAACTTGTTGTCCTGAATTCCTAGCCCTCAAAGATATTGCATTAGGATTTTTCATTTTGTACTTGCAGTTCTGCAGAGGACAGCAATAAAATGTACCAAAAAGAACAACATAAGATCAAAGTGGTCCTGGGTTTGAGTCCAGCTCTGGCCACTTACTGTCTTACTGTTCTTCTTTTTCCTGAGTTCATCTCCTTGCCCATGCTTGTAATAGCCAACTAGTGGCCTTCCACAAGTTGGGGCTTTTAATCCTGTTATGTTCCACTTTGATTTTGTTTCTAATAATTATATTTTGAGTGGAGTGCCTGTAAAATAGCTGGATAAGCCAAGTGCACTTCGGCTGTAAACAAACTGTTAACCTTTTTGACCTTTTTACATAGCTTTTGTTCATTACTTGAGGTCCCTTTTATCTGTAGGCTTGATTACTAGCTGCTGTTTGGGAAATGAGCTGTAGCTCCTCCCCCGAACACTGAGAGAGTGGCAGAAATTGAGCCTATTTTATCTGTAACTTGTCTTGCATCACAAAAATTAATTTTTTATCACAAAATTTATTGATAAAAAGTTGTCTCAGATAAACTTGCTTTATCCACTAAGTGGAACCTCGAAATAACAAACCTCTATAATTATAATGAAATCCTCGGTTTAACAAACAATAAAATAATAGTTATTTTCTTTACCCCTGTAATAGTGAAATATATGTAAAAGAACCTTGATATAGCAAAACGTTGTTGTAGCGAACAAATTTTGCAAGTTTCTTGGGACTTTGTTATATTGATGTTCCACTGTAATTGTGGTGTTTTATAGCTTCAGGTGAATTTGCAAGCTAACGAGGACTTAAGCCATCACTGTGGACAGTGTTTAATCCAGCTTGCTGCCCTTTCTGGTGGAATATTCCCAGATGCATCGTCACAAACTCAATATTTATCCCACTTTGTGCAAGGATTCTTGCAAATTTCAAAAAAGTAAGTGCTCTTGTAGTTAGGCATAGGTTTGAATCTCACCGAAGAATTTTTTGGGGGGCTTAATTTGCAATAAGTTTGAAAGAGTACAGATTTCATCACTGGTTGGTTTAATTGTGTAAATCTAATTTTGCATTGATTCTGATTTTGTTCTCTAGTATTGAGATGAATGGTCAAGCTGCACTAGGACTAGGAAGTATTGTAAACCGCCTCCTGTTTGTCTTTCCCTGTTCATCATTCAAGGCTTTACCAGCTGATTCATTGAAGTTGTTCATGAATTCCATGACAGATCTGACTTGCCTGTTTCTACAGGCAGTTGCTAAAGAAGAAGAGGTGTGCACTCAACTGGTTTTATCATTTTTACTGTTCAGATTTTTTTTTGCAACAAAAAGATTTTATCAACGACTCCACAACATTACATAAACTTTACAATCTGAAACTAACGTAACAACTTTACATGTATGGAAAACCACTTTAGATAGATTTTTGTTGATCAAGCAATATGAAGAGCTTAAGTGGCATTGATTTCGGAGAGCAGTAGCTGTGAAAATAGAGGTCAATTTACACTGAGTTTAACCAATATTTTCAAAATAAACTCACGGTACTACCAATATTTGTGGCGAAGAAATTTGTTTAATTTATAATTTTAACAATTAGGCATTTAACCAACTACAAAAGTGCAACTTTGTATATTGTAAGTTGCACTTCTGTAGTTGGTTACATGGCTAATTTTTAAAATTAAAAATTAAAGAAATTTGCAAACTAAACAAACAAAATATTTGTCTGTAGTCTCCTTTGCGGCCTCTTGGGCCAGAGTCATGCAATGCACCCCTCCCCACCCCTACTTGGTAGGCTTTTGTCAGTAATTCTGTGTAACCTATGTTTGTACACTTAAGTCCCTTGATTTACTTTGCACCTCCAGCTCAACTCTGAGGACACCAGCTTTATAGAGGCAGTGGAACAAATGCTCGAGGGTTGGGCGAGTTTAGTGGAACATGTTAGTCAGTTACCGCCTGGTGTTTTTAATGACAGCGCCACAAGGATAATAAACTGTTATATTCAGTGTCATTTGGCGGCACCCAATGGATTACGTGGAACATTTTTATCGCAAACGAACAATGGAATTCACTTGGATGAAATATGTGACCTTGATAGTGATGACAGAGAACTATTTGCAGATCAGTTGTGTACTGTTGGAAGCTTAGCACGCTTGGTTCCAAGTCATGCATTTGCTCTTCTCATAAAACTATTAGAGGAAAGAGTTAATCAACTTGAGAAGTATCTCACTGCTGTCAAGAATTCAACAGGTATGGTAAAAAATCTTTAGGCTTTCTTCTTGCTACCCTGTACACAGATGTTGTTTTATTTCGTTTCGTTTTTTTCAAAACATTGGCGTGAGAGCGAGCGCGACATGCGAGAATGAGCACGGAGAGTGAGAAAGAAATTTCCTTCTTCCCCCACCCCTACTCCCTTGTGCTGGCAGTCAATAAATCCCCCCCCCACCAGTTATTATTTTTTATCACACGCTCGACGGACTTTGAAGAGAAAATAAAGGGTCTGTGAACAGACTATCTTCTTGCACAGTACAGTACTAATTTGTGCAGATATTTAGATAGTATAGTGGACTCAATCTCTGAAGGTTGAAAGTTCATTTCTTGTTGATAAATAGGTGTAAATAATAAGCCCAGAAGGGGAGGGACTCCCACCTAAAAGTGACGGGGTTGCTTGTCATCTCACTTTGGGGTGTAAATTGCAGATTTGGGATTTAAAGGTTGCCTATTGACCAGAGGATGCTTGTAAACACAAACATATTTCCAGTCATTGCTTATATGTGTCTGCATTTGTAGGCTATATTGAGTCAACTGGAATGTCTGATAGCCCGGGGATAGAACATTTTGTGATTGGGCTTGTGACAGGACAAGAAATTTTGTACATGTCATCTCTCTCCTCCTGGGTGTACAATGGAGCAGTGCTCCAACCATGGGGGTGTATACAGTACCTCTCGCTTTTGCTGTATAGGCCTCTTTGCTTGGCCTATGTAGCTCTTGTAGCTCTTTTGTTTCCTTGCCTTACAAATTGCTACAAGTGTAGGTGAGGATAGGTTTACTCTAAAAAAGATCCAGAGTGGAAAGACCAAGCTTTTTGGATATTATAGTTATACAGGAGAGTTTTGAGACTTTTTTTATCTGTTGCACCAAGCAAGAGGTGGAAGAAGATGAAGAAAAGTATAAAGAACGTGTTAAAAGCCGATGTATGTATTGTTGTTCACCTGCAGTTTGGTGACTGCTTATAACTGCTTATTGCAACATTCCGCAATATTTTTCCTTTCTTCCCTTACCTGCTTTAAGATATTGACAATGATATTGTGAATTTAAGTTTTATGAAAGGAGTACACTTAAGAGGGCCATATGGTTATTTTGGATTGTAGAAATGATGTAGAAATATTTTATGTAGGATTGTTTATTTGGCACTATAACACTCAATCTTTTTATCTGATTAATTTTAGCACGCTTTGATCTTGCAAGTGCAGATAACTTATATGAAGACCTTCACTGGTTACTTCTAATTTCTGCTTATCTTCTTGCTGATGAAAGTAATGGTGAGAAGCCTCTCATTCCAAGTGAGATTATATCATATTCATCAAGTCTAAAGGAACAAATTGATAGTCAAGCCACTTTTCATTCTCTTTGTGCATCGCAACATCAAAATATGGGTAAGTTTCGTGATAGGCAAATCTCTCTTTAAATTTCAGCCTCATTAACATCTGCTCAACATTCTCTGTTCAAACTAATTCAAAATAACATGTCTGAATGTTGAAAGAGCATAGCAATATTAGTAATCTCTGAGTAAATTTGAATCTGACATACCAAAATGATAGTTTTGGGGAAACTTTTTTTTGGAAAACTTGAAATAAACCCCTCCTCGGTTTTTTCAAGACCTATTAGCACGGCTGGAAAGAATGCCTTTTTATCAAATCGGAATGCGACTGTCTTTTTCTTATTACTGGAGAATTAAGCCACTAGTTGGATTTTACTAATGCTAATTAGCAAAATCTCTTGTTTTCATTCACTAGCATAAGGTTCGTCATGTGTAAAGATTAACGTTTCACTTTGGCCTTACAAGGTTTTCTGGCAACATTTTTTGTCACCCTTTGCGAGTGGCTTTATAACTCTTAAAACAATGCTAAAAAGTGTAAAATACTTTGAGGGGGTTTGCTATGAATTTTTGATACAGATTTTACCTCTCAATGTTTTGATTTCCTCTTTGTTCATTCCCCACTGCAGGAGATTCATATGCAACTTTGAATTACTCAAGAGTTGACCCAGTAGTGAGACTTGTGTCGACAATTTTTCGCACGGCAAACATTGAAAAACTTGCGGTGAATGCTGGTTTATCTGAACTTTTGAGCCCTCAAGTTGGACGGACTATTGTCTGGTGTTTACGACACTGGGTTAAGTCTTATTTGTTACCAGATGAAAAGGAATATGAACAGCAGCTTAGTGCAAGTCTGTTGTCAGTTTTTGGTGCAGGTACAGAAGGTGGTAAATGGACTTTAGGATTTTTACTGGACAAAGTTAGATCAAACCTGTCTGGATGGTCAGCAGAGTCACAGATTGTGGAGGACACGGCCATGCTGCTGTTAAGCTTGGTTGATTCTAAAAGCAGGTAGATGCATATTGCTCCTCTCCTTTCACATAATTGTTAGTGAAGAGTGATGTACGTGAACCTTGGCTTGCTATTTTACATTCTTATGGTATGCAATTTAATAGCGGAGTTCTCTCTCATGCCCTTTTTTTAGCACCATAGGTATGAAAAAATCTATGCATCCAAGAAATTTTGAGTTAACTTGATATTGGACACCCATTTTATGATCAATTGACAGCTGTCAAATAGGGTACCCGCTGATTAGTGCCACATATTGCGCGCTCAGGTGTCTAACTGATTGAGTTGACGTGTTTCTTAAAGTTCTTTGCAAACCAGTTATAGTATTCAATTGATCGCAGGCTCACAAAACTTAACCTGAGAAGGACATTTTCTAAACGTTTCCGCGAGAGCTTCGCTTTTGATCTAAATCTAGCTAAATCTATATTTTAGACATGTAATAGTACGTTTTGTCCTTTTTCTCTCAGAGCAGAGATGGCCATCTCATTTGACAGTCTGTGGCTGTTGGCTCAGGAGCACCTGTCGACAACAGCAGTGTTACACAAGCTGGCACCTGAGGTACTGCGATACCTTACACAGGCGCTTGTCCTGGCTGCCTCAGCTGCCGATGATCAAGCTGTCAGAAAGAAATACTTGGATCAGGTGAGTGGCTTTAACTTTGCCAATAAATTGTCGAATGAGACAAGACTGTCATCGTCAAGGTAAGGGTACATTGCTCAATTCCTTACCTTACAGATGGCAAAGCCATTACAGAATTAGTATAGGTAATAGCATGATTTGTAGTGATATTTGGCATAAATACCACAAACGATATTTTGAAATTGTTATACATAATTGCGAGTGAAATTTGAGACAGTTTTGAAATATCACGAGTGGTGTTTATGCCAAATATCACATACAAATCATGCTATTATTTGTTTATATTACTACCCACAAAAGGTTTGTAATTTTCAGACATAGGTAGTTCAAATTAAGCTGAAATACCACTGTTCTCTGTGTCTCTGATTTCATAGAAGGTGAATATTTAAGCACAATAGTAGACAGTTCTTAGTCATTGCTAAATGCTAGCAAAAATTTGTGCTTGGCACCTTTTTGTAGGAAGTGAAGGGACCTCATTTCCAGGGGTTCCTTCTTCTCAGCAAGCTTTTCATGGACAAAGATGTACGAGCATTGTAGTAAGCTGGGCTATAAATTTTGTAGCTACACAGTAATTTTCAAGGAGTTATAATAACTCCTCTAGTGGGGTTAATTTAACTCCTTACAGTGGAGTTATTTTTGGGGGGAGTTATTTTAACTCCAAAAAGGAGTTTAAAGAACTCTTTTTCAGCAGTAAAACACCCCAGATATTGAGGAGTTAAAATAACTTCCAAAAAGGAGTTATCCTTGACCTAAAATTTCTACTCCACTTTCAGAGTTAAAGCAACTCCAGAAAGAGTAAAAACAACCCATGTAAGGAGCAAAATTAACCCCATTTTCGGAGTTAAAAGAACTCTTTTTCAGGAGTAAAAATGACCCCAAATTTGGAGTTAAAATAGGAGTTAGAGTAACCCCATAAAAGGGTCATCCTGTACCTAAAATTTTTACTCCATTTTTGGAGTTATAATAACTCCCTTAAAATTACTGGGTAATAAATTTATTGTCCGATGCTAATTTTAACGCCGGTTCGTGTTTGATTTTCCCACAGATCTTGCATACTCTACAGTCCTACTTTTCAGGCATCTGTCACCAGTCAAATTTTGCCAAGTCATCTCAAAAAGAAGGAGTAAAAAGTCAGCTACAGTCCCTTCTTGAAGCCTTCCGAGGAGCTGCTTTAGCAACAAATTTACGCAATGTTCATGCATTGTTTCATTATCTTAATCCAGTGTTAAGAGACTGTGTTCATTTACTAAATGTCTATCAAAACTGTCCAGAAATGGTGGTTGTGGTTTTGGAATTTTGTGTTGATCTGGCCGACTCCCAGGTTGCTTTTCTGAGTAAGGTAGGTTGTGGCATCAGGATTCACAGAATTAGCTTAACCCTTTCGTCCCAACATAAGGTTCATATTCTCCTTTCTTGTCCCAAATGTTAAGCAGTATTGTAGAGAATTTGTCCAAATATCCTGAGAATTTATCGTTTAATTTATGAATTTATCGTGATTACTTCTTTGGTTGTCATAATCTCCCTGATTGATTGAGCATCGAGATTGCGAGGAAAAATTTGATTTTAATCCCTCTGCCTAAAGGGGGTATGGCAGGTGGGTTAGGGTTAGGTGGGCATTGTTCAAGACAGTCGAATGTAAGTTACCGTTGTCTGGTTAGCACCGCCGCCTGAGTAGCTCAGTTGGGAGAGTGCCGGTCTGCTGAGCGGGAAGTAGCGGGTTCGAACCCTAGCCGGACCAACACTCAGTGTCTTTAAATAACTGAGAAGAAAGTGCTGCCTTTGTAATGGCGTCTGCAAATGGTTAGACTTTCTAGTCTTCTCACATAAGGACGAAAAACGGTAAATTCCGTCTCACAGCACTTACACTTACCTGGTTCTTGTGGGACGTAAAAGAACCCACACCATTGTTCAAAAATAGTAGGGGACGTAGACTCGGTTGGTGTGGCCAACTTTCAGGCGTCGTTCACATTATTGGTTGAGTGGGCACAGTAAGCGAATAAATGAAAAGCAGCTGCTAGAGGCGCCCATGTATGCTGACGTCCGAGCTTACTGTTAACGTGTTGATATACATTGTTAAGAGGGCTCATCTGTTGTCCTCTCATCCACGACTCCTTCCTCCTTCTTAAGTAAGCTGACCCAGTTGCTGAGGTAACCATGGCTACTTCACCATGGGTGGACACCTTCTCTTTGACGGCACCTTTACTCATTGGGGAAGCCATGACTCAAGCATAGAGACTTACGGTTCCAGCTAGTAACCATGAGGTGGGAGGAAGGGGTAAAAGGCAAAACCGAGCAAAAAACGTTGCAACCACCAGAAGCAGAAGAGCAAGGAGCAATGCGCATGCTCGTATTGGGAATCCGCAGACCCTTCTGAAATATCCCTGTCCTAGCTAACTAAGCGTGATTGTAAATGACTTTATTTAACTTGTTAAATTTGGTTTCGTGCTCCTAAAAGTAACGGTCAGGTGAAACTTGCTTTGATCCGACGTACGCATGGGGCTTTGTACATCAGACGTGATCCACACGTAAACATTGGGCAATCTGAGAAATCCATGTGTTTTTATTACATGACATCAGACACCTACATAGACAAAACAGAGTGTTTGAACAAACTTATAAAGAAATAAAGTTGATGTTAGTTTATCAGTGGTTGTTTTTTCTTTTAGAATGAGGCAGCGAAACTCTATGAAGCTTGCATGGCACTTGTGCAAACTTATGGAAAATGTAATCTAGGTAAGTTTCAAGATGTAATTCAAAGTTTTGGGAAGATTTTTAAGAACCTCACCTTACCCTATACTCACACTAGTAAGTAAAGTGTGTTTACACTACACCGAATAGTTTTTCGAGCCGACGTCATAAAAATGAAATTTCTATTCAGTATTCTGGATATTCTGAAAGAACAATGTCCCTATCCGAAATTTTTTTGGGTCGATGTGACTCTGCTACGATCTCAGATCTCCCGTAATGCTAATTTTTGGGTAGTACTCTATAGTATCTGTACTAATAACCAGATTGTCATAGGTTCGACTTCTGTTGACGCTACTCGGATCTTTTATTCCCAGCTGCCTGTGTCACTGACTGAAAAATCATCTTTCTCAAGGTGTGAATTGGTTGTCTTGTTTCAGGGAAAGTCAGCGGGGAGGCCCTTACAGAAGAGGAACAGTTAAACGATCTTCTTTTGTTGATAAAACTCCTTGCGAGTGTGCTGTCGAAGGACTTCCTTGATTTTAGCACAGGTAGGTTAACACGGATTGTGGGTAGCCTGTGGTGGAATGTACCCTCGTCTTTACTCAGTTGACTAATACAACCTTGTAAATTCAGTTCGTTTTCCTGGCTTTTGAAAAATAACTTTTTGTGATGATTTTCAATTAATTTGTAGATCAAGAGAAAATCCATGTGTCAGCGGCTGATTTGGCACTTTATGGTCTTCATGTTATTATACCGCTTATATCGTCAGATGTTTTAATGGTAAGTGTACTTCTTTAGTCTCCACAATGTGGTGACTGTAATCGGAATGTTTGTACAAGTTTAAATTAGTCTAAACCCAAAGCAAACAGGGGAATCCTTTTGCGCAGAGATCTCTTTTTTTTTTTTTTTATTTCACTTCGATCGCGTTCAAGAATGGAGAAAATTTATGACTTTTAATTTTTTTGCCCACGTAGCATTCGTTTAAACAAGTCCGCGCGTTCCATATCGAAAATTGCATTTTGGAAGCGTTGGTTTTTAAGAAGAGCGGAAAACCGGAGTTCCCGCCGAGAAAAACCTCTCGGAGCAAAGGAAAGGACAAACAACTACCATAAAATTCCGAAAATAAGCCCCGGGGCTTATATTTTTCAAAGGCCTTTTTTGAGGGGCTTATTTTTGGAGGGGCTTATATTCGGAGGGGCTTATTTACGGAGGGAAATTTACGTTTCAAAATCGATTAGGCTAGCCTTATTTACTGTTTTTGCTTATTTGAGGGCAATTTTCCAAGTGCAAGCCCCCGGGGGGCTTATATTTGGAGAGGCGATTTAACGGCGGTTTTTTTTCGTTACCGGTTTGGGGGGCTTATATTTGGATGGGCTTATACATGGAGGGGCTTATTTCCGGAATTTTACGGTAACTCAACCTACATATGACGTTGACGCCAGGATTTGAACCCTCGCCACCCTTGCCCTCCTAAACATATTCTTAACTTGAATTTCGTGTGGCTTTTTCCGGAGAAAAAGGCACTCACTATTCACGTGCTTCTAGAATGACTTTCATTCTGGAACGAGTTTATTCCAACTCCATGTATTTCTCTGTATTTTTTACATGATGCTGAAACGACATTGAAATTTCTTTCTGGTATTACGAACTTCGTTCCCATCGCAAATCGTGTAGTGTGGCGCATGCGTATCAGATCTCTCGCGAAAACCGCGCTAGCGCCTGACCACACCTCAGGCCAAGCCGTTATCATGTGAATGCAGCACTAACTTGACTCTGGAACGAAACTCACATACGGAATGAAAGTCATTCCGGTATCATATAAACACCCCCTAAATCAAGCTAAGTTAAATCCTAATTGTGCGCCTTGTGCTTTAAAGAGTAGCTTTAGGTTGGGGTATATCCGGGAAGGTGGGAAGAGGGGCTTGTAATTTGAGTAAAACGTCTCGAGGCAAACTGATAACAACACGTGCTTTATTTCAACGTGCTGTAACAAGTAATGTTTTTCTATTCTTAGTTTCCAGTGGTTTGTTCAGAGTTCTTCAAACTGACGACAAACGTTTGTGATATGTACCCTGAAAAGATGTGCCTTCTTCCAGAAGCTCTGTTTAAAAGCTTGATGGCTTCACTCGAAATGGGACTGGCAAAGTATCCTTTGTAAAATTACCAAGATAGTACGCGCTTTCTGATTGGCCGAGAGGCGTGTTTGCATGAGATCGTGGAGGCATTATGAGAGTATGTAAGCATGGTTGTGACGTCAAGATATTTTGCTTTTCGCGCGCTAATCACGCAACCACGAATTTGAAAAGGTTTTTGAGTTGAAAACTCGACAAGTGTACTTTATTTACCCATTCCCTCGTCAGCTGAAACTTGGAAAATCTTTACAAAACATTTTTCGAGGGGTTGGGAGAATTCTTGATAGTTATGCAAAACGTTTTCTGTTGTTGGAGGTCAAACACACGAAGTTAACCGATTAATTCTTTGGCTTGTATTTCACAACACCTGTTCCCATAAGGCCAAAGTTTGGATTGTTTGATCATGGCCGTTTTATCAGCCCATACTCATAAACTTTGCGTTATCTGCTGCTACGACCTTTTCTTTAGCCGTCCTTGGCTATTTGGAGGCAGGCTAGGGGAGTAACTGCCCTTGCTATAACCCCCTTTTTTTCTTTCACTTCAGGAGACATAGGGAGCTTTCTATTCTGCGCAAAATCCCGGAAATTTGGGTTCGAAATCAAATGGAACGCACCATTTTGGTTAGGTCCGACTGGAGTATTTGGGACACCTTTTGAACGTGGTCCACAGAGGTGATCGATCGGATCGAAATGTCCCTATCCATTTGACAAAATTGTTGCCCCCAGTGCCGCTCTTCCGCAAATAACCAAACCCGCGGTGGCTTGGGTCGGGTCTGTGCAACCGGATTGTACCGTTCCATTGGGCACGTGGAATTTCAGAAATTTTAAACCGGAATTTTTCTTGAATAGAAAGCTCCCACAGTGTTTATAAACATACAAAGCAATTTGAAAAATTAAATAGCGAATTATATACATGTGGAGTGAGCCTGAAGATATCCTTTTTGGATTGAAGGTAAAATGTTACAGCGTACCTTGTTTGCACGCCGTATGTTGTCCCCAGGATTCACTATCGCTCTAAGACAAAAATTGCAAAGAAGAACAAGGAGGGGCGCCTAGGAACGAAACAGTCGCTTGCCAACTCCATTTGCAGTTTTTAAAAAATCCTAAGCAGATCTTTACCTTGACTGGTACTATAGTTACGATCCCGACGTCACTAAAATGTCCCTAGAGGCGTTATCGTCATTAGCAACGCATTGTTTCCTTGAAATACAGAAAAACGTCAAAGTTCCCACTCACGAGATTTTACAGCATTTCTTGAAGGTACGAGGTTTATTCGAATGGTAGAATTGTCTCAGTTGTCATATAATTCATTAATATAAATAGAAGAAATTGAAAACAGGTGAATATGGTTGATATTTTTTGGGGTTTTACCACCCCAGCGCGACCCAAAACTTCCTGCTTTTCTTGTGCCTAATCTCCTCTCGTCCTCATTTCGAGTAAGCACGACAAATGTGGCAATTTTTACGCTGATTTTGCTGTCATTTTATGACTTGGTAGCAGTTGGCATTTTCCCTCCATTGGCGCAAGTCACATGTATTAGCTCCGAGTTGTGATTGGCTAGGATTGTTTGCTGCTATAGTGATTGGCCAAGGCCCTTATATTGGTTGGCGGGCTCACAGTTGTGAGCTCAATGCCTTGGCCTTTGGATGGAAGTAAGGCTGGAGGTTGCCTGTTATGGTACAAACCTTCCTGTTTTTCGCATGTAAATTGTGATGTTCACGGTCTTATTAGCATGAGAATAACATGATATCCACTTGAACTACAGGAAGGTTTGTAAGATAACAACTTCACCTCCAGCCTCGCTTCTAATAAAAGGGCAGTGCCCTGAGCAAACAACTTTAAAATACTACGAAATGGCCTATTGGGCATATTTAGCCCCCCACCCCCTTCCCCCCCAAAACAAAACAAAACAAAAAGGCGTCGGCAGTAAAGAAGACGCGCGCAAATTGACCAATGACAGAGCGGCAAATTGGGCACCGGAAGTCGCGTTTAGTACGTTACTCGCGCGATCCCGTCGTCAAATGACGTTCCAGTTCTGTTGCTAAATCACTCTATTAATTGGATACAGCATATCAGAGTATTTGCCACGTGTTTCAATAAATATCTGGTTGTTTTGTTTCAGACTCTGTTTGACATGCTGCTTTTCCAGTCGTTTAACATGGATCTACTTCAACCAGCAGCGGAAGCTTTCCTTGCCTTGATTTGCTGTCACCAGGTGATAACTTTTTTTTTATTTTGTAAATGTAATTATCCTCTCCCCTTAATGGGGCTTTTCAGGGCTTCTTGTGCTTGTGACCCCCTTACTCTCCTTATCAGAGCTAGTAATACGAGACCATGCTCAAAATTTGAAGGAACAACTTTGAATGGAGGGGAGGGAGGAAGGAGGTGAGCGTTTTATCTCACAGATGTGTGACCAGCAGCGAAGTAAAAACGGCCGGTTTTCAGCGGAGTGTCTTAACGTTTCTTGACATTTCTGGTTGTAGCGAACGTAAGAATCGTATGTTAAAATCGCACCACATCAAGGAATCTTTTTTTCATTTTAGATGTATTACACGCAGTTAGTTCGCAACCTTCTTGCGCAGCAGACGGACCAGGTTGTATGTCAGCGTCTTTTGGATGCCTTTAATCAACTGACTCCAAGCGACATGAAGTTATCTTTGGACAGAGTCAACAAAACGCAATTCAGGAAAAGTCTAGACGTGTTTCTTGGAAGTGTCAAGGGATTTCTGTGTGTCAAGTGACACCAACAGTGAAAATGGCGAAGAACCAAAGATTCAGCTACAAAACAAAGTTGACTAGCTGTTGTGGACGGAAACGTATATCTTCCTTTTGATACCGAGTATAGACTGGGCACTAGAGCTAGCGGGATTTCGCCGGTGGAAAGAGTGAAAACTAAGGATTGCATCTCGTCAAGAAAGCGTTTTCTTCTTCCTTGGTGAGACGTTCCTGTTCTTGGGAGAAGCGGAAGAGAAGAATTATGCGTTAAAATATGTCTATCTCTAAGGCATGAGATGAAATACGCAATGGAATATACTATAGTTGTCGCTAAGGTTCCGGTATGCCCGGTAAAACGTGCTGTTCATTTAGCGAATAGCCTTGTTTTATGAAAACAATAACAGAGACCAGATTAGTTTTGCTATCACTGAGTTGAAAGTCTAATACTACTCACGCTATTCCCTGTGTCTAGTAGCATGTACAGCTGTGACATTGAAAGCTGTTTTCCTTGTAAGTTATCGTTGACTTAAACATAGTCACTATGAATAGTATTCAGTTATAGCATGTAGTGTCGCCCTCAGCAGACTCCTATTTGTGTCCCACCATGCAAAGACTGTAAAACGCACGAATATCACATTCTAAAACGAGCACGAGATTTTCTCAATACTAATAGTGCTCGCGCGTGAACTAGCGTCATTTTGGAAGGAAAACACGACAGCCATAATCATTTTACTGCGAGTTGTAGAATATAGTTGTGGCGGGAACAAGTAAAAATAACCGTGCTAACTTTTCTTGAGAAAATCTAAAGGTCTCTATTGAGGAAAAGGAAAAAGGAAATAAGTTGCGATCGATGGGACGGGCAGCTTGTTGTCGTTTCCCGCTCTTTTACTCATCCCATCGTTCCCCGCGCGTTCACTTTCCATTTACTGTAAGGAGAGAGACCCTAGCCTAGCCTAGTCCCCAGGCGTTCTTGGCTCGGTCAATCCTGGACTCTATCGTGAGCTGTGACGTCACTGAGAGAGATTCGCCCGCCCTTTTCCAGACTTCGCGCGTACAACGGGGCAAGAGAGAACACCCAAGGACTAGGCTGAGAGAGACCTTGTTCAGTCCTTAAGTTGAGTTGTTTAGCAACCTCGTTCCCAGGTTCTTCTCCTTATCTGCCCCTCTATCCGTTTTTTCCTGAGGGTGAGGGACTAGTAAGAGAGGACCCTAGGAACGAGGTAAGTTGTTTAGCTTCTACCTTCGCCAAAGCGAATTACCTTGATTCGTTTGAAAACAAGCCCTTATTTTTATATACACGAAGAGTTCATTTTTTTTTAACACTAGCATTTCACCTTCAATTTTACGGCAGGATGATTGGTTCTTAAATGTAGTGAACGGTGGCAACGAAATACAATTCAGCCTTGATGGCTCTTAATATGTTCCCTGAAGTGGCCGCACACTGCATGCGTACTGTTCTAAAAGTATTTTAACGAATATTTTTTTAACCAGAGGAAAGGTAGCAGTCGCCTTCTTAGACATTAACAATCTTATTAGTTATTATTATTAAGAGATATGTACAATATATTGTTTTTGAAACTGTGTAATAAGCGTGTGGTTTGTCTAATTGTTTGTTTGTTTTATTAATTCTGAAACAGTCGGTTACGGCTCGTTTGTTTTAAATTAGACCATCTGCTATCAGGCCAAATTTACAGCGTCCCCCTTTTTACTCCTTTTTCTTTTACTTCGACCGCCTGTCTTGACTGCATCTTGATAAAGTCGCAATCAAACACACCAACTTGTTTAACGAAGTAACCAAAATAAATAATGGCTGCCTTTCCTAACTATCGGAAGCGGAAGATCCCCACGATTGAAACTTCCGTCTCGCATTTTCTCCTGACTCAACTGACTGCCCCTGGATCTCCGAGGATGACGTTATCATCCTATAGTTAGAATTCGAGGCCTTTAGATTCTAAGACGAGGAGGAATACGAGAACGAGAATTTCTTGATACTGAGTAGTATGCGCGCGTGAACCAGCGTCATTTTGTCTGTAAAACGCGATAACCGTCGTCGTTCTAATTCGAGGTTTAGGGAATTGTCGTAGTGATAGGCCTAGATACAAAAATTCCATAAAATGGCCTAAAATCTATCCGGAAATTCTCCAAAAAATGTCTATAAATCCCAATTTCATCTCTAAAAATTTCGAAATTTTTTCCAAAAAGTCTGATTTATCCCATTTTTTAATAATCACATAATTTGCATAGAAGGGGGATTCTCGGCCTGTGCAACAAATTGAATGCAAACACCTTCAAACTGATTCAAAATGGAAATTTATTTACTAGACAATGTAAGTGTTTCGCCGTTCAGTTAACATATTTCTTCAGTTCAAACAAACGATAATGACAATAAGCACTTACCGTAGTAGTGTTTGACATTTCATGTGGCATAAATGCATTTAAATGCAATTTAAAGGAGTTAACAACTAAGAGCGCCTGGGTGCCTAGGTCAGCGGTCTTTGGCATGCGCATGCCCGGTGGCTGGCTACATCGATCATGCGATTCCTTGGCGCGTTCAGTTTTCCCTTCGTACTGGGTTCTGTCGGCCATTTTCTTCCCCTCCCGCCCTCCCACTAGGCTTGTTGGGTTTTTCTCCACTGATGTTTTTTTTCAGTGTGACGGGTGCCTGTTCCTTTCCTTTGCTGTGGGGGCTCATGGCTGGGTTGCGCTGTTGTGCCAGTCATGGGGGCATTATTTCAATCTAGGGGCTGGCTGCCAATAGTAGAAGCCCCTGGATACTTCAGGCACCCAACCTCCATTTTAGCGATGCAGGTGTTAACCGAGGTCAAAAAACATGACAACTGGATTTTTCTAAACATCATAGAAATCTCTTAAAATCCCATTTGACTATAAAAAATCGTACTTTTGATTAAAAACAAATATTTCTGGGGTATCTTTTTTCTTGAGAATACGCAAAAGAAATTCAAGCTAGATCTCGTCCTCGAATTTGAAGGAAATCTGAATAAATTTGAGAGGTGACCTTTATGGGTAGGTAGGAATGAAATACATGTAGTATAAAACCATTTCTTTTTGGGGGATTGGGGGAAGGGGGTACAAACTCTTTAGTTTTCAAAAACGCATACTAAGACAGTATACCAAGAAAACAGAAACCAAATGTGTACAACAAAACAGGTTTCCAAAGCATAGAAAAAAACATTGGAGACACTGCCGAAGCATTTGGAAACATTTGGCTGTTGCAAGCCGCTGTTAAATTTTAAGGCTAACTTCTTAAAAACTGAAGGCGTACTTTTCTGTTTGCTGCTTTCTTTATTTTGGTTCACATGCTGAATTACATCACGCTCTTCGTCCGGTACATAATATGATAACATTGGGGGAAAGGTAAACCTTATGAACCTGTAATAGACTCGATCAAGAGAGGATGAATTAGAAAAGATTTTAAAACTAGTAATAACCACAGGTTACGGACATCCTCGAAGACCCAAGGGCGGATAGTGGAGGCGAGAGAAAGTCTAGATGGGTGGAAAAAAATGGCGCGAAGAAAAGTAGAAAACTGGGAGGAGAGCCCATGGGACAATGTTTTACCAGACCAGTTTCAAACGGTCGCGGCCGTTCTTTGCTTCTAATTGGTGCCAGGAAACTTTTGTGTTTTTCTGCCCAATTAAAGGGCAGCATACCTTGGAGTCGTTTCGTGTGTTCTTACTTAACACAACATAACAATGGCCACTCTATGAGATGAAATAGTTTTTGTTGAGAAATGCAACTTTGTAAATGATGGCAGGAGGTTTTTTATTGACGAGAAAGACGAAGAGGAATACGAAATTTCTGAAACAGATTTAAGTGACTTTTCGAGCGAGTTTTCAGAGCAAGAGGATACTTCGTCATCCGAAAAGGAATCGTTCCAGGCCGGCGCCCGAAAAAAAGTACGAAAAAGCAAACTACCAAAAAAAACCGTGGAAAACAAACAGCAGACAAGAGAGGCAAAGTTAGAGGGAAGAAAAATAAGTTCCTCACAAAAACGGAACTGGGCTCAGTTGTTCAAAGCTGGGTTAAGATAAACCAGGGTTAGTGCGAGATTTGAATTCAGATTTGAAAGCTTAAAAAGCATTTCAGTTTTTATTCTTTTCGTCTACAGGTTGATGATTGGAAGCTCCAAAAATAAGAGAGAAAATTATCCGAGAAAATGCTTTTGAACAGAAGAAAAAGAAACTCGGGTTAAATTTAACCCATGGTTAAGCGCTAATCGGCCTTCGAACAACTGGGCCGTCGATGAGTTTGCTGATAAATAAATTGAGTACATGCAACCGGTAACCAAGGCAAGTGCGCGAATCGTCCCCAGGACTGCAGAGCGTACTTTTTTACCGTGCTAAAAAGTGAGCGTGTTTTCATTCAATGGAAAGGAGGCTGTGAGATCACTCAAAATTATCGCGTTTTTGGAGTGAAGACGTCAAATACAGCAATAAGGTTAGTGAAACTAGCAAATTTTTACAATGACCAGCATGGCGCAAAAAGAACTTTATTCGTCCGTTGCTAATATATCTCCTATATATTTTCATAGACTTCCACAAGCAATGAAGGAAATAGGAGAGGTCTGCACGCAAGCTATTTGCTAATTTGCGAAAAAATAAACTGCTGTAGTAAAATAATAGCATTTGTACTTTCTGTCTACTTGCTGTATATTTGAAAACATTAGTTTTATTTCTTAAGACTACGAACTATAATTACCGTTTTAACCTTACTTGACAATAACACAATAACATATTTGACTTTTGAGTATGTTTCAGCAATTCTGCAAGATAACGAGAGGATGTTGTAGCGTGTTGTAGCGAAATAATTTGAAAGTCACACCCTCTTTCACGGTAAGTGTATGAGCGTTCCATCAGTATAATCTATCAACTTGTTATTTGGTTATTTTGAAGTTTGTATATAAGGATCTTTCAACCTTTATAAGAACAGTGAAATCGCAAGAGAAATATCTAGAATAAATTACCGTAAACTGCCGCTTAAAAGAGCTGGGCTTATAGACCATAAGGGGTTTTAGGAGGGATTACAAACGGAGGGGCTTGTATCCGAGAGAGCTTAAAAACGGAATAGAAAAAGCCCTTCGAAACAAGTAATAGCAGTGCTAATCAAAATACCTGTTGCATTTAATGGTTTTTAATTAAGTGTCAAAACGTCATAATGAATCGAATTTGGAGGAGGGTTTATATCTGGAAGGGGGCTTGTAATCGCATAGGGGCAGTTTACGGTAATTGAAATCACCATATACACCTATTTGCAATAAGGTTGTCATAGAAAAAAGCAAAAAGCAAAAAGCAAAAGGCAAAAAGCCAAATAGGAATTAATTAGCATTTAATTATCATTGCTTGCGACATTCCCAGCACACACGCTTATAGCTGAATATTAATCACGTAACATGAGAGAAATCATTTGCATCAGTTTCTTGGTGTCATTCTAATGCAATTCGAGGCTGATTCATCTAGCGGATTTCAAACGTGCTCTAATTACAAACGTACATCGGATAACTACTAAAGAAAAAATGGCCCCATTTTTTTTTCAATAAATATAACCTAGGGTAAATTCCAGGAACGCGACGCGTCTTTTCGTTTAATGCTAAATAGAAAGGCCAGTCTGCGTATGGTTTGTAGTGCACCACACCATCAGATCACAATTTTCAAGCAACAAATCAGGGGCGTACGCAGGACTTTCCATCGCGGAGAGGGTGAGGCGTTCCTCAGCCAGTCCCTCTCCCGCACCACAAACTAAGCTTCGTTTGTCAGGACCCTTTTGTTACACACATCAGTGTTTCATCTGCGGAATCTTACAGCGCGGAATTACAGAATTATTTCTTGTTATTGTGACTGACTTCTTAAATAATTGTTATATTATTAAAATACGCAAATGTAAATCACATGGCTAATTAATTCCTATTTGGCTTTTTGCTTTTTGCTTTTTTCTATGACAACGTTATTGCAATTAGGTGTATATAACCAGTGACTACCTTTTTATCACCCCTAACAGGAACTACGGTTTCTTCCGTAAAAGCCCTTACGTTTCAGCGATCCTTCAAAAGTATCAAACTATTTCTACATTATGTTGTAAAACGAACTCTACAGTTTCCGATACGTTTCTACTTCATTTAACAAAACAGCTACTTCAAGCCGAATATGGCACGAAAAACTGTCAAAACTAGCGAATGGGATCATCTACACTCTACTTCTTTCGACAAGAGTTCGTTCCCAGTCGGGACAAAAAGTTTTATGTCAGCTTAAGAATACCCATTTCGTCATAACTTAACTTTTGGGTGTTCATGTGTAACTAAGGGAATAAATATCTTATGTCCATCCAACTACACAGAAAAAAGACCTGCTAGAATTCTTCACAGAGCTTAATAATATAAATATAAATGGAAGTAATACGCAGCATGTTAGTTCAGGAACGGCTGGCTCAGAGGTGACAACAGTTACTGTTCCTTTGAGAAAAGTTTAAATCTCACAACAGTGGGTAAAAATTACCCACTTACCTGCCCGATGTTGGACACGAACGTGACCTGGTGACGGGAGAGTGTTGACCAAGCCCAGAACCGGTGATCTTTATATTATAGCAATGGACTGGTGGGACTGGTGGAGCCACAGGACTTGAATGCGCGGCGATGACCGTGTTCAAGACAAATAGGTACGAAACTTCTCCAGTATAGGCGCTCGACACATGGGGCATAACTCTACCCCGCTAGCACAATCCACGCAGCAAGTCAAATGACCGCAAGGACGAAACACCATGCTTACCTCGGCGTCCATACAAATCTTACACAGGCGTTCCTCCTGCATTCTTTCCAGTTTTTCCTCGAGTGATTCTTCGCCTGATTCGGAGGGACTCCGCGCCGGCGTACTGAAAGATCGGCGTAGACTGTTTACGTCGGGAGCTGTAGTGGTCGGTGACGTCACGGCACTAACACAATTCCTCTCCGGGAAGAAGTGGTTTTCCCTCGAATGGGAACTTGTGATATCTGTGGGGATAGCTAGACGGGGAGGAGGAGGAGACGCAGGTTCGCATCTTTGCTGCGTTGTTGGCGAACACGTCTGAAGGCTTAGCTGTTGCTGAGCTTGTTTCTCCAAAAGAGCAGAAACAAGATCCGTGTAGGTCGGAAACGTTGAGCCGGTCACTTCTAATCGTTCTTCCATTGCATCGTTTACTTGCTGTTGCGTGAAACCCATCTCGGCGAGTTTTTCCATGTCAAATTCCAGTGCAGCGCTGCCTCTGGGAGAACAAGATCGCTGTTTCTGGGTTGAACCAGATTCGCTGCAGCTTGAACCCGACTGGCGTCTGCTGGTCATATAACCCTCTTCTTGTGAGCTAGTCATAGGTTGCGTAGCCCAGTACGGGTGTTGCTGATTCTGTTGCGTCACAACTCTAGAAACCGCAGGAGGTGGGTAGGACTCTGATCTACCCCAAGTGCCATGAACAGGTAAATCACCACTCCTAATTGGCACCTGAGGGTGATAAGTTTATTCAAGGAGTTTAGTATTCCCATTACAGGACTAGCTCAGTCGGTAGCGCGCTTGACTGCAGAGCGGGAGGTCGTGGGTTCGATTCCCAGGACCGAACCAATTATTCAGGGTCTTAAAATGAATTAGAAATGAAAGTACGACTACACCTTCGCGTGGCTCGGATGATAACATAAAATGGCGGTCCCGTCTTCGATTGAAGACGTCACAATAGTGTCCTGACAGCCCCCGAAATGATCCCGACCCCGAAATGAGCCCCAACCCTGAAATGATCCCCAAATCGACCCCGAAATGATCCCCAATTAATTCTTGGAATGGAATGGTATTCCATCACGGAATTATTACAAGTATGTTGCAGCGTTTACGTTCCTGAATCGCATTTAACATTTCACTCCGGTTCATGGGATTTTTTAGCGCTTTTGTCATCTAATCGCCTTTATGTCTACTTTTGCACCTTCAACATCATTTAAAATTTTCAAAGGTGTTAAAATACCACTTTTAAAATTCAATATCCAAGGCGTGCAGTCAAAAATTCTAAAAATGATGTTAAAACTGCATGCCTTGGATATTGAATTTTAAAAATGGTGTTTTAAACACCCATGCTGTTTTCTCTATAACCCGGGCTATAATCACCAAAGTAATAATAATAAAAAATGTTATGTTTCTTGATGTTATCAGTCGCAGTTAATGGTGTTACTAAAAATATAGTAGACTTTGTGTATTAAATATTATTTTCATTTAATCCAATTCAAAGTGTAATCCCAAATTAATGTCATTAAAGAATGTGGGCAAGTGAAGATTATTAGTGAAACTTAACTTAATGTTGTGTATTTTAACGGATCCATAGTTCTAGGATAACATCCCATTCCAAGAATTAATTCGGGATCAATTTGGGGTCGACTTGAAGAGAAATGGGGATAATTTTAGGGTCGGTGTCATTTCGGGGGCGATTTGGCGATCATTTTGGAGTCGGGATCATTTTGGGGCAGAACAGTCCTCAATTAGTAATTTGGTGGTAAATACATTGACGCTAGTATAAAGTACATTATTTCCTGCTTTGAATGTTTTGGGTTTTTAATTTTTCTCAAATGTTTTGGTGTCTATTTTTTCCTACCTTTTGCCAAAACCACATAAACTCTTAATTTTTTTCACGATTTCTGTAATATTCCTGAAAAAGGGCTTAAAACATAGTGGTTTTCAAATTAGTTCCTTCCAAGTAGTAGATGCCTGATGAATTTTACAGTTTAACAGAAAAACTTAAAGATATTTAAAGAGTTTATATGGTTTTGGGGGACACTGTCAGAAAATTACAGACATTTGTATGTATCTTTAACCATGTTTCAAGAGACTGATCTCTGTTCAACCTTAGAGCACTCAAACTTGGTCAAACAACCAATCTCAACATGACTTTTTATATGGTGGTGTCAGTTTATCGATTACCGGAAGTTTAAATTTGAGACTCGCCCCAATTCCCTACGCAACTCTGAAATGGCTAATTGTAGAGTAAAGCTCGATTTTTTTCTAACTTTTTTTATGTCTTTAACTTGTGACTTAATAATCAATCTTTGTCGTTGCTTCGAGCTGAACATTTTGATGGGCTGATTACGGTAGTTTTCCTGGGTATTAAAAGACAAGGACTGATTTTATTTCACAAATCATTTGCATAACTGGGGCCCCAGTATCAGAATGGCAATAATTACACACCTTGGGCCCTGAATTTAATTTCAGAAAACAAAGGAGTTTTTCAGATAAATGAGGCTTTGGATGTGTAAGGATTATCATTCAAATTCAGGGACCATGTTATGTAACTAGTCTACTTGGAAGACTAAAAATAGCTCGTCTTTGTAGTAGTAGTTGTTACTATTATTACTACCTGTCGATCCTGAAGATCATGGCTGTGTTGGGGATGACGATACTGGAATGACTCTTGGGGAGTTGTAAAACGATCTTCAGTTGTTGTGCTTTGCCTGGGGGCAGGGTGTTCACGTAGAGACAATCGGCCAGAAAAATACTCCAAGACAAGTGGGCATGTAGGATTATGCTTTTGATGCTCACCCCACGGGGTGTCTGTGGGCTCCCAGTTATTCAAACCTACACCGCACCTGTAGCATTTGACGCAATCATCTCTTCCCAGGTAGTAAAACCCAGATGCTGCCAAGTCCAAAGGTCTGATTGGATGGTCATGGGGCCAATCAACAAATGTGGTGAGACGATGATGCTCGCTTGCAAGGTCAGCAGGCGATGAAATATGACGCGCATCCTCATGCCTTATCAACGGCTGTTGTCTGGGCTGCAGGCTTGGATCCACTACAGGACGGGCAACAAATAGGGTGGGTCGTTTTGATCCCTGACCAGTGGGACCATGGGAAGTTTGCCAATTGTTGGTCTCCACAGGGGGTTGGTGAGGACCAGTTTCCCTTGCCTCAGGATACTGTCGAGAACAATTTTCCTGTATCAATTCTTCTTCGTTAGGAATTGTTTGCTCTGATCTGTGCAGTTTGTATGGTGTCTGTCCAGATATGTTTTGAGAAAATGGTGGTTGGTTTGGTGCACTTGTCTTATACATGGTATTCATATATCTTAGCTGTCCCTCACTCTGGCTTCTATCCCGCTGCAGTGCATACTTTGCATTTTCTTCTTGAGGCAGGGCAACGCTGTGGCTGACACTTCTCTGAAACTCAGCAGTTCGTTTTCCTTCACGAAAGCTTTCTTCAATGGAGTACTCATATCCAGGCTGGTTTTCAAACTGCTCGTTCTTGCTTGTAGAAACTGATGATCCAGGTGGATAATATCTGCCGGATGTCTGCTCCTCTGTTCTTGGTAACCTGTGCTGAATGTGCTCCCTTGGAACTGTAAAACTTGTTCCAAAGTTGGAGGGAAATCTATTTACTTCTGGATACCTCACTGATCCAATCTGTTGCAGGTGGTTGCCTTGGCTTCCAGAATGAATAACTAATTTATCTTTAGGGTTAAGCTGATAGACTTTTGCTCCTGATCCAAGTATGTGTACCTGGCTAGATCCTTGTCGCACCACAAAATGACCATTAGTTTCAGTGCCTTCTCTCTGTTGTTCGGGAAGTTGAAACTGGGTAGAATTACTTCGAAGAAAGTCTCGCTCCCTAGCTGGGTAATAAGGTTGCTCTGGGTAACCATACTCCCCTGCTGTAAAATATGGTGGCCTCTCAGAGTATGGCACTCCATTACGATCAAGATAAGATGATGATATTGTACCTAAAACAACATCACCGTACTGAGGTTCTTCTTGATGGTTTAAATGTTGATATCTTGGAAGGTTTTGATATTTAGAAGACGGTGCAAGTGGGCCATCGACTACTGAAATACCATTTTCAGTTTCCCATTCGCGAATAAAAGGGCAACCTGGATTACGCTGTTTGTGCTCTTTCCAGGGGTCATCCCCAGGTTTCCATTGCTTTAGATGCAGATCACATTTGAAGCACACAACCAGATCGTCCAGAGCAAACTCCGAAGAATAGAATCCCGCCGCCGCTAGATCACGTGGATTTACAGGACTGTCAACCGGCCACCTTGTGAAAGTCTTTAGTCTCTTCTCCACGCTATCAAATTCATGTTCGTAATCTAACATATCTCTTTTGTCCGCGTTGTTTATTCTATGGGCTTCTTGATGATCAAAGCCGTTAAAACTGTCGCCAGTGTGGCTTCCAGGTTCTTGATCACTCAAAAATGAGCTGTAAGATGACGACTGTGAATTGTAACTTTGCAAATCGAATCGCTCGTCCATCATCTTCATCATCCCAGACTCGTGTTGTTGCGCACTCAACATTGTGGAAGGGCAAATTCTTATCGAGTAGGCACTCTTAAATCAGATCAGCCAAAAAGAGAAAGCGGAAAGTTCTGTTTATAACAACGTAGCATAAAACCCACGTATACTTTACTAAAGAAATCCAGTTGTTAGCTTCGTGCTTAGTAAACAAATTTGGAAGTCCCTGCAATCTTCTGCTACGTTGTGTGGATGATCCAAGTCACGTATGAAGTCACTGCTTATAGCAGAGGCTATTTTCCCCCTTCTAGGAGCGTTTTACTCCTGATAAGTTGCTGAAACAAGCATGGAACACGACAGAGTGATATCACGTTGCTATTTTCAAACTTCCGCTGCTAACTTCAAAAAAATTGGAAGCGAAAACTAATCAAAAGATATGTTCCTGCCCATTGTTTGGTCAGCGGTAAAGCGGAACTCTTATTCATGCGTCATTCATGCGCCTATACGATGTTTGTAAGGGACTGGGACCCAAAATCACTCCCAGTCAAACATGGCATCTGAAGAGAAGAATTTACAGGAACAAAGCGAGGAAAAACTCGAAAAAAAGAAGCATCGCGGAATACCAGAGGCTCTTTTTCTGGTAATATTTTACTACTTAAGCAGTGTATCCCGAAATTTTCGAGAGGACGTGATTGGAGTATTTTCCCCTCGGGAAAGTTTTTTTTGCATGAGGTTAACAAGCTTACTGGAAATGATTTTCAGTACAAAAATAACTCTTACCTTAAGTACTAACTATGATCTTACTGAGTCCGACGAGCCATTCAAATTCGTTTACCCGTCACATACAGGAAGATGTTGATGAATTCATGAAAAAGAGCGGACATGAAACCGCCGAGTCCGTGCTCAAAGATTTGGATGAGCAGCATCAGAAGTATAAATTTATGGAACTGAATTTGCTGGCAAGAAAGAAAAGGTAAGCCAGTTGCTCGATCAGTCACTACTCACAATTAAAAACAACAATAACGATTATTTTTTACCCCTGGCAGTATCTTTAAGTGTGTGGTCGGGCAAATAACTGCAACAGAAATTAATCGAAATATCCATAACAAGGCTGTGCTCTAAGGAACGTTAAAGGGAGCCCATTTCTCTGAACCTGTTAAATATAGGGTGCCCAGCATATGATTGTGTGAAAGAAGGAAGATTTTCTAGTCGCCCAAGAGCAAAAGTTAGGCTCCAGGGGCCAAAGGGCTCTGTTTAACCTTTAAAGCCCCAATGCTGACCAACATCAATTTTCTTCTAACGATATCCATACCTTGTCAAGAGATAAGGTTATGAGAATTGATGAAATGATGGCTAAAGAGAAAATGCTTTGATCTTTTATCAAATTCTCTCAACTACCTCTTTAAGGAAATGTATGGAGATCAGTTTGGAGAATTACTTTGTGGATATTGGGGCTTAAAGGGTTAATAGAGCACAGCCTTGCATAACATTAACAAACTTATAAAAGAGTTCCAACTGACAGTCCTTGTAAGGTGGCTCACTGTAACAGTTTGTAGCTTTATAATAGGTGTAAAAGGAATTTCCTCTAAGTTTCATAGCTTTGGTATACAGCTGCCTCGTACACAGGTGTGTTCTGACTGATTCAAGAGTGACTGGGATTTGGGTTCTATGCTAGGTATCATGGGAAAGGCGAAGAGCAAATTTTTGTTGTTCATCCTTCCCAGCATCCTTTGCATCCATGCTAAATGTTCCCATGGTCCATTGCATAATACTCCTTGATGGCTCATGCTGTCACGTTTTCTGTTTTCCACACTTGAGACACCTAGGAACGAGGCAGGGTGTCCTGTCAAACCCCATTTCTATGGATACTGAAGGGGCCATTGAAAGTGTTCATATTAATGGGGTGTCTGCATTAAGCAGGTGATAAGGTAACAGGTTTGAAGTAATATGAATCCCAAGATCCTCAACTTCAGATACAGCTTTCAAGTTGTTACCACATAAATAATTGAGGGCTTGAATTGTCATTCTTTTTAAAATTATGCATCACTTTGCATTTATCAGTGTTAAATCTCAATTGCCAATCATTGCTCCAATGTTCCAAACGAGTAAGATTTTTCTGTAGTTCTTCCACATCTTCGTTAGTGTCCCTCAGTACCCCATACACCTTCATATCATCCGCAAAGAGTTTTGTGCAAGAGGTAATGTTCCTTGAGACATTGTTAATATAAATGAGAAATAAAACGGGTCCCAAAACAGTTCCCTGGGTCTGAACACCAGACAAAATAGAGGCCCAAGATGAATAATGGCCCCGCAAAACAACCAGCTGGTATTGGTTTGATTGGGTATCAATGATTGGGCCCCTGAGAGAAACAATGATGTCATCTTAATTTTTGGGTCTATGAAAAGCTTTTGAATTGGTGCCACATAAACAATATTTGAACAAAGGTAATGATCAAGACAGGTAAGATTTCTCTTTCAGGAAGCCAAATTGCTCTGGAATAAAGATCTCATTAGTTATCCAAAACTGAACAAAATGCTGTCTCACAATCATTTCACACACTTTGCACACCACCAATATTAACGAAACAGGGTGGTAGTTTTGGCGAACGTATTAGCACCTTTCTTATGTAAAGGAGTGATGTCAGCCAATAACCAGTTGTGTGGTAGCATGCCTGATGCAAAAGACCCCTTTGCACTGAGCGGTGGAGCCAAAGTTTGGGTGCAATTCTTTAATTACAACAAGATTTTATTTTTCTGTATATATTCAATTTCTTGTATTTCCCTAGGGTAGGCACCCTGCGGGGGTCTAAGTGTCCCTTTGGTGCCCTTCATTTTTGGGCTTTAATTCTTTCATGTTTGTATATTTCATTCTGTTTTGATTTTGCCCAATAAAGCTTGAAATAATAATAATGATAATAATAATGAATACTATCCGGACCAGGTGATATATGAGGTTTCAACTCACTCAGGATCTCGTAAACATCCTTAGGAGAACAGTGCAGAAGACTAAGATCTGTGTAATATATGTTATAAAAGGGTCATGGTATTAAGGTCAAAAAACACCTTTGTTCGGAACAAAATTCTAAAGAAATTAAAAATGAATTTAGTATGGTCAAATTCTAGACATCTCTAACCTTCACAAAGCTGTCATTCGTGGATGAAATCCACGGAAACACTCAAACATCTCTCATCTATAGATCACTTAATCAAAACTGTACGTTCTCTGCATTAACTTGTTTGATGCCAAAATAGTCTGGAACTGATGTCTACAAATCATTTATCTTCCAGATGGTCTTTTATAGAGCCCACTTCTTTTCGCAATATGTTGGTAGCGTTTTAACACATGGAATTAACTCGATTGTACATTTGCTGTCAACTGAAACCTCATGGATACCAGTTTTGTGCAATAGAATGAATATATTCCACATGCATGCTTAGGGGCGGATCCAGGATTTTTTTTAGGAGGGGGTGCACTCGTCTCTTGCTCTACTTCAACACCAATAAACCACATATTTTTTGTTTTTTGCAGAATACCAGTAGTAGTAGAAAACCACAGGTCATCTCAAGGGAGGGGTGCAAACATAAACAAGCCAAGTGACACAAATGTCTGCATGGATGGCATCAAAACACTACAGGCTGTGTCACAACACAGCATTTATCTTCTTTTTTGAAAGGTTTTTAGGTCATCATTTACGACCCACAGATAACCCATGCTTCTCCTCGTATATCTGAATAAAAAATCAAAACAAATCGGCAAATCACTTTTACCTCTCAAGATATTATTTTTTGTTACTAATAAATATTAAATTCTACGAGAAACAATTTTCACTGATTAACAAACTACAGCCATTATCTTACCAATTCCCATCCAGTATACCTCCATGCCTTCCTTTTTTCGTATCTCAACCAAAAAATATACAACGCTACTGAACTACTCACACATCCCTAATACATATATAAAAACTTCACACACACCTAGTACATCGACGCCCAAATATATGCTCCCAAAGTGTCTTGTTGTCTAGTAGTTGTGTGCTTGCCAGTGTAATTTTGTATGCTTGACTTCTTGACTGTAACTTTATTGGAAATATATAAAATATCTTGCAGGTTACAAATTCAAGTTCCAGATTTAAATTCTAGTTTGGAGATGGTCAAATTATTATCTTCAAAAAAGGTACTGTTAAAGAAACACATGTAATGTGGCTGTAAATGGAAGTGGCCATGATGTTCACAGTCAGTTATCACTTTCTTGACTAAAATATTTGGTGTTATTTTGCTTCCTTTTATGCAGGGAAGTTCCAAGCCACTACAGAGCAGATTTTTGTTGTCTGATCAAGTCTATTGCACTGCAGATGTGCCACCCACTGAAAAAGTGATGCTTTGGCTAGGGGTAAGAATTTGTCATATATAACTAAAATGTAATTTCAGGCTTTAAAGCTGTAGACATCAAACAGCAGGCCTGAACTTCAATTTTATCACTCAAACCAACAGGAAGTGATGACAATGATGATGACGACAGTAGAGAAAATGTCCATGGATGTAGCTGAGGAAACACTTAGCAGGCTTTTATACTCAACTGCACTGTCAAAATTACTCCATGTCTTGGTTTTCCAGAGCAATTTGAGCTGGTGTAAGCTCTTTTTCAGCCGTGAAATTAGCTGGCAGCCGCCTCTAAGCGACGTTCCTGAATGTCTCGTAAAATGTGAATTCATTGTTTTTCAAAATTGATCCCTCTTATTCCAGGTCATTAATTTTTGTCAAATATTAGTGAATGTTTTTTCTGTAGTCGAATTCTAAAGGACTGTAAGTTTTTAAAACAAAGTTGGTGATGTCAACAATCACATTAGTCTGCTACACAGCCGTTTTTAGTGTCGTCAAAAAACGGCTTGAAAACCGAACTTCATTGTTTTGTGTTTGTGGTCGAAAAATTCATCCCTCTTATTCCAGGTCATTAATTTTTGTCAAATATTAATTTGAATGTTTTTTTTAAGTGGTCTGTAAGTTCCAAGTGAAAAAAAAAAGTTTGATAGGCCTAAAAACTTTTACCAGGATAAAATGGACTGTTTAAGTTTTTAAAACAAAGTTGGTGATGTTAACAAGCACATTTTGCTGAACACCATTTACTGATGAAACATCAAATAGACTGGGACTCTGTGGCCTGCCTTATGTATTCTACAGACTACTATCAATGTTGCACTTTAGAAAGCAGGTTTACTATAACTTATAACAAACACCACTGAATCACAGTCACCGATACAAGCACCACACAAACGACTCATTGACGGACACAAGCAAAATGACAGAATGACTGGATAACCAACAATTTCATGTACAATATAAAATTATGATCGACTGTTCAAGTGTGACAAAAGACAGATTGAATGCAAAATTGACAGTTAAAGTCTTCACAGCCAATAAGATCATGGCTTATCTGATAAACGACCAATAACATTGTGACTTGATTGACCAATCAGGTCATTAACCAGAGTTTAATACCATCATTGACGTGATAGAACTGATCATCATCATCATCATCATCATTTATTAGCCCCGATAATTATTAAAATGAATTTTACAGAATACAGTAATGATTTGTTAGGCAAGGAAACCTCAAGAAACCACCAGGCTAATAGGAGAGGCCACCTCAGCATCACAATTATGATAAGAAATAAGGGCTGCGAAGGAGTGCGGCTAGACTAATTCAGTAACTGTTTGAAAAAAAGATAAGATAAGAAAGCCTTTTGACAGGTTGTTGAAATGTCAGTCACTTTCAGCAATAGTCCTATTCAAGACTAAGCTCACTTGGACGATCATGCTCCACCTACTTAATATGAAAAGACGCGTGGGTTGAAACCTTTCATAGTAAACGATGAAGACAGCATAGACAACATAAGTCAGTGCAATTTGTTTTGGATATATAACCATACTATTATGTTGCCATTCTTACAGGCAAATGTGATGTTAGAATACAGTATTGAAGAAGCAGAAGCTTTGTTATCTAAAAACCTTAATACTGCGCAGAAAAGCTTAACAGAAATAGAAGAGGACTTGGGATTTCTTAGAGATCAGTATACAACAACTGAAGTCAGTATCCTTTGATAAACAGAACTATACATGTGTAATCAATTATGGTGACGAGTCAAATTAAGGAATAATTTCATGTGCGTTTTGTCCAGGATTTTGACAAAACACAAGTGAAATTATTTCCTAATTTCACAAGTATACCATTTGATTACCTATTAATATCATGGGTAAGGAATTACATTGGCAATCATGGATTTTTGACATGTTTGTTCTGGATCATATCAATCGAGAATTCCACTCTCTCAAAAGTTTAGAGCTTAAATTTGGCTTAAGTTCAGAATTTTTAGAATTTTTTGAAAGAATACCTGTTAGAATTCTCTCTTAATGTGTTCTTTCGTGTGTGAAGGTTTTCTAAAGCATTATTTTATGCCCTGACATCTTCATTCATAACATTTTAAAAATTCTCGCCATCTTGGCACTGAGATGTATGGAAGGTTGCCATGGCAATTTAACACTGAAATTTCACACCAAATTTAAGAAGTAATTTGTCACCTATGATATTATTCTAATAATAGCAATAGCACATTGAAAAGTAAAATACAGTGGAACCAGGTTAATACAGACACTAAAGGGACATACCATAGCAGGGGCGGATCCAGGATTTCTTTTAGGAGTAAGTAAGTAAGTAAGTTTCTTAAATCTCCAGCCAGTGGCTCTTCCGATTTAATTTACAATAATTAGAAATCGAATAAAAACTACTTATAAAAATTACAATAATATCATGATAAAAAAAACTAATTCAAATAAATAAATTAACCTATTCTAAAAATTCTAATCCTAAAAATTGCTACGAACTATTATATATTTCGCGCTTTACTGGGTGCTTGGGGTGCACTCGTCTCTTGCTCCACTTCAACACCAATAAACCACATAGTTTTTTTTTTTGCAGAATACCAGTTGTATTAGAAAACCACAGGTCATCTCAGGGGGGGGGGGGTGCGCACCCCCTGCTCCCTCCCCCTAGATCCGCCTCTGCATAGTGTTCGTATCATCTGGTTGCCCACATCAAGTGTGGTCTCAGAAAAAAACACCACGGACACATTTTGTATCGATATAGAGATAAAAAGGAGCAGTGACATGAAGCAAAAAGTCAAGGAAATAAAACTTGTGTAATAGGAGGCAAAGCACTATACTATAGGAGGGTCAAACACATAACTGATCAAAATAAAAAAGATCAAGCTATTTGGCTGTTTCTTTGTAAAAAAAAAATTATATTAACCCCAAGAAATCTGTCATTATTTGAACTGCCAAATTCTCAAATCATCCTGAGCATTTTCTTGGTTGATTCCCTTGTCTTTTTGTAACCATGATATCTCCTTAACCTTAATTCAGACATGGCTAGAGTTTACAACTGGGAAGTCAAGAAAAGACAAGCACAGAAGTCTCGGTCTGAGAAATAGCAATTATGCCTAGGTCATTAGTATTGATATTTTGGTGTGTATTTAATTTTACCTTTTTTTAATTAAAAAATTTAGAAGACAAAAGCATGGTCTTATTCAGTGCATTGCAGTTGGCATTCATTATTTCTGGAGACCCTGATAATGGTAGAATTCTGGTAATTATTGACATGGCCTTCACACATGGAAGACCTCTGTTAACAATGACCTCAACCAGGTTGGTGTCCAGCAGTTTTAGTGAAACAAGGATTCAGGTGGGGTGCCCAGTCTCGCGGGCTCATAAAACCTGGTCTCGTTCATTTAAGGATTTTCTTCACACATTGACGTAAGACAGATGGTGACTAATGGTTTGAAGATGGGTTTAAACTGTGACAGCAACAAAAGCAACTGAAGACTACTACTTAGATGCCAACAGGGGCAGTGCTTCCTCCTTAGCTTCTCAGATATAGACTGAAAAACATGGTACCTCTTACTGCCTTCTGGTTTGCTCAGTTAGGAGAGCATCAGGCTGCTGGGTGGGAGGTCTTGGGTTCAAACCCCGGCCAGACCAACAACCGGGGTTTTTAAATAACTGGTAAGATCATTTAAGACTTTGTCTTAAGTTAAGAGGCAGGGGCCCTTGGCCTTGTCTCCTTCATCCTTCTTTTGTTGGCATGGTCAAGTAAAAGGGGAAGTAAAAGAACCCACACTACTCTTTGAAAAGGGTAGAGTATGTTTCCCTAGTGGTGTGCTCCACCTTGCTCACATTATTCATATCATGGACTGGGTGAGTTATGGTAAGCCCTTGTATGCTGATGTCTGAGCTTATTGTTGACATGTAAATATATATGTCTGTTGCCTTCTTGTCCACAACATTTCATTCATTCAAAAACCATTGACCTAAATCTAAGGTAAAGAACCACCAGAGACGCAACAATTTCTCGCTTTGACCACCCCTAGTGTCCATCTTTCACAGGTTGTGGGACTGTATTTGGAAGGCACCTCACAGGGGACCTTTTCCTATTGGCCAGGTCTGTACCCGGCAAAGCTGGAATAACATAGATGGCCTCCTAGTGGGTATAATAATAATATTATAATAATTAATAATAATTATATAATTATGATAATTATCGTCCACCTTTTGAACGACTGAGGCCTAAAACTTAGGGTGAGCTATTCTTGAACTCCAAAATATTTTAGGAGTTATGATGAGTCAAAGGAGCTGGGAAGAATGACATTTCTTTTAACTCCCTGCCCTCGTTCTCCTCCCTTTTTTCAGCCTGATGCCCACCCCCTGATTGCACTTCTTATGGCCACTTTCAGTGGTGGCTAGGTACATAAAATACCAAAGGATGGCTGACCTCCTAGGATACTTTTGCAGTATAGACTAACCCCACACATGATAAAATTAATGAAACCTGTTCTACAGATATAGCAGGGGATGGCTGCCCCACTAATAAAAGTACCTTTGGAGTACAGGTCTGGGCACATCCACATTATGGAAGATAATTTATTGCATGCAATTTCTAAGTTTCACCATGGGTAGTTCATGTTGTTACTAACGTTTTTTGCATATGCTAAGTGGCATAGTGCACACAGCAAACATGGGTCAAGTAGTTGCTTACAAGAGGTTAAAAACAGTGGAGAATCATTGAACTTTCAGCCCCTAAAAGTGGTTGTGGTCGCTTACAGGAGGTGGTCATTTAATAGAGGTTCCAACTGTAAGGCTTGGGTGTTTTGGATAGGTTGTCGCTTATGGGGGCTGGTAGCTTATGAGAGGTGGTCGCACATGGAGGTTGAACTGAATGGGGAAAACCCATGTAACAAATCGAGTTCACCCCATCATGAATTGGCCCTGTAAAGAGTTAGCCCCATGCGAGTGTTAAGTGTGAACACCATGATCCATCAAAAATCGACCCAGTTCCTGAACTTCCATGCCATCCGTGTTCCTTTAATGACCCAACCCAATTCCCAGGTATGTGTTTTACAAAATGTCCAAGGTGTAAGTGATTTTATGAGAATTTGGAGATAACAACACCAAAAGGCGAACTTGGAAAGCAGCAGGAGACCTTGTAGAGGGCAAACTCACAGACGTTCCAGAGGCCTTGTAAAGGTAAAATTCTTATAAGCGACATGGTGGAACAGGAACGCAAGACTAGTGGGTTTACCCTTTGGAACCTAACATCAAAATTTGAATTCTCATTTGTTGCCCCTATTCATTTCCTACAGAAGTAGTGGGGAGAAGTTGATAAAATATCAAGCAAATTCATCTTGTGTGATCATGTCCGTAATTCTCATGACCACTCTGTTTTACAAAGCATTGATATTACACAGAGAAATTTAATGCTGATCACTCTTAGGGCCTAAAGGGTTAAATCCCTTCTCAGATGGTGTGCAAAAAACGCAGACTGCAGACTTGCAGGCAAACCAGGTAAACGTTGTGAAATACTCTAACCAATTCCCTGTCCCTAAACTTTCAATTGAGTCTTCTTTAAGTCTAGTTCAGGGACAGGGAATCTGTTAGGGCATTTCACAACAAACTTTACCTTGTAACTTACCTGCCTGCCTGCCTGCAGTTTGCATTTGTCACATACTGCTCCCCAGGGGGCCTCATTTAAGTCAAATGGTGAAAGTTTTTGACATCACTATGTAGCCAGTGATCCCCCAAAAAATAATCAAGCTGCCTAAAAGTCATTTCTCATGTTGACAATGTAAGTACTCATGTTGTAAATAATGAAGACAACAAACAAAGCTTCTTTTTTTTGCAGCTTTAATGTCAGTTTCATTAGAAACTCGTCAAGTTGCTGTATGATATCAGCACACTTTTCCTAGTAACTGCACAAAATTACACATCAGTTTTCTTCTAATGTAAACTAACTTACAAGTGAATGCTCTCACAAAGAGCACTCTCACACCACAAGTATTGTTAATAGTCACGCTAGACTTGTTCGATTTCTAAAAGTAGAAAATGGCTTTATTTTTAAATTAAAAACAAAAAAATTTTTACAACAGACCATCTCAAGAAAATGCTAACAATTGAACAAGTTCTCACTGATAAGAGATTATGAACTTGGATATATCTTTCCCACTTAAGGACAATGTGCACAAATTCAATGTGATTTCTATGATGCCTACACTGAACAAATTTGATGAACTGCCTTTAATAATAATCTTGATAGTTGCCGAAACAAAAATTGTTAACATAAAATATATAATTCTTTACAAAAAAATAAGATAAAATGCCACTTTCAATTGGTAATGTCACAAGTCTTTCATGGTTTCTAACAATAAGCAGTGGAGAAAACTACCAATTTATCATACCTACAAATGATATAAGATCACTTTGCAATGCAAATAATTAGAAAACATCAGAAAAAGCTGATAAAAACCTGTACAAAGATTAATACTTTTAACATATTAAGAATTATGATATTGGTGGAGTACCAATGAATTAAAAAAGCAGACCGAGTGAAATGTTTTTAAAAACTTAGCCTTAACATTAAGGATTTTTTAAACAACCACTCGACACCATTTTACTGTAAGATTAATTTACCACCAATGGAACTGTAAATAAAAGTACCAGACAACCTCTTGAGTTCATAATATTAATTCTCCTCAATGAATATCATACAAGTCTTATCATTCCATGCCGGTTGCATGTTAAGAGTATTAGCTGTTTCATCAACTTAGTTACACATGTGAGTTGATGAATGTCTTAACTCCCACCACTAATCTGATAATTATTACTGATAATACAGTGTAAATACCAACGTTAAGAACCAAGAAATAACATAAATGCTCTTTGGAGTGTAAGGAAGACGTGAGTCTGTCCAAAGTAAATAACTCCACATATTCAATAATTTGGCATGCGAAGGGAAGAAATAAGGCCCTTGAATAGAGAAACAGTGTCTCAACATCCTCTGCCTGGTTTCTTCAAAATGCAAATTTAGTATCACTGAAAATTAGATGATCACATGCAAGAATACCAGAACATACTCTGCCCGACCTCTTGTCCAGCAAGGCTTGCATCTTGACCAGCAAGAAGTGCATCAAGTCCAGTCCAATTCAAAAATAATATGTTCTAAATAATTATGCACTTCAGTTCTTCCTAATTATTGTAAAATTACAAACACCATTATTGCAAACAACTTTCAAGTAATTCTTACCTACTTAAAATTGAGAAGAGCACTACATTGTTTTTTCTGACACAGATTAGCACGACAGAATGTTAATTGAGATTAAATGCTCTACATCCCTTAATTAGACAATACCTTTCCCTTTGGTATAGTAAGGGTGAATCATAATTACAGATTTTCAGTAGAAATCAACAACATGGAACACTAACAGTAACTCTATTACCCATGCAGAAACAAAAACACTGTACAGTCAGCAAAATTAAACTTATCAAAAAAACCAGCATGTCAACATCAATTGACGAACTTAAACAGTTCAACGTCCATCCTGCACGAATATACACTCTTCTTATTTCGATTAAACACCTCAATAAAAATAAGGGGTAATTACATTTATAAAATGATTGAAATGTAAACTATTTTTCTTTTAAAAGTATTGAAGCCTAATGCTAACTTTGTTGCAATGAAACTGGTCCGGTGAATTTATTTTAAGTTTCTGGTGATTTCCTCCTTTTGAAAGTAAAATCCAAAACAATAATATTAGTAATACAAAATATGGTGTATTTACAATAGCAAATATCTTTTTAATGACTCTAGAAAAAAGCACACAATCTTTAAGTAAAAACCGTTTTGCACTATGTTGACATGCTGTGCAATTATTTTCATAAACTATTTATCCTCTAAGGCAATTATTATTTAACTTATTAACTGGCTTTGTTCAAGGAACGTAAACTGGCACAAATAATGATATTTATTTAGTAATGTTTAAGCACCACTGTCTTTCTCATCTAACACATACAGTGTCAACTTCTGAACATCTGTTTCTTCAGAATATTTATCGAGTATTTCGAGCACTTTCTCCACGTCATCAGGGAAGACTTCACACAGCTTTTCATAAGCTTCGATACGAAGTTTCTCGACTTCAAGGGCTGACGAGGTTCCTCCTTCCTTAGGGTTATCAGTCACATCGCCGCACCAACCACCAATAATGGGAGGGGCTCGTGACCTGAAATAGCTGTTTCCCTGGCCATGGTATGGTGTGCGTCCATTAAAACCAGGTACATGATGGAATGGACCGGGAGCAAAGTTATCGGGACCGTACTGGTAATGGAATGGCGGCATACCTGGCCAGGGATTTGCTGGTGGTAGTGATGTAGTTTGAGGGCTTTGATACACTGGCGACTGGCTGCTGACTGGGGGGTTGGAAGGAAAATGAGGCGTAAATGGGTAACCCTGTCCTGGGTACATCCAGTCTCTACTGATCATGCCATTGTCATTGGGAATCCTTGGCAAAGAGCGATGCATCATGATTTCTGGGGGCCCGGGTGAGTATGGTGGTGGATAAGTTTGCGGAGGCAGACTTCCTCTTCGTATTAATTGATTTGGTGGTACTCTACCACAAGCCTGATCTTGAAAGAGTGGCTCGCTAAGAGTTCTCTCAAATTTCTCTTGCATTATCTGTACATCAGGAGGCAGCTCCTTACGATAGGGTAAGGGGTCTGACCGTCGCTGACCAATGCCAACTGTCTGGCCTGTGCGTAATGTTGGGGGGAACACTCTGGCCATCTGTTGTGGGAATTCCCCTTGTGGCGGAAGGGGCAGCGGTTTGTGATATTCCAAGGGGGCAGGAGGGAGGGGCCTAGAGTACTGGTGTTCTGGTGGGCATGGCGGCAGAGGTCTTCTCTTCACCTGACCATATGGAACCTCTGGAGGAAGGTGTTCTTTACATGTTGACAATGAATCTGCTTCTACTTTGAGAGGGTTTCTCTCGGGATGTAGAAACTTACACCTGTTTCCATAGGTGCAGTGCCTCTCATACGGACATAATTTCCCACAGCCTTTCTTTAAGAATTCACTGAGGGTCGGACCGTGTCGTCCTAGAGGATCATCAGGAGGCATAAACTTGTCATCTACAAAGGTATACATGAGTAGTCTCTGCTCAATCACCTTTTTCCACTCATGGCTTTCAGACATCAAATCTTTGAAGTTATCGTTAGACACTATGACACCATCTGTTTCTGAGGCGTGCTTTATTATATACCTGTCATCGTAGCATTTAATAATGCGCCCACTAGTGACTTGTCGGCTTGGAGTCCAAACAAGGATGCCATCTGCCTCAAGTCTCTTTAAAACGTCCTGGTCAACAATAGGTGATTCAGGTCTTGATGATTTGGCTCGCCACATCGGCACGAACACCTTTATGTTGCGGTGGTTTCTGTGAAGAAACCAGTCCACTGCCAGGCCAATCCCTCGGCATGAAAACACTCTTTGGGTACCATGGCTGCAAAACAGAAAAAGAAATCAATATATAGATTTTCTTTTCAACAGATGTGTCCTGTTAATCCTTTATGTATATGTAAGAAAAACTTATATAAGAACACTGTGAAAATGCTCTTTATGATAGATCAGGACAACTCTTGCACCTGGAAGTTCATTTGCTCTATAACATAAGAGCACCCACGGGCCAGCACAATTTTCACCTTGCTTGTTCCAAATTTTATCTAGTTTCACTCTGTAGACTGATCCAGTTACAAGGAACTGCGGTTATTGTCCATCAGAAATTGCTCTTTTACCATAATTTGCTGTCTTTTGCACTTATTTAATTAACCATTTTTATACCTATGATCACCATACATATTCTTGTCACTATTCTCAACACATGTGGTTTGGATGAGAGGAATTTGTTTAGCAATCATGAAATTCTTAATTTCACTATTTCTTTTATTTAGAAGACCTCTGCTTCAATGAGCAATGATATTTTAGAGTGAAGATAATATGAACTAGGGAAATACAAATTTTAACGAGGATATGATCCTCTCAGTGGTAATTGCAATTTAAGCAATTGCAAATAAACATGGAAAAAAAATTTCAGGACTTCCACGGGGTTCAAACCCATGGCCTCTGGGTTCGAATCTCATTGAAGTTCCAAAACTTTTTTTTCTGTGATAATTTGCAATTTCTTAAATTGCAATTACCACTGCAACGATCATATATTTACTTCTCAATGATATTTTCGTGAGAAATTCGATACTGGCCACCCTCAGCGGTCTTTCCCTTTTATTTGTGCTGTATAATATGGCCTTGCTAAATTAATAATCTAAAAAATATTTTTTGACTCAAAATACATTGAGATGTGCAGAGTGTAGAAAATTGCAATATTTTATAGTACTCCTATGTATTTTGCTACCAGATATCTGCCTATAGCTTGTTCATATAAAACTTCTGTGTCACTTGAAAAGACGTGATATTCAGCACGTCTTCACAGAGCTTTCAAGAGCTTTACAGAGCATAAAAACACAAACTTTCTTCACTTCATACTACTTCACTTGTTTCAGCAGCAGTGACTACATTACATGTATTTTATAAGAAGCTTATTGCAGCGATTCTTGTTAAGATGTCGCACTATTATATTTCAATCCACTAGCCAAAATATATAAAAGCCATGATGTGATCTATGCTTCCCAGTGGTTGATTTCCCTTTCGATTTTCTGAAGTTAATCCAGAAAAACAAGATCATCGGATTCAAATATTTGGTGGTTCCATTTCCTTCCTCTTCTTAAGTTAATCATTTTAACACGTTTTTTTTTTCAGTCCCACATGTGACCTTATAGTCTTTAAAACCAAATGCATAAACTGTTTCTGCTATTTAGCCTTAAAGGGGCTACGCGACATGCACACAAAATGTTCAGGACTGTAAAGTTATTGAGATCATAATTATGAAACAAACTCCATAAGGTAGCACTGATCGTAATAAATTTTGGGGTGAATTTTACGAGCATATCATTAAAACTTGAAAAGGTTAAGCCAGATTTTTCACATTTTAATCCAGGTCCATCCGTACCATCCCTTGTAACAGAGACAACAGGAAACAGTTTCAGAACCTAAATATAGTCTCAAAGAACAAAACTGGACCGTTATTTTATAATTCAATTAATGTGAAGACATGTTTTTAGCTATTTAAAAAGATAGCGAATAGCAAGACATAACCCCTTTATGCCTCAACTCTACCGAAGGGGAAATATGATCACTACATAATATGCCACATGGCAGCAGGAATTTCAGTCATTCGCCCTGGCCTTTCACTTCCAGAAGTAGCCGCAGGAAAAACTGGGCAAAAATTCCAAATTTTACTGTGCGAAATACTGAAATAAAAATTTATCATGGGAAAGAAAACATAGGTGTTCATCCACAGACTAAAACCACCATACAAGAGTCCCTGATTTGCTCCAGGAGTGAAAACGTTAACATGAGAAAGTGTTGATCAATATAAAAAAATGCTATATGTTGCATCTATTAGAAATGCAATACAAATCACCAACAGATGGCAAAACTTTGACAAAAACATCCATTTTTTACACTTATAAACTGTTTTGTACTGTTCACATTTGTTCAGAATTGCAATTTATTGTAACAGTTAAAACAATTTGATGAATTATAATGACTTTCAAAACCAACACATCCCCATGGCTTTTCCAGCTCATCCAATAAGCCTCTATTCCACAAGCACTGAAAATTTGGCTACACCAAATACTGCGCTTCATAAAATTATATCGGATACAACAGGTTCAACAAAAACTTGGAAATTCTAGGGACCACATGAAAACTACCTTACAAATTTTACAGTTCTTATAATGCAACCATTATCCTGGTTCTCATATGTAACAATAATTTATCATTGCATTTTCATCGCTTTTTCAAACATGATATACATTATGTGACACACAAACTATGAAAATAACCCTTTCTGTAATTACAGACGCTGTAGGTCTGTGGTTAAATGTGCATGAACTAGTCTTTGACATGTACTTCATATTGATAACAAAATTTTGTTAAAACTTTCCAAAACGTAAACATTTTGTCAGCTCTTAATCCAGGAATCATTTTCGTTGAATAATATTAAAAATAAGCAATCTAAAGCGCAACACTGAACAGAGAGTTGACAATTTTCTGAAGTGTACTTTGCTGTAACAGTACTAAAAAAAAATTTCATACAGAAGTCATGCGTTGTACTTTAAAACAATTTACAGATTACTGTCTTGGAATTTATCCAACTTTTCTTCGTACGTTCGATTTCTGTTGTTGTTTTTATCTTACCCCAGAAATTTCATGCTTTGAAGACAAATAATGATTTCAAATCATGAAGCTCTGATTCGAAAGAGAGCAAACAATATTCAATTTGACACAACGGCAAACAAGCCTACACAGAGAATATTCTGGGTACGTCAGGTATGACTAAGTTAATACGCTGATATTTCAAAGTCCAATTTCGTTAACAGAAAAAAACGTTTTCACAGGCTGTTTTCTTAAGAAGGATATTAGAAATATGAAACGTATCTCTTTTAAAGTCTTTTGTTTAAAGCAAAATACATGAATTTAAATGAATTACATAAAGATGTGTTCTCGCGAGCACGTGTAACAATTGAAAGTATTCCTTCCGCCACAAATAATTGTACATCAGACGATTAATTGATTAATAGCAACAAACGGCAGTGTAAAATTTCCATCATAGGCGACGTTTGTGCAAAGTGCTGTGTATTTTGAAAGGGACGTGTTTTCATATCTTCCCTCTCAATTAATCACAGCATTCCATTCATACACCACAAAGTACGTGTTTTTGTGCAAACAGAACTGTCGTTCGATTGAAGTGCTCGATTGGTTGTTCTCGAAGCGATTTCGCGAGAGATAAAATTGGACGTTTTCAACAATAAGAAGTTCATCTATAAACAGGGATGTAAAGGAAATGCTTAAGAACGTTTTTTTGTCCGATGTAACGTTTTTATACTTTACCTCATGGCCACATTACTCCCGTCGATCACGATCGGACGAAGACAAGACGCATCTTCGGGTGCAGGATGAGGTTTCTCGTTGGCTACATTTGAAGAACCTTCCTCCAGTTGTTTTAGAGACGATTCAGCTTTCAAAAGTTCGTTAAGCAGAGCATTTTTATCCGCTGATGGTCCAAGCTTGCTAAGTGCAGCGCTAATAACAGCCTGACTGTAGCCCAACTTGAGGGCAAAATCTCTCAAAGCCTCATCAGTCTCTTCGCTCACTCTCTTTTCAGCTTCAATCGCTCTTGGGGCGACCATAATTTCTTGCACTAGCTGCTCCTTTTCGCCGGTTCTATCGCCTTCGCTGCGGTTTGCTGTATAAGCACATTCCGATCTTTTGGTAGATTGCGTGCTATGAGCTTCTAAATTTTCGCACCGCGTTGTATGTTCTAAACGTGAATTGCCAAGATTAAGTCTTTCTAGGCCAAAAGTTGAACTGTTTGAAATCTGCTGATGATTGAAAGTGTCGCGATCACTCTGGTTATTATTTATCTGGTTCACAGATGAAGTTTGTTTTGCCAAGCAATGAGTGCTGTTGTTATTGTCGTCGTCGAGGGAAGACACCGGTGAGCGTGGCGAACAAACGCCTATGATATATTCCTGCAAGAAGAAAGAGACAGGGTTTAGAAAGCTGTAGTTAAACCACATAACCTCAAAATACCTAAAATCTCTACCAGGAGAAAACATTCAGCATCCTTCGCGAACCTTAGCTCGATGAATGTCATTTTCATTGCCCTCTAGTTTCACCCAACATCGCAAATTGTCCTCTTCTCCGCTTAGATCTAGCCTGACATCGAATAAATAGTTGACACGTTTCTCAACCAAGGCGAATTTAGATTCAATGTGGTCTTTTAGTAAGACAAATTCTATAAATTTATGCACCATACTTCATCATTCCCTCAGCGATGTGTTGTGGATGTTTTCGCCTCAAGGCGCAAAGCTGAAGTCACTCCAGTACAATTTTGGGCGGGATCGATTTAGCAGCCGGAAACATTGACACTTGTCAATGACGTCATTGAGAACTCGACAACTTCCTTTGGAAATAAAGTACTGTATAAAATGTGCTTACACTTTCACGCGCGACTTGTTGTTGTTTCAAAACATTTACTTAACATCTCCGGACCAAATATCTAAGTCAGATTTTCAAATCTTCAACGCTGCAATTCTTGGGGAAACAGGAAACCGGAAATTGCTTTTTCGTCCTTTCAAATACTTGTCGTTCTTGCAGTCCAAATTTGGCTTCTTGGTGGTCTCGAATTTCGTCTTAGTCACGTCTAAAGTATGGCTGGCGGGATGTTGGCGGGAATTGAACACGAGCCAGCTGTAGACATTCCACTGCGCTAATTGTTTTCCTACACAATGAATTTGCCCTTAAGCTATACATAATTGCAAAATGCGACAAGATTTCTCTTCGTGTCCTTGACACCGAAAAATATAAATATTATCACCTAAAAAAAAATATCCTAGGTCTAAAACCACTGATTTGGAACTGGCACTTGTGTTTAAATTTTTGCAAAAGAAACTCTGATTTCGCTCCATAAAGCTGAAGCACCCCACAGCAGTGCAAACTCACCAACGACAATCGGCGCTACTTTGTCTCACTTTCGCGGTGTTGAGTCGCCGCGTAAACCTTTTAAAGGTAATATTTTGCGTTTTTGAAATAACGTTGCTTTCGCATGTACTTTGAGGGTAAAGTTTTGCGGCAAAAAAATGGATAATTGAATTTTAAATTGACTTAGAAAAGAAAGCGCTCCACCGACGCGACTTGAGTGTTTTCTATGAAATATACAAAATCAATATCAAAGCCTCCTCCGATAGACACACCTTTCACATTCTTCTCGAACACTTCTTCAGTTCTTGATCTTTCGGACCCACGCTGGCTTTGTTCTGGCGTTTTAAGTCATAAACTTTCTGCTGTTAACTCGACCACGGCTATTAAGTAGTAAGAAGGTTGCGCTTTTTTCTTGCAGAACTGTTTATACAAACAAGGGTTGTTTTAATTAGATGTCCAAGTCATTTACAGTTCAATCACAGCACGTCCGAATCACGAATTATAGACAAATTGTTAGTGCCAGCTGTCCATGGCTTTAAGGCGTCTTAATATTTGTTAAAAACAGTAAGAATTTAAATTCCAAACCATCAACTAACTTGACCTTTTAGCTCACTATTGTCTCACTTTCATTTGAGAACAAATTACATAAGGCCAATTCAATTTTTTCTTCAGGCATACCTTCTCTTGTCGCCAATTTAATCTTCTCTTTTCCTCTTCAGGTTTAAAAGCGATAGTCTTTAACCTTCAGAGGGTCTTTTGACTTGGGAACGTCAACGCGAAAAAATGCTTCCAAAAAGGATCTAATTTTGGCCTCTCTGGGCCTAAATATGGAACATATTTTCATCCTCTTTTGCCCAGCAAGGGGTAAGGGTTAGCTGGTAATCCATAACAATGCATCATGCCCACGCGGCTTAAAACCCAGTTGGTCAAGTTTTTATCCATATTTTAAACTTAAATTTTACGATTAAAGTATTAAAGATTCGGCCTGCATATGGCATGAAATTTTAGAAGCAAGATCAATCAGAATCCTTTAAGTTTCTTTTTCTATGTTTCCTTCGACATTTACTGAATAATGGCAAACTGATCTGAGGTTATTTTCTTGCTCGTGGGCTATTACATCTTTAAAGATTAATGGGTGACAGAGTAAGAGGTCTTAGCCCCAGGTATTATAGCTTAAAGCTTCATATCTTCAATTTCATCAGTTATGGGGGCTGATTATTTGAGCATTAGGGTGTAAAATAAACAACAAGTTTTGACAATCTGAATGATGTCAGCCCGTGTAAGCTGTCATATCACTCGTGGATGAATATCCGTTTAGTTTTTGCTCTAATCACCATCTTACGTTGCAACTTTTTTTGGCAAAAGTTCAGATAAATGGAAAGTCAAGTGCATTCTTTCAAAAATTGAAAGGCCTAGATTTATTCTTCACTTTCGTTAGGGAAAAATAGTCACTGGGGCGTGTCAGCCACAGTATCGTATGACATCCAAAAACTATGTGTGGAATCGAACCATTTTTACACTTTTCTAGACCCTCTTTTTCAAACTTATGCTCTCTGTTAATTCGTTTTTATACAAAGTTCAAAAGTCTCCCTAAACGAAGGAAGAAGAAAGGAAAAACACCAGTGATTGGTAACTATGGCAACGTCAAACTATAGTATCAGCAAATGGCCTTTTTGGCACATTACATCAGTCAACAAGAAAGAAAAGGAAATTGTTCACAAAAAATTGCATAAGAGCTGAAGATAATACAAACCCTCCAATTGTGGGATGTAAAAGGAAATTACCTTGAACTTTCAACAACTCTGTTTACAAATTTCTTTTCGTCACTCGTCCGTCAAAGAATGTTGTTGATTATTTTAGATAAGAGGTCAAACTTGCTTAATTGTTTTTATTACAAATTATACACGATTTTTAGGAACTAGTTTTGCGCTTTAAGATAAAGTGATGAATTTCGTCCTTAGATGGTTATTTATGGTTCTACATTAGTATTCTGCCATTACGTACAGTGTACTTCATTCTTGGGGATGAATTAAAGAAGAATCAGCGGCGTGGGCAGTCAACGTTAGCCTTTGAATTGTTATGATATTGCTCTAAATAACAAGAAGGCGGAGTATTTTTAAGAACGCAATGGCCCACTCTTGAGTTTAGTGTCATCATAAATATTTATCTCCGGCCCTTTTAAGGAAATGTTTGTCGTCATCGAGCAAGATAGAACATTACAAAACTGTTGTATCCGAGACTGTGAGAACATTTTGCGCTGTGGAAACCACTGCTCGCTAGCTAGGTATCCCGGCTGTGGATAACGATTTTGTTGCTCCGTGGTCCACTCCAGAAATTTACTAGTTAGGAAATGAAGTCTTATATTCTCTGAAGCTAATGACATACCAGAGCATAAGTTATGAAACTTATTTTCTTTGACTGAAAGTTACAGGCGCTATAATAAATCTTTGTTCTCCTAACTGCAGCTAATCTTTTTGGTGTCATAACTCCGTTAGCAACTTTTTATCCTCGGGTCCTTCAGTTAGCTTTCACCTCAGTGCTCGTTATGGCAGTGCTTCGCTTCGTTATTATTAATTAAAAACCCGTTAAAGAATCCTTTGTGGGATGGGAAAAACGAATACTACCCGTTTCCCGAGCCTTTTTCAGAGGCAATACCTGCGTGTACGAGATAGCATGATGCCTTCAAGAGATCTTAAGATAGCCTTGTCATATAGCAGATATATCAGGGGCACCCAACGAGAATATAGTTCAAAACCACTAAAACATAGCATTGTTAAACGTATTTTAGTATTTAAACGGTAGATATAGGCATATTTTTATCCCCTAAAAATTTTTCATCTGTTCGGATTTCCTAGCTGAAAGTCTAGTGATCCGAAAATTATAGGGATCAAAACTTACCTTTTCGAAAATTTCAGCCAGAAAAAAGGCTCCCGAAAATTCTAGGTGACCTTTTTAGGGTAAAAATCCGTTGAAAATAGGCAATTATACCATTTTTTAGATGTTCGAAAATCCTGGGAGAGGCAGGCAAGCAAGAAATTTTACAGCAAATGTTTCGAAAATTCTAGATCTCAAATCGTCTTCAGTGCCGTAGCCAGACCAAACGGCCAACCGAGGCAGGCGGGAGTTGCTAGGGGGGTTCGGGGGCATGCCCCCCCCTCCCCCGAGAAATTTTGAACTTTAGTCTCTCGGAAATGCGATTTGCAGCGTTTTCTGGGCCTTTCGGTAACTTTTTTTCGAGTTAATTTAAGTGGAATTTAAAAAGCAATAATCAGAAACAAGCTACATAATCTGGGTGACCGTTAACCTCGCCAATGGTTTTGATCAGTATTTGTTCAAAAAAAATTTGAGTTAACGTACATAGCCCCTTGAGATCGATGATATGGTAATTTTTTCATAGTATATTGACTGAATTACTGAATTCTTTGTAATATCATGATGCGTTAAAAATATCCGATGATCGCTTATGTAAAATAAAAATGATCGGCGAAATTCGTCAAAATTTTACCGAGGCGAGTGCCTCGGTTGGCCTCATACTAGCTACGGCGCTGGTCTTCCGAACAGATATTCTTCCGAAAATTGTCGTTGGGTGCCCCTGATATATAGACCTTACACTTACTATTTATCAAAAGAATGTAAATTTGATACATTTTATATATCGGACTCAGTGCTTTTTTCAGTTAGATATATTTGATAGCCCATATTTTCCAAATATTGTACATCAGTAGTCCTAATTAGTTGATAATTTATAGCGTGTTGTTGTTGTCAAGTTTCAAGTTCTCCGTAGGAATTGGCAGCATGTCTTGGTTCTTTACTTCGCTCACAGCAAATTTAGAGATAACTACTTTTTAAGAAGCCTAAATCTTAACGTTAAGCAAATACTAATGCTTCTCGATGAAACTTAAGAGTTTGAGAATGCCACTGTTCTGTAAAAGAGTTTCTCAACTAATCATTAAACTTTTTAGCAAATCACCTTAAACCTTGGAAAGCGTAATGTTTTGATATATTTCATTTCATTTCCTTAGTTTATTTTCACTTATTGAGTTTCTGTAATCGGTTACTTTAATTTTATTAGTTTAAGCCCTTTTGAATTAATCTTTCCCTGCCTGGATTAGCTTTCGGCTCAGCAGTCGAGAAAGTAGGTAGTCCTGAGTATTTCTTGTTCTTGTTATCAGCTAACAAACTCACTTCTCAGGTTAGTTATATAACTACTGTTGTATTCTGTGCGAATAAATTCTTGTTGTTGACTTGCTGTTGTTCTGTGAACGATTGTCGATCGAACACTGACTCAATACCCAGTTAAGCCTGAGTTGTACTGCATAGTCTCCGGTAAATC